TCGATATGCAAATATATTTTTCTGTTCGTTAAAGATGTGATCAAGTATCACGTAACTCGTGTATGCTAATTCGTCATTGAATCCAACTGAGTCCCCTGATAGTTAGGTCTAATTAGTAATCATAAATTGTGTATAGTCAATTTTCTTCTACAATGACAATGAAAGGGGTTTCATTTAAATTTTATTTTTCGATCTTTTTACGAAATTAAACCTGAACTCATGTAGTCGTATTTTACTTGTGAATATGTTAGACGTAGTGTTATACTATTGTTGAATAGTGTATTAACTATATACAATATAAAATCCAAAGAGGGATGTGACAAGGCTACTGTCCAACAGCTGCTGTTAGTGGTTTTTTAACAGTAATGTTTACTGTTAACGAAAGCATTATTATGAATTCCTTACTTTTTTTTTGACAACAGTTAAATATTTTCTTGCTTTCATTTTAGCAATTAATTGACATTGTTCTTTGATGACGATGAATAACGTGAGCACTATCAATGACATAAAAACGCGTCGCTCGGAACTAATCAAGCAACTTGAAATGTTAATGAAAACAAGAGGTGAGAGGGACACATATATTTCAAAACAATTAAACAAGCGTATTAATAAATTAGAGAAAGAAATTCACGCGATGACTATTAAACATCGTGAGGAAATTAAGAAGCACTATTCAGCATCAAAATCAATGAACACATGAAACCGTCGTCTTTCCCATGAAACCCATTGATTGATTACTATTTGACAATACTCTACTAAATGTACGTTGTAAACATAATGTCGAAATGGATGCGCTATCTGTAATAAAAATTTAATTCACTTATAAAATTCAAATGCTTTGATTATTTGCACATAACAGTTCCAGAGATGGAAATGATAGATTTAGAAAACAAGAATCTATATTTTTTTGTCTATTTGAATAGTATAATTTTAACTATTATACAGTAAGCGCAATTTCAATAACCGTCTGTTAGTTATGTCTAAAATCCGAGTTCGTATGAGATGATAAAAACTAGCTTGCCACTAGAGTTTGAATTTCGCTACAAGTATGCTTCAGAGTTGATGAGGATTATAAAACTTTTTAGTATGTTTCTAGCATCAACTTAGTGGCCACCTTAAGAATCTGCATTATAGTTGAAAATGTGAATAAGGAGAAACTATGCGTATAACCTCACTGGAGAAGTAAGTAATTTGAAATAAATCCTAAGCAAAGATGGTGACAGAAAATATAGTAGCCCAATTATTATATTACAGTATAGTAGAGCATATCAGGTATGATGGAACGCAAATTTGTGATTGATTTCATTGCATCTACTTGCACACCGTTCATAGATGAGTAGCAGTTCAACATCAAAACAAAACACACATACAATCTATCGTAGACTCAATCAATAATTTACAATCATATAAATGCACAGACCTAAGAAAAGCACTAGATATAACACATTTAAACTTCATGTATTCAATTGTAGTGAAAGTTATACATTCAACCAAAGTTACATATAAATAGATTATGATACTTTTGACACGAGGAGAAAAATCCTTTGTTGTTTGAATGAACAGCTTGGCTGACTCCAACGGTGGCACCTGGAATTTTTATTAGGAAGTTTTGGCTTCACCAAAGAGTGCGAGTTAGTTTGGGTACACGGCATAAACCCATTCATACAGACACCGACTTTCACATCCGTAAACGCGAGCGAATGCTCCTGTGAGCATCTGTTGTAAAACCAAGCAAAAAAAGATTCCACTTTTGATTTTCTCTTTGTAAAAATGAGTAACACAAAACAAGCCATGAGATTAGTGAGTGTTCTCTTTTATCAATTTAACTAGTGTGAAAAGATTATATATGTATTAGTGTTCTGAAAAATCCATACAAACACTATTAGTTTTATTTATTGAATAGATTTACTACAGAATTCAATAACTAACTACTCCAAGAAAATATAAGTAACTGTATCCAATCACATGAAGAATATTTTATTTTATTTTTATTATCTCATAGAAAGAAACAAAAATTAGAACATAAACGCAGAAACGTCTCACGTTGTTCATAGATTCTCCTCAGTCACTAGATGCCTAGAAAGCAATACGTTAAAATGAACCTTTTTTGTAAAATAAAATATATAGGAGTCGGTTTTTTGTGCCATCTTTTCATTATATTACTTCTACTCGTCAATATATCATATCATCATGGTGGTGATAGCCATTCGGATGATTTTCGTGAATCGTTCAGTTTGTATTTAATGGTCATATATGTCATCAACTAGTCAGTGTTTTTGCACATAGATCAATTAATATTATATATTATATAACTATTTACGTCAATAATCATCATGCAAACAGTTAGATTATTTGTTTGTTTGTGTTGCCCTTGGTTAGCTTCTTGGTATTCACCATTGATTATTAAATCGTGTGTACTATCAGTAAATAATACTAATAATAAATGTTGATATTCATCATACTAATGTACTTAACAAAATATTTACAAAAAGAAAAGGTAACTTCTTTTCTTTATTGACTTTTGTATATAATTGAATTAAATCGTTTATGCTTTCACAATTATTCTAGTGAGTGTCTAATTTAAATTAACTTTCGTATTGTTAAAATCTATTTTTTCTATTGAATATTTGCGACAAAATTTTAGTCAACAACTCATTCTAAAAACTTCTCGTATAAATATCAATATCTACAAAGTTACTTTGAAAATTTCTATGAAAAGTATCAACATTCGAAATTCGAAAAAAATATCTTACTAGATCTCAATAGCAAAATTATCTTTCAGATTTTCTTTCTTGTCTTAGTTAATGTAATACAGAAGCACTTCTGCAATGAAAAATCATTAGTTTGTTACGACTATTATTTGAGACGATTTGAGGAATTAGATAGCGCTGCAGGTTCAAAACTAGCATGATGTTCATCGTAATCGATTTTTGTTCAAAAAATAAAATAGATAGTATACATATAATATTATTATTCAAAGCCAGTGCTTAGTTCGTCAAGAAAAAGTGTACTTCTAGATAGTGGGTGTTTTAGAATCGCAAGATTTTCGAAATCTGAATCTTGTAAACACTGTAGTTTCCATTGGAAAATCATTTGTTCAAAAAACAAATCAATAAGAGATCATTTTAATGTAGTTCTTTTCAGGAATCGTTTGCTTATGAAACGTCTTGCAAGTGATTTAATATTAGGAACTCAAAAAAGCATTTCGTTTTCTTTTAATACAAGATCGAAGGATTTATTTTGTCGAAGTTTCAACATACCATTTATATTTCTATCGTAGAACTTGAGAGCTGTGAATATAACTAATATAAAATAGATTAAAAAACGTCTTTTTTTACAAATCACATGATAGGTATTTTTATTAAGGCTTTTCGATTTGTGCTCTCAACATAGTCAAACAGCTATATTCACAAAAGAAACGAAGAGCTATTACATATGTATAGCTAGATAAATATAAATGTAGATCACGTCGATTCTTTAGAGAAAAATCTGCACTTAAAATACAGAATGAGACTAGATATGCACCAATCCATAAGATAGACGATGGCAATGTTCATGTCCTTAACTACGGACATTTTGAATGGGGCATAAACAATGACTATGGATATATGTGTTCACTCGCTAGTATGTATTCTCTTTCTTTACTATCAGTACATTTACTTCTTCAAAGAAAGAAACGTCACGTATACATATATGGGGTCGTCAAGTCTAACATGATACCCTAACGCTCTTAATTTACCTAAATCTATCATGAATAGTACTTGGGTGTCGAGCCAGATTAGGCAGCCACATATATACAGTAGTTCTCATTTTTCTGTTGTCGTTATTCTTTTCATAATAATAGTATAAGTGCAAACTGAAATATCAAGATAAAATAGCAATGAATAACTTTGAAAATTGTGGTGGTCACATATTTTATTTTACGTTAATTTATTTTTTTGTACATTATAATTATTGTATATATATATATATATATATATTGACAACTATTTTTCATGTTATTTCTTCGAAATACTCTCAATCCTCACTACTATAACAGTTACAGAAAGAAAACTTGGCTTGCACAATCGCTTCAAGACGAAACACTCAACATACAATAACACAATGTGCCACTATCATTTTAACAATTGAACAACATGAAAATAATTAAGACAAAGATAGTCTCATCTTTTTTCCTTAAGATAACTTTCATTACTTGTCATATTTGTTATGTCAAAGTTGTATAATAATAATAATAAAACATAGTTTCTTGTGTTAATATTCATACTAAGTTCATATATGTCCACCTTGAAACTTGATTTCAATTGAAAATTTTCAATTTTCAACTTTTAAACCAATAACATTCTGAAGAATAGTGACTCACACATATATCGCCATATGCTGATAGTTGAAAGTTGAAATTTTCTATTTTCAACTGAATTCAAGTTTCAAGTTTGACACTACTAACTACGTTATGAATAAGATTGTAAAGTATGGAAATTTTAACGAAGAAAAAGATAATCAATCATATATGTCAGCCATGAAATCGCTCGAATTTATTATTATTGTTTGCAATGAAACGAAAAGATAAGCACCAGCAAAAGAAAAAAAAAGAAACAAGTGAATAAGATTAAATAAAATAGCAAAACACAAAGCAAAAGAAATTCCATTGAAAAGAAAAAACTCTTGGAGCAAATTAATCATCCTAAATATTTTTTAATCACCTCAACAATTGGTATCGACCCCTCACATATTTCATAAAACAAATTAAAACAAAATCGTCGAGTTAAAAAAAAGAGAAGAAATTCATCTGTGGTTCGTCAATCTTCATGTTTTTCTTCTTCTTTTTATTGTATATCGTCGATTTCTGGATTATTTCTTGTCGTTCATATGTTATAGTGGGTATGAGAGAATGAAACAATTGCACGAAATGACAAAAAGTCAGGTTTGACGGGTTAACAAGAAAAAAAAAGACAAACCAAAGCCAAACAATAAAAAGATAAGATATTTCTGTGCTTTATCTATCGTTTTGATATTTCGATAATGGTATCTTGCTGTATTTCAGTTTGTGCTCGGCATCTCTGTCGAAAGTCGTGTGCAAATCTTCGAAGTTTTTCAGTTAAAAATATCGCATTTTCACGACGATTGGTTGCTCCACTTGCTAGTGAAAGCCATTTATGGTCAATACATGCCGGAATAGTCAATCGATTTCTAAATAAAAGTAAAAATAATAGAAATGATTACTGTTAGCTACAAGTTGTTATCATAGTTCCTGTATGACTAATAGAGGTTTTTGTAATTATAAATAACTATTAGCTTTGATATCGGCAACAAGTTCTTTTGAGATTCTTCTATTCCTAATGAAGTACAGCTATACGAAGAATCTGAGTCCGGTTAATCTAGACTTAGCTTTTATTTTCTTTTATCTTCATTGATTAATATGACATGTCTAGTTGTGATACGATCCTAAGTGAAGTTTTCTAGTAAAACAACTTAGAAGATTTTCGTTTAAAATTAATTATTAGATCGTAGCTTTTCGAAGACATAATGTTATATCTATTCTAGAACAAAAACATTCGATCACTGATGATTAGTTGACTATATAAAAGTTGTGATTGCTTCATCAACAACATTGATGCTGATCTTAGAGCTAAAGTGATTAAAAATTCAACTGTAATAAAAATTCACATTTACCGGGGTGACTTTTTAAGACATTGTTGAACAAAAATAACAGCTTCTTGTGTTACATCATCATAAAATTCATTAGTGTTCCATCGTACAAAACTAACATTTTGAATTGTTTCGTCGATATTTTCACCAGGAAACGGTGAAAATCCACTTAAACTAAACGAAGAATTCATTCATATGTATTTTTTTTTGTTTTCCATTAAGTTTATTCTTACAGTGTAGCCGTTAATGCTCCAATGCTCCAAACATCAGCTTGAACGCCACATGGTTCATTGTGAAGTATTTCAGGTGCTAAAAAACGATGTTTTAAAATTTTATAGATTTAATTCTAATTTATGATAAATATTTTAAATATTATACCTGAATATTCAATATTTGGTTGTAAATTATTTTTATCAATACTATGTCCTTCAATAGATGCTATTTGTTGTGCACAACTAAAATCTGTCAATTTTATATGTACAGCAAGACGATTTTCATTAACAACACTTGATGGATTAATATTTAAATGTATAATTCCATGAAAATGTAAATAATGTATAGCATCAAATATTTGTCGTAAAATTTTAACAATTAATTCTTCATGATATTTATGTCTTAAGCAAATCCAGTCCGGTAATTCAATATAATCATTTGTCACCAATATAAATGAATTTTTCCATAAAAATGCATCTAACATTGTTATGATATGTTCATGTGAGATCAAATTTAATAAATTAAATTCATCTGTTTCTTTATCTTGTTTATCAGTTATTTTTATTATACGAACACTATCAGTTGCACGTTCTGAACAGCGTATTACACATTTGCGACCGTAACTACTTAATTCATCAATCAATTTATATAAATCCCATGGGTTTAAATCACGTTTTAAAACAGTTTTTTCACCTAAAGATTTGATTTTTTCTTGTTTATTATAGTCATCTAAAATATTATTAATTGTTGATCGAGATTTTTCGTCTAAACGATGTTGATGTTCAAGTAAACGATATGCTGATTGTCGATCAATTTTGGTTAGTAATACATCATTTTGTTGATCTTGATCTAGTGAACGAACTTCTTCTGATGCCCATGAATATGCTGATATACCCATACGATTAATGCATGATACACGAAAGCGATAATATGTTGATGGTTTTAAACCATGTATCAATGCTGATTCTTCTATTGTAAATGTTGATTGTGTCCATTTAAGATCTTCTCGTGCTTTATAATCAATACGAAAGCCATTTATTTCATTATTACCATCGTATAATGGCGAACTCCATACAAGATAAGCTTCTGACGATGATATATCAATTACAATTGGACGTTGTGGTCGATCAGGAACATCTTAATAGATCAAATTTATTTTTATTTTTATTTTTGAAATAAATATTTACCTCCAATTAATAATCTTGCTTTACATGAAGCATCACCGTAGAGATTTCTACCAACACAACGATAAATTCCAATATCACCCGCCTTACAATGCGTTATTGTTAATGTACAAAGACCATCTTCGCCTTGAGCAAATTGTATTCGATCATCTTCAATTATGAATTCATCATTTCGATACCAAAATATACGTGGAAATGGGTTTCCTTGAACTTTACATCTTAATATAACAGTACCACCAATTAAAAATGATGTATCAATTAATTTTTCTTTAAATACAGACGCAAAACCTATAAAAGACAAATTATTATTAACGCAAATATGTTTCAAAAAACTTTATCTCAAGTAAAAACAAAGAACAAACCTTCTCCTATAGTTCCACGTTGCTCTTGTGTGAAACCTTGTGCTTGAAATTCTCGTGGAATACTTGGTGCATGTTTTGTACTACTTGGATATGGTGATAAACATGATGTACTTCCATATCTTGTTGATATGCCATAACCATGTGCTGGTGATTCACTGGTTCGTCCATAAGGTGCATAAAATGATGGTGTTGTAGATATTCCTCGTGTACTACCATTAGGTTGAGCACTTAATTCACGTGGTATAGAACAACCACTATGAGGTACAGCTGAACATCCGCGAACTCTTCGTCCTTGCCCATCAACATGAAGACGTTCTTTAACGGTATCACGAGCAAGAAGACGTTCAACTGGTGCAACCGGTGGAGCATAGAGATATTCTGATGATGCATAACGATTTTGATAACTTGTTCGACGATAACTACGCATGCGAATAGCAAAATCAACATCAGCTACTGGAAGTAGATAAGAGCCAGGTGTTAAATTTTCATCGTCAGCTGACGATGGTCGACGATCAGTTCCATGATCATGTTCATCAAATGAGACTTCTAAATTATATTAATAAAATTTATATTTTGATTTCTATAGATTACTTATAGTATTCTTCTAACTAACCTCTTGATGTTCGTCTTGCTCTTGCTCGAATATATCTGTCATCATATATTGTTTCTTTTTCATCGTTATAACCTCCAAAATCACCTTTCATTGAAGCTATTTCACTTATTGTTGGTAATGGTCGGACTGATGTACGTCGATGTTCACGCTATGAAGAAAGAATATGCAAAATCATGTTTATCAAATTCATTTTTTTATGAAAACAAAAGTCTAATTAAAATTTACATTATAAAGTTGCCTTGAATAAGCTCCTTGTAAACGATCAGATGAAATTGGTGTTGTATCAACATGTTGTAATGCATATTTAAGCCATGGATGATTTAATGCGTCTTCAGATGTTAAACGATTTTGTTGATCAGGTATAAGTAAACGTGAAATAAAATCTTTAGCATCAGCTGATATATTAGAAAAACAATCATTAAATATCCAATGACCATTGCGTATATTTTTTAATATTTCAAAATCATTTGAACCACTAAACGGTGTTTGACCACCAAGTAGTAGATAAGTAAGAATACCACTAAAAACAAAATAAAAATAATTATTTTATTTTAAGATATGAACAAAAGTTTACATGTTCCACATATCAGTGTTAAGTGATATTGGATATCGATGAACAATTTCTGGTGCAACATATTCTGGTGTACCATAATCAGAATAAACATTTGATGAACCCGTTAAATGACGTGCATTTGTAAAACCTAATAATTGCACACGTATTGGATCATGACGATTATCAATATAAATATTATCAGGCTAAAATCAAATAAAAATGAATAAAATATTTTTTGTTTTTGTAGTGAGAAATAAATTGAATATAAAACATACTTTTATATCGAGATGAGCAATATTTCTGGAATGCAAATGTTTAAGTGTTTCAACAAGATCACGAATTATTAAAGCTGCATCACGTTCAGTATATGTTCGGCGATTTAATAGATTTTCAAGAAGATCATTTCCATAAAAACTAGAAAAATAGCATATTTTAAATCATTTTTTGTAAAGTAAAACTAGTTGAAATAAATAAAACGTACTTGTCAAGTACAATTGCAAGCATTTTGTCTGTTTCATAAGCATCATGTATACGTGGAATATTTGAATCATGTAAATGTGATAAAATGTCCATCTCACGTCTAAGCCAATCGAAATATTTTGAATTGTGAACAATTTTAGCAATACGTTCTTTAGCTGTTCGACGTTCAATAACGCGATATACAGATGATATGGGTCCACTGAAATAAAATATTAATTTCATTTATTTTTCTCTTTAAATAAACAAAACAAAAATTTCCTTACTGTTCAATTCGCTCTAGTATATCATAATCTTCATCGAATCGTTTCTTCTTAAATGTCATTGTAGGCCTTTCTAGATCTGGTCTTGGAATACTTAAAAGATTATCTTCAATACTAACATTAGCTGATGATAATGTTGCACCAGCAATATTTTTTGCTGTGCAAGTATATAGGCCGGTATCTTTTTCAATAGCACCATATATTGTTAATTGCCATATGTCAGGTTCAATATGTCGTATACGTGTACGATATGAATCAGCTAATAAACGCCAATCTTTATAAAAACGTACTTCTGGATAGGGTATACCATCAACTTTACATTCAAGTCTAAATGTATCATGTGTACGACAACGTGTGTCTTGTAACGGTTCAAGAAACATCGGCGGATCAGCAAGATATAAGTACACAGTACGACGTGCTGCACCATATTTATTTTCGGCAACTATTTCATAAGTACCTTCATCAGATGCTAAAGCGGAATCAATCGAAAGACATGCATAACCACGGCGGTCATTGTATAATTTTACACGTGAATCATCCAATGGAATTTTTTCACCCTGATCGATAAAAAAAAGACACTGAAAAAAACATCATCCAAAACAAAACTTACATCATGAAACCAAGTTATTTCAGGTATTGGATAACCAACGAGTAACATGGTAATACGAGCGTTTTGACCTTCAAGAAAATATTGAATATCAGGTCCATCGACTTGTAATGATGGTCGAGCACCTAAAACATAAATTTATATTTTAGTATTTATTTTAAATGTTTCTAATTTGTTTTACCACCATAATCATCATGCATAGAAGTATATGGTCGTCTTGTTTTATTTGTAGGTTCTTTTTCACTTTCTACTTGTTGTTCATCAGCTAAATTATTTGTTTTAAATAAAAATAATAATCTTTTCCCTTTTTTTCTGTGTATTTAATTGACTTACTTCGAGTTAAAAGACGACTGGTTACTGGTTGTGATGGATCACTAACCCCAAATGTATTTTCAGCTCGAACTCTAACAGCATAAATATGATTTAAATTGAGATTACGCAATTGAACACTAGTATCTATAGTTATTTAAAGAAAAAGGCAACAAATTTATATAAAAATTAAACAAAAATAAGAATCAAACAAGTAACCTGATAATGCTGAAACATAAGTTGACCAAGAATAAGTTCTTGGATCTCTTAATTCAACAATATAAGTACATGGTTGTGCTCGGTTATGTGATGGTGAATGGTCCCAACTTAAATTCAAAGTTGACTTGGAATGAGGTGTTAGTAATAAACGTGATGGTGGCGAAGGTATTGCACCTTGTTTACTTGTTGATGGTGCTAATTCTGGTACATCGAAACTTACACGACGTTTTAATCGGCTTGATTCATGATGAGCTACAAAAACACATACAAAAAAAAACAGTTTATTTATTTTAAAACATAGAGATTTTTTGTTCGTACAACTTTTGTAGAATTAAATTAAAATGTTAAAGATTATTCTATTATTATTGTTATTATATTAGGGAAGACGATTGTTAGTTTTTCCTTTTTTTTGAAACATGCTTTTTACAATATCCTTTCGTTTAATACTCTAGAAATTCGACTGGCAAGTAGTTTAGATACGTATGAGTAGTGTACTGCATTGGAGTCGGAATTGGAATTGAAAAAAAAATTCGGAGTTGGGCTTGGAATCGGAATCGTGAAAAAATATTTCCCGCAGTCGGAGTCGGAGTAAAAAATGACACCGGACTCCGAAATTCGATTTCTACTCTGACGAAGCTCAAGTCGTAGAAAATAAAATAAATTTTTTGTGAGTTAACGTTTGAGCTATATTACTACAAAAATCACATAATCTGACTTTTACTTAGATACAAGTTTATTCATGAGTATATTGTATAATGAACAAAGATATGCTAATTTTAACTTTTTAAATAAATCTTAAGGAAAAATAGTGGCACAAGAAAAATATTGACATTAACCATTAGTATATAGAAAAAATAAAATAGACTAATCAAGAATATTCTCTTTATTAGAATCATTGAAACTATCATTGACATCGAGACATAATTGTTTCCAGGTCGACTGATCCGATAGGAACCTGGAAATATCCTACAATCTGATACAATTCTATTGGATTCCAGGTCGAGGAATCGATGTTGGATCCTCAGTGGCGGAATCCTATGAACTTCTGATGGCATACAACGGTTTTTCCTTGGAATTCATAGGAATCCGACACTGAGAATCCGACATCGATTCCTCGACCTGGAATCCTACGATAATTCTGTAAGATCTGACAGGATCCGATAAAATCCTATTAGATTCCAGTCGGATCGGATGGGTTCTGATAGGTGCCTACTGTCGGGTTGCTCGATCTGGGTTTAGGAGCTGTGCAGGTTGATTCTTCAGAAGATACTGTTGTTGTCGATGACATTGATGCTGTTCGTTTCTTATTGATTCGTTTACTTATATATATGTATCCTTTCAGAATATCAAACATTTGATATGAGTTAGATGCCACTAAGCTGCAAAAAAAGGCGGACTTTTCCGGAGTCGGATTCCGGAAAAATTTCTCGTCGGAGTTGGAAGCGGAATCGAAAAAACTGTTTTTTTCGGAGTCGGGTCGAGTTTAGGAATCAGAAAGTGAGACTTCGCTGATCACTATGTATGAGTCGAGATATTATAGGTTAGACAGTCTACAAAATGTATATGAATAACATCTGTTATGGTGGTCTATGATATTTCCATGGTAGTGAGTGTTACGATTTGTAGGAGTTGAAATTATAGTTCAATTATCTTTCTACATTTTAATTTCCAACAACTTACGTTCAACAGTTAATTCTGCTGAGCATTGTGTTGAACCAGCACGATTTTCAACAATAATAGTTATTTCACCAGCATCTTCTTGTAGACAATCTTCAATAGTTAATGTAACTTTACCATTTGCTTGTAGTTGTGATGAATATTTTCTTGTATTTGAATCAACATCTAATGGTAACCCATTATGTAACCAACGTATAGTTGGATTTGGTTGTCCCGTTATAAAGCAGTCAAATTTAGCACGTTGTCCTTCGATAACTGTACAATTTCGATGTTTACGAATAAATGATGGAGCAATATCTTCAGCTCTATTTAAAAATAAAATTGGAATACAATAACAAAATTAAAAAACTAAACATACGGTTGTGCTTTTGAACCAGCAGGTGTTTCAATAAGATGTAAATTAGCTGAACACGTTTTTTCTCCAGCTGAATTTTCAGCTTTACATGAATATTCGCATTCATCATTTTCGTCAACATGTATTACAGCTAATAGATAAACATCCTTATCTTGAGTTACATGATATTTTTCATTATTCTATTTAATCAAATAATTACAGATTATGGTTCTTTTTTTCTCTTAAATCAAAATACATACTGCTATTTTCTTATAATTACAATACCAAGTTACTTTTGGTGATGGTTGACCTGTAATGATTGCCCGAAAATTAGCCTCTTGTCCTTTATGTACGTAAACATCAGTCAGTGGCTCAATAAATCTATTAGAAAAGAAGAAGAAAAAAAGATGTGTTAAATACATTTTAGACAATTAATACAAAACATTTCTATTTTACTTTGGTGGTAAATCTTCAATGCTCGATTTCCGTTGATCCGTAGAAATTTCACGAGGACGAACAGAAAGTACGCATGTTGTAGATGCTTCACCATATTTATTTCTTAAACGTAATTTATATAAACCAGCATCTTCAAAGTAAGCTTCTCTCATAATTAATTGAGCTAGTTCGTTTGGTTTAAGATTAATTGTTATGAAGACATTCGTGCGAAGCATAATTCCATCAAAAAACCATGTTGCTTCAACATCTTCACCTTCAAATTGACATGAGAATTCAGCTGTTTCGCCTTCTTGCATATCTAAATCGTCAAGTCCACGAATAATACGTGGTTTCTTTCGTTCATTTTCAGTTAGATCTAAGTAGAAACACAAAGAGCAAACAATTAATTATTATTCTCTAATGAAATTTGTTTGCTTTTCATTGGGAAAATTTCAAAATAATAATGAATTGAATAAGAAAATAATCTAATTGTATACCTTGAACAGATACTTCACAAGTGCTTTCTTTTCCTTCAATATCATCAATACGTATTGTATATCGTCCCGGTTGAACTCCATGTGGAATATAAAGACTGTATCTTGAACCTTCGTTTTTCATTTGACTTTTTCCATCAATTGGTATTCCATCTTTTAACCAAATGACACGAACATTAGATTTTGATAATTGGCATGATAACTCCAATGGTTCATCACCATATACAGTCCATGTTTTAGGTAAATATTTAATAAATGTAGTCGGTGTTGCTAAATAAGTTAAAATCAAAGCATTATTGAAATCATTTTACAAAGAAATAAGAAAAATAAAAATAGTAAAAATCTTACGTTCAACAGTTAATGTTCCATCTGTATGTTGATTATCAACCATACAACGATAATTTCCTTCATCTTCAATTTGTGCATTATGAATAGTTAATGTTAAAAGATCACCTTTTATTGAATAAACAATACGTTCGCTTGATGAAATCCTTACACCATTTTTAAACCACTGAACATTTGAATCTATTTTTGATAGACGACATTGAAAACGAGCTGTATCCTAAATAAACAAGATAAAAAGAATTGACGTTTCTAAATGAAATTTCATATTCATACCCCTTCTTGAACATTTAAATTTTTCAAATGATCAAGAAACGTTGTTTCTAGTTTTTTAACTGTTAAATGACATGACGTTTTGATGTTTTCACAACGCATTTCATATAAACCTTGATCATCATATTCAATATCATCTAATAATAATTTATAATAACAATCGATTTGTTTAGCACGTATTCGTGATTTTGATGTAAAAAATATTCGTCGATCATTATTATACCACACAACATCCATATCAGGTTTTGATAATTGACAAAATAATGTTGCATTATCATTTTCTTGTACACTACAATCTTCTAATGGTTCAATTAATTCAACTGGTTTATCTAAACAATCAAAATTAATGTTTTTGGAATCTATTTAAAATAGATAGAAATTCTACATTTATATTATGATAAAAGAATTCGTCGTAAGGACTAAAATTTGTTTTTTGTTAATAGTTTAAGTCTACACTACTAAGTTATTTGAGAAATATTTCATTAAAAATACAACTTGTCGAAAGCTGATAATTTATTAAATTCTGTAGAGCTAGGATAGAACATCTCAAAAACAAAATAAAACAATCAAATAACGAAGCTAGTAAGAGCCTATTAGATACAGTAAAATATTAAAAAACATAAGAAAGACTATATTGGAAGTTATACAGAGAAATTCAAAGTTCTAATAGAATTCTTTTCTATGACTCCTATCATTGAAATATTTTCGTATGATTAAGAAAAGTCACATTACGCTGATTGCTGCCAAATATAAGATGCGTAAAAAAATGTTCCATCAAATATCATTTTAAAACCATTTAGAGTTGAGTATATCATTTTTAATAACTTGCTAGGCGAGAGAGAGAGAGATACTGACTTTAAACTATTCTGTTGTTGATTATGTCGTAGGAAGTTTTGAACGTAGTGTACGCGTTTTTAAAAAAATTCGGTTAAATTAAAAGCAGTTTCTAAATATCCTATCTACTAAGTATTTAATAAGCGCACCCTACTATCGAGGCAATAATTGATGGGGACTTTTTCAATCTGCTACATCCACTGATGATGTGTTCGGTTCAGAAAGAAAACTATCTATTTTTCACGACTAGTTCTTTTTGTGTTATATTAAAAATAAAATTATTGTGGAAGTCATTCTTTTATGATGAATTAGGTTGAAAAGACAACTTACCAATGACAATTAATTTAGCTTCAGTAAATACATCTTGTACAGCACATTTATACCATCCTTTATCTGATAATTTAACTTTTGGTATACGAAGTGTATGTTTATTATCAACTGATTTCATTTCATATTGTTGTGATGAAAGACGTTTATCACCAAGAAACCAATCAACACGACTTGGTTTTGATGTTTCACAAATAAATTCAAGAGGTTCACCAAAATTACAAGTACATTCTTCAAGTGGTTTTGTAAAAGTAACTGGTGTAGCTAGAAAATTTTCAAGAAAAATAAATCACTCAATATAAAAATATATCAATAGAAAACTTCTAACTTACCCTTAACAAGTAATGTAGCACTTGTTTTTGCACCACCATCAGCTATACATTTGTATTCTCCACCTTCATTCCATGCAACATTATGAATGACTAATGTATGTACAGGTCCTTTTGATTGGATTTCGAAATGTTCATCTAAAAGTGAAACTTGATAATATTTTAAATATTTCAAAAAAAAACTAAATTTATCCGTACCATTTGCAATAGGTTCTTCATTGAGAAACCATTTAACATGTATATTTGGCTTATTTAATTCACAAATAAAGTTAACTGTGTCATTTTCATTTACTCTTGCACCTGTTAAACATTTTATGAATTCGATTGGAATTGCTGAAAACAAAAAATAAAAGACACGTTTGATTTTCTTTCGATGCTTTATTTTAATTAAATTAAAACTTACGTTTAACTTCAAGTGCCGCAGTTGACTCAATTTGATCATCAATTCTAACGGTCAAAGTTCCTGCATGAGATAATTGTGTTTGTTTTATTTTCAACATATATTTCTTTCTGCCAGGTGATGTTGTTAAATCAAATGTTGTTCCATCATTTTCAATAACTTGCCCATTTAACATCCAAACAACTTTTGTTGGAATTTTATTAACTTCAAATTCGAATTGTACTGGTTGATCCTGTTTAACGGAACGATTTCTTAATTCTTGAATAAATTCAAGTTTAGTTAATTTCAAATCAGCTGTACAACTTGTACGTGCTTCAACAGCATCGTAGATGTATTTTCCTTGGTCATTTTCATCAGCATTATTAATAATTAATTTAGCTTCATGTTCTGTATCATCATAGAGTATTTGAATACGATTTGATGGCTCGATGGGTTGTCCATTATGTAGCCACCGTGAATTATCCGATGGACACTTATTCATACGAACAATAAATGTTATACGATCATCTAATTCATATTTAACATCTTTAAGATCCTTGAAAAAGACTAAAGGTTCGGTTTGAACATACACACGACATTTTGTTCGCACATTATCACATTCACATTCGAATAAAGTTTCGTCATCATCTTGTTGTGTTACTTTTGAAAGTTTTAATGAATGTACGTATTTGTCATCAGCGAGACGATGTCGTGCATCCCCAGTTCTTGGTATTAATTTTCCATTACGATACCATTGAACAGTTTTATTTGGGCGTGTTGTTTCAATATCAAGTAAAATATTTGAACCGACTTTGAGAGTTATTTCTGGTGGTAATTCTCTAGCGAAAACAGGCTCTGTTTGAACAGACACTGTGCATGACGTATTGATTTCATCATTATAGTGTGCAGAATATTTTCCGCTATGGTCGAGTTCAGCTGATGGAATACGAAGTGTATGTAAATTACCATCAATACGAGAAAGATCTGAATTAAGAATTTGACCATCTCGTTTCCATGTTATTGGTGTATCAGCTATGGATAATTTACATTCTAGAACAATTGGTGTGCCAACTTTGACGACTGTATCGAAAAGTTTTTGTGTAAACTTAACATGATCTCCTGCCTAGAAAAGTATAATTTATAAAATATTAATCACAATTTTTTAACACTCAGAAAAGTGGAACATGTTTAAAGCAATAAATATTTTTAATATTGTTATATGATAGTTAAAAATTCACTGAATACTCAAAAGCTTACCTTTTCATTTTTTTTACAAAGCAAAGAAAAAAAGCAAGTATTTATCAAGATGAAATATCTTATGCTACTTTTTCATGTATATATAATAGACAGCTATGCTCGTAATTCGACAGATAGATTACTTTATAGCATTTAACTTTATAATTGTATATTTCTCTCGTGTACACAAAAAATGACAATAACCTATGAAAACTTAAAACTACTTTCTTTCTATGTTTCTAGACGAACACAAACATAAGACACATTGTCGGCTCTACTACATATTTGTTTTCTCTCCATATATTACTATATGTCTCTACATACAGTTCGGGAAGATATGTGATCTTAAACTATATGAAACGATTATATACAGCACTTGTTTTGAATATATCCACGAAAATAAGCATAATCTCGAAAATGTATTTCACAATGATTATTTCCTGTTGGCAATGTTAAATAAAATTATTAAAAAAGAGAAATATATACACACATTGACTCTCTCAAAATGTAAAACCCTAATTACGAATTCTAAATATCTTGATAAGTTATCATCAATTCAAAGTCTCCGTGTTCGATATATCAACGAATATGATTACATTTAAACATTCTCGTTAATGACAAGTATTAAATACATCGTTTTGATGAAACTACAAACTATTGATGACACTGCTTATGGTTCAGAATGAGAATTACAGTTTACTGAATATTTTTTTTTCAAATTCTAATACGTTTAAGGAAAAAAGAGAAAACTTCTAATGAATATTAGGCATCTTACTAGATCAACAAATGCATGCCCACGTAAATTTTCAATATTAAGAGTATATTCTGCTTGATCATTAATTGATGTTTTATTTATTTTTAATTGTAATAATTTATCATCTTGAATAATTTCAATATTATCATTGGATATTATTTCTTTTCCGTCTCGATACCATATCGGTGATGTTTTAGGTGGACGATTCAATTGACATTCAAGTATAACCTGTTCGCCTGCCTTTACTTTTTGATCTTCTAATTTTTTGATGAACAACAACGGTAATTCCGCCTCTAACACGTCTGTTTTTTGTCGTTCATATGGATCATGCACTAATATTTCAGTTTGATATTCATATTTAGTACCTTGTATTATTGATTTGTATATTCCAGCATCATTGAAATCAACTTTTGATATTAAAAATGTTACTGTATATCTAGATTTATCTTTATCAAAATTTTCACTTGTTTTTAACACTTGATTATTTTTAGAAAATTCAATTGAACATTTTCGATTGGTTACAATTGAAAGTGATAATTCATTACCTTGATCAAGATCAAGTAATTTTGGTGGATGTTCAAGTACTTTTAATTGATCATCTGATGATGATTCAACAACTTGTAGTTGACGTTTGTCATCTTTAGTTTTAATTGTATATGAACCGAAATCATCTTTTTTCAATGAAATTATTGTTAATGTTCTTGTAACATTGGTGTTTTTAATAGTTAAACCTGTTGATTTTAATGGTGTTGAATCCGATGATGCTAATTTAATGCCATCATGATACCAAACAACATGACCTTGTGGAAAATTTAATTCACATGTCAATGTTAACGGTGAACCTATTTTACCGTTTAATTTTTCATCACATTGAACAATAAGAATTTTAGGTTCAGTAAGTTGAACAATTTTAGGTTCACTTATTTTACTTGATTCAACTTCAAAACGATATGTACCTTCATCTTCTGGTTTAGAATCACGAATTGTCATTATATATCGTACACCTTGATTATCAACATCAGGCTCTTGCTTAAATGATATTCTCGAATCAGGTTTCATTGATAGATCTTTACCAGCTTTAATCCATTTAGCATTTTTTTTAACATCACGACTTAATGTTATAGATAACGTAAATTCATTTCCAAGAATTGGTTCAACTGGCTGAAGAGTTAATGGAACAAGAACTTTAACTGGTGTTTCAAGAACTTTTAAACGAGCTGATGATTGAGTATCATCAGGAAGTTTTACTGTATAAGTATCAGCGTCTGTTAGTTCAACTGAAGGAATTGTTAAAGTAAATGTACAATCGATTTGTGAATATTCATATTTAGATGTTGAATCTGTTGGCAGAGCGATTTTACCTAGAATAAAATTATTATTAAAATCAAATGAAATAATGCTTGTTTAAAAAAAAACCAAATGTATTGATATGAATACTTCATCTCTAAAAATGTATATGGAAAATTCTCGTTGTTGCAAATATAGTTCATAAATAATAGATCAGACGCTCTCTTTTTTTTATTACTATTACAATAAATTCAATCATATTATATTTCTATTTTAGAGCATAATATTTAAGAAAAGAAAAAGAAAAACGTTTTTGAGAATTTAGCTACAATTCTATACAATATAAATCAAATTGATTTTGACTTTAAATTAAAAGAAATTTCAAGATCTAATCTCAGATGTTGTGTTTTTTTTTCTTCTGATGAGTAAATGATTAGAACTCATAGTATCTATTAAGAATATATTTTTCAAAGTAAACCATATTTCATATTAGTGTTTAGACATGAATTTCAATATAGATATATTTGGGAATTTACCTTTAAACCATTGAATTGTTTTATCTGGTATTCGATTTAATGTAAATGTAGCTTGGACAGATTCACCTTCATATGGTGATTCTTTATCCCATTTTAATTGTTTAAGAAATTTGACTGGATTCGGTGTTAATCTTAATGTATACGAAGTTTCAACTCCATCAGCGATAACTGTATATTTTCCTTTATCATTCGGTTTCGTTTTTGGTAAATTAATTTTGAATGTTGCATTTAAATCGTTCAATTCTTGATCAAAGTCCATTTGTTTTCCATCCTTATAAACTTCAATTGTTTTGGGTTTTTTAGAAAATTGACATGATAATGTAACATCATCACATTCAACTGGTTTATCTTTATCCGCCATTAACGGTTTTAATATGGTCAATGGTTTTTCTTTAACTTGTAATTGTGTTGATAATTTTTCATCTGAAAATGGTATACGACATTCTAATTGCCCAGCATCTTGTGGGCGAATATTTTTAATTGTTAATATCGAACGTAATCCATCAGTCGATAAAATAAAACGATCATTTGGAACAATTAATTGATCATTCAAATACCAATCTAATACTTGATCTTTCAATGGTTTATTTAATGTTACTGTGCATGTCACATTATCATCTTCTTTAGGTAACTTTGGATTTAATTCGATGATTCCTTGAAATTTCATTGGTAACGGTTGTATAATTAATTCATAGGATTGTTTTTGTCCATCAACATCAATGGTAAAAACTTTTGAATCTTGTTCAACATTCAAATTTTTTATTTTTAATAATAAATCTTGTTGATCAAAACGTTTTCGATCAATAATAGGTGACCATTTAATTTGTTTCGGTGGAAGTACTGTATCACATATTAATGTTATTGTTTGACCTTCAATCGGTTCACCTTGACAACGTATTGGACTGAGTTCTTGCAAAATATTCAATTCTATAGATGATTCAATATCAGAATCAAGTTCAACGCGATATTGTCCCAAGTCATCGATTTCTAATTTTGATAAAATTAAATCATGTTGAGTTGAATTTTCTGTACTAGAAATATTTGCGCGACGTGTTGAAACCTTTCGTGAACCTTTATACCATTGAACATCTTTAACTGGTAATGATGTTTTACATCTTAATGTAACTTTTTCATTTAACTTCAATTCTATTCGATTCTCATCAAGAATAATATGTAACGGTTGAACAAGTTCATTTTTGCCTTTCTTTGTTAATTTTCTTAAAATATTAACTTGTGTTGAACATTGTTTACCATTAGGTAATTTAAGTGTATATTTTCCTGTATCATTTTCAATATTTCCTTGTGGAATTTCTAATGTTATTGATAAATCTTCATTAATTGAAGTTTTAATTGATAATGGAATTGGTTTACCATTGCGTAACCAAACGATATCATTAGATGAATCAGGTTTACGATTTAATTTAGCTTCAAGATAAATTGGTTCAGTTTCATTGATTTCGATTTTATCTTTTAATGGCACAGAAAAATCTAAATCCTCTTTTTGTTTTGGTTCAATATTGACTTGCAATGAACTTTTAAGATCTGATCCAAGCGGAATTTCATATAAACCCGAATCATCAGGTATAACATTTTCTAATATAAATTGATATCTTCCATCATTGAAATTTTTCATAGGAATTTTTCTTGTTGGTTTTACACCATTTCTAAGAAGAACTATATCAGCTTGTGATGGCTTACTTAATTGAATCTCAAGTAAAAGATTTTCTGGTTGTTCATCATTCGGAACGATGTGCAAATCTTTAAGAATTTTAATTTCTTCTGGTTTAACATTAACTTGAGATGATGTTTTAATTTTATGTGTTGGAATTTCGACTGAATATGAACCTTGTTCATTTATGTTAATTTGTTTTATTGTTAGAAAATGTGATTTACCATCCTGTTCAATTTGTATACGATCATTATCGGCTTCTATTGGTTTATTATTTAATTTCCATATGACTGGAATTTGCTTTAACTCATGAGATAAAGAAAATTTAAGAATAAGATTTTCATTTTCAATTAATGACATATCTTTCAATGGTTCGCTTAATGTTACTGTTATAGTTTTCACTGCTAATGGTGCTGAACATTTCTTGGATGCAGGCTGATCTATAACACATGTATATGTACCAGCATCTTTTTTTTCTAAGATTTTTAGTGTTAATAAATGTATATGAGGATTTTCGGCATCAATTGATGGTTGAACACGATCATTTATTGCTAAAGTTTTATTATCTTTTAACCATTTTACTTTAATAGTTGGTTTATTTAATTCACATTCAAATGATATGGTATCACCAGTTATAGCATCGATTGGTTCTATAAATAAAATCTTATTTAAAATGAAAGCCCAATTATATTCATAACATTCTAATAGTATCAATCAAATTTATTCATTCCTATTATTAATTTTTCTTTTTATCACTTGCATGTTTCCTATATTCTGGAAACCTAGAAACAATATTGACTAGCAGTCAGTAGATCTAATTGAATGTTGTTTCTTTCTATGAGCTTATCTATATTCAATGTGAACCACTCTTCTCTATCTCAGGCTTTGTTATATTAAATTATTCAATAAAATCTTGGTAGTCAAACGAAATATAAATAATTATATGATTTTGCCAAATAAAAGAGTGCATCAACTGTGTTCTGATAAATTATTGAAAGGAAGGATATTTAGCTAATTGAAATTCAGCTTCTAGTAGCAGATTCCATAGTTCGATATCGTGTCTATATCGAATGCTAACTGTAACTGTAAGGAGAAGTTCTACATGACAAAGAATGTTTATGCTTAATTAATTACTTGAACTCTTCATTTACACTGATTAATTACAAGAGCAGCTATGCAACATAATGCAGTTAGTCTACTATCGAAAGATTCACTCAAGATAAATAGACTTCAACGATTGGATACATTATTTACGATATAATATAAAATGGTAAAAACATTTCAACACAAATAAAAATAATGTTTTTTTTAAATTTTATTGCTTATAGTGAAGGTATTTTAGAGAGAAAAAAAATGTGAATTAGAGTAAAAAAGTAAAGTTTGCTTATTTATCTATATATTAGTTGAGATTTATGATATATAAAGCAAACGAGAGAATGTCTTTGAACAACAGTAAAAGTAAAATAACTCATGCACTCAATGAATTTGTACAGATTTCATAGCATTACAAGAAAGCTAAATTATTTGTTTCACATAACATATTCAAAGTTTACGATGCATTTGAAATTAATTCAGTTCTGAAGAAGAGAAAATATTCTTTTAAAGTCAGTCCCGATTCCGATTCGGCTTCCGAACTCCGATTTCTAGTAGTATATATATATATATATATAGCCTATTTCTGTTAAATGACATTGTAATGTTTTGTATCAATAGTGATCGATGTGACTACGAAGCTACTTCGAGTATTCAAAAACTTTCTTATATATTCTCATAAAATGAGTCAACATACCAATTTTATGAACGAAATCAGCTGGCATCTCTTTAACTTTCAATGTTGCTGTTGTGGCTTTTCCATTTGATTTTATTTGGCATGTATATGAACCTTGATCAATCATTAAAATATCATTGACAAATAATGAATGATCTTTTCCATTATTTTCTAATTTATAATGTTCATTTGATTCAATTAATTTACTATCCTTAAACCATTCAACAGGAAGATTATCTCTATTTGTTTCACATTTTAATTCAACTGTATTAAATTCATCAATTTCAGTATTTTGTAATTTTTTTGTAAAATCTGCAGGTGGAGTACCAGCTTCTTCAATTGTTACTTGACACGAACTGGAATCATCTGGCGTACGAATTTCATATTGTCCTGCATCTTGTTTAGCATCAACTTTTTGTACCACTAATGTATGACGTCGTCCTTTTGACATTATAGTTACGTGAGGTGCATCACCACCAGGAGGAATTTCTTTGCCATTAATAAACCAAACTACTGGTGCATGCTCGTTATCAATACGTGCTTCAAGAGATAAATTTTGATTTTCTTGTAAAGTAACATCTTTTAATGGTTGCGTTATTTTACTTGGTAAAGGTTTAACAGTAACGTTACATGTTGATCTTAGCGAATCATTTAGAGCTAAAAACTCATAGGTACCACTATCACCCATCGGTAAAACACTATCAATCATAAGTGTGTAATGTGTACCGTCAGCAGTAATTCGTGTTCGTTTATCTTTTCGAATAGGTGTATTTGTATCATCTTTGATAAAACGACAACCAGGAATATTTGGATGTGATAGTTCAACATCAAGTTTTAATTGTTCACCTGAAAAAAGTAAAAAAGAAAGTTTTTTTTTCATATTATTTTTCATATGATTTCTTTTCTAATAATAGTAATTTTCTCAATATATAAGAATGACAATCTTTTACGAATGAAATTCTCGTTCCATCATTATCATAATGGATTAAGAATATATATATTTTTTTGTTCTATATTTTATAATACGTTCATGACGCGTTAATTAGTATTACTTTATCATTAGTTTTTGACAGCGATGTGCATTAATTTGCCTATTTCTTGTTTTCTTTTGAAGAGCTCATTGATTACAATTACAGAAGTGCATCTTTCAAAGATGCACAACGGCATATTTTTCATTTCTCTTTATAACTCTTTTTTTTCTTCTTAAAAAATCTGTCAGCGGCTTATTTTTTTATTCATTAAATCTTTTTCAACTCTTTGTATTCAATGATAAAAGTACGAACACAATAGCATCAACTACTATAACAAACATCGATTTATTTCGATTTGAATATTATATAGTAACATGTATTAGTATGCTAATCGGAGTTGTATTTTCATGCTTAAGTTTAATACGTTATTTTCGATATAATTATCAAAGAACACATTTAACTTATGTTTATCATTTTTCACTTGGATTTTCTTTAGTTTTATCTATGTTAAGTACACCATTATTGCATATATTAACCGACTAGTTTAATTCAACAATTCCAATAATATCTGAACAACAACATCGTTTATTATATAATTTTGATTTCATAACTTTTTGTTGTTGCATCAGCAGGTATTGGTTATTTAATAGCATATGCAAGTTTAGAGAGAACATTTTTTATATTTCATTCGCAAAACATACGATTAGCATAGACAAGACAATCTACACCATTTTTAATTCTATTTTCTTTATATAGTGTAATTACAATGATATTTATTCTGCTAGTAAAATGCCCGATGAATAGATAACTCCCAACGTTTATCAGGTTATTTTGAAACATTAGAACTTCAATAAGTATGGTTTTTATTATAATTTATCTGACGATTTACATTTATGCTAATATCTATTTTATTTCTTATCTATCGGATTGAAATTCATATTAATCGCATTCGAACTTCTTTGAATCGAAAACGTTCCAGAAATAAATTCCAATGAATTCTTATTCATTTAAATATTTATAATATATATTTTTTGATATCAATATGTTCGATAAATATTTATTCATTAATCCGGATAGATATGAATATTTAAAACGCTTTATTGAAATAATCTTAATCAATTATTTATTTATTTATTACTCTTCATAGTTATCCTATTCTAATCGTTTTACTGACGCAAGTTAAACAACAAACTCGAATTAAATTTAATCAAGAACAAAAACAATCTTCATATGTAATAAGAACTGATCCTTCTATTGAATTAAATGAATATCAACGAACTCGATTATAGAAATTAAATTTCTTACCTTGAGGTACAATTAATGTTTCTGGTAAACCTTTAATAATACGAATAGAAGCTTTGACAACATTAACATCACAATTTGTCGTGTTATTATTTTGACGATCTTTGCATGTATAATTTCCAGTATCATCAAGTTCTGCTTTAAGTACTATAAAAAATAAAAATAAAACAGAATTAAGAAATTCTACGTTTTGTTTTTATTTTCTTTCAAAGAAATAAAACGAACCTTTTAATTTTCTCTTTGTACCCTCGTTAATAATTTTAAAACGAGGACTATTATCTTGAATAAGATCATCATCTAAATACCAATCAGTTACTTGTTTAGGATTATTAACTTCGCATTCAAGAATAAAATCCGTGTCTTCATCAGCTTTTAATTGATTAGGCAATAATGTACGAAAACCTCCTTGTACTGGCTCTTCTGGTTCAGGCTTTGGTGATGGTGATCGGACTTTTTCCTCCAAAGGTTCAACAATAACTTCAGCTGTTGAAGATGTGTTATTATCAATAATTATTGTATATTGTCCATTGTCATTTTCATCACAATCGTTTATAATAAGACCTATTTTTTTTTTTAATAAAAGACATTTGCATTTTATTAGGAGTAGTTAAGTGTCACATAAATAGTTTAGTCTTCTGTTTTTTTCCTCCTAAGCATTCATACTTCAGAAAGAGAAAAATATAATTCTATATAGGAAAAAAAATTAAACTCTTTGAAAAGAATTCTTACACATAATACATATACAAGAAGAAAAGTGTGCCTGCGGTATCTCAAGAATTAACTTGCTTTTTGAAAGAAATTCTACAAAACTCTTTATCAAATATTATTGAGCCGTATACATATCCTACTTTTTATCCTATTGAAAGTAAATGATACTATATTGGCTTTATTAACATTGAAGTAACCCATTTTTACAAAATTTGATTTTTTTTGTCTAATTCAAAAGAAATAGAAAGTCAATTCAGAGAATCTATTTTAATTCTTTTTCACAGATAATGATATATACAAGACTAAGATGAACAAGTTATCCCTGTACTTTTCTATTGGCGTCTATAAAAATTTTAAAAATTAGTCGATATGCTATCTACGAACGTTGAGAAGAGAACTGCTTTCAATGTTTTTCTGTCCGACGGAATAATTTTGATAAATTTTTAGTATCTTATACTTTCAAAAAAGATGATAACTTTTGTGTTACCTTGTAATTTTCCATTATTCATAATTTCATATTTATCACTATCTTCAATAACATGTCCATTTTTATCTTTCCAAACAATATTTTGTGGCCGTCTAGAAAGTTCACATTCAAGTAACGCACTTTTCATATATTCAACATGTACAGGCGTCGTTAAATGTTGAAGAAAATCGACTCCAGCAGGTTCAATAGTACATTGTGAATGTGTTTCAATGTTTGTTGGTAAGACACATCGATATAAGCCAGAATCAGCTGCAACTGGCTGTAATATACGTAATTTATGTATTGTATTATTTTTTAATGACTCAATTTGATAATGTTTTTTCAGTTCATTCGGTAATAATTTTTGTTGATCATGAAACCATTGAACAGTTGTTGACTTGGATGTTTCACATTCAAAAACAAGCTCATTTTCTTTACCTTCCATTGTATTTATATTTGATGGCGTTAAATCCTTTGTGAATCGAAGATCATCTTAAATAAATAAAAAAAGCAATGATCATATTTTTCATTATTTCCATAAATAAATAATCAACAAAAAATAATATTTACCTGTAATTGTTAACTCAGCAGTTCGTTCATCATCATCGCTTTTAACTGTATAAATTCCTGAATCAGCAATTGCAGTAGATTTAATGATTAATTGCCGTTGTAGATTTTTTACAATAATTTTATGATTTTGATCGTCTTTTATTTCTTTATTATTGAAAAACCATTTAATTTTACCTTTTTCTTGATTGATTGTCGTTGTTAAAATTAATTCAGTCTTTTCAGGAATATTATTCTGATCAGATGCCGATACTTGAATATCGGTAGTGAATAAAACAGGTAATGGTTTAACAAGAATTGTAACTGATTGACTTCGAAGGCCATCTTTATTCGTAACTGTTGAATCTTTAACAATTGTTTCACATTTTCCTTTATCATCAAGTTGAGCTGCATCGAAACGAATTCTTACAGATGATGAATTATCTTCATAGATTATTTGAGTATGCTTATCAATTGAAACGCGTTTATTATCACGGTTAAGAACAACATTTCTCACTGATTTATTATAACGAATGAGTAATTCAAACGGTGAATTTTCACTAACAGTATTATTATCATCTGTGGCGTCAACTAGGTGAAGTTGTTTGATGATCGATAATGGTTTATCGTGTACTTTTAATCGTGTACTGGTATCATTTGTTTTATCGATGGTTACTTTGTAAATACCTAAAGAAGACGATTGATTTATATCTACATAATACTACTACGTTAACGAAATTTTCTAAGTCAAAATTAATAATTGGACATGTTAGATTCGACTATATTGATAGAAGTATTTGTTAAGAAGAAATAAATGAAAAGAAAATGAAGACGAAGATAAAGATACACGAGGAGCAATCACTGAGCATAGATGGAATTTACAATTACAAGAATTCTATCTGAGATGCCTGAAAATTGGTAGCGACATAAAAAGGATGTTGATGCACTGAATTCTAGCAGGTTCTTCCTAAAACTTAACTATGAATTATATAGAATGAAGATCTCCAAAGATTTTTCATTGCAAAATGCAATAATTTATACATTTGTTTGTTAAATATCTCTCTTACGCATACGTCATAGAATATAAAATCCTAGTATAATATCATTTTCGATTGAAAACAAGCGAGATGATGCAATAATGCCCTGAAGCATTCAATGACAAAGTGAAAATATCTTCTCAATCTTGAATTCTTCAAAATGAAAATCATTATATAATTAATTTAATAACATTTAAAAAAGAACAGTTATACATGTTTTCTTTTTCTAAAAGAAAATCTTAACTATTAAAAAATTACAACTAGTTAACACGCAAGAAAGATGAAAATAAATCGAGGTAAAGTGAAATCTTACCAGCATCATCAAGTTTGACATTACTTAAATGAACTTTCAATGTTGTTCCATCTCGTTCAATTTTAACTCGTTCATTATCAGCTGCTGATAGTACTTTACTATTTTTAAGTAATGCGACTGGTACATTGTTATCATCAATAGGTCTATTTAAAACACATTGCATAATAACATTTGAATCTTCTTCAATATCATCGGATGGAATACATTTTAGCTGCTGAATAAATTCAAATGGTGGTAATGCAACATTTAAATTAATCTGTTCTACAAGTTCTCCATCATTAAAATTGATTGAGTAGACCCCTGAATCGTCTAATTTTAAATTCGATAGTTTCAAACGATATTTTGTTTGATCTTTTGTTGGTGCTGGTTGATTTTCCAATGGAATATCATTTTTTAACCACACACATGGAATATTTGGACGATTCAATTCAATTACAAGTTCGATATTACCTGCAACCACAGCTGTTCCAATAATTTTTAACGGTGTAACAGTTTTTAGTGGAATTGATTGTATTTTAATATCACATTGAGTAATAATTTCATCGTCGATTTTTAAAGCGTAATTGCCACTTTGATCTAATCTAACATTTTCAATAGATAATTTGAATTGTTGTCCATCCCGCGATGGAATTGAGCGAATACGTTTATTATCAATAGCGATTGGTTTATCATCTTTTAACCAAACAATTGTAGGATTTTCAGGTACATTGTTTAATTTTGTAGAAAGTACAAGTGTATCTTCTTCGAAAACACCTTTATCGCATTGTAATGGTTGAATGATTTCAATTGGTTTCGGTCGAACTTTAACATTCACTTTTTGCGATTGAAGTTCTTGAGGCTGAAGAATTTTCAATTGATAATCTCCTTGGTCAACATTTAATTTAACATTTGATAAAGTGAAAACAATTTTAGGGTTTGTTGAATTAACATCAACTTTTAAACGCTTTGTCTGGTCAATTGATAATGATTTTCCATTGAGTGTTAATGAAAGATCTTTACTATCGCCAGTAGGTAATGGAGACGATAATTCGCATTGTAATGTAATCGTTTCCTCCACGAATGGCTCAGAGTTCGATACACTTAAATCTTCCACGAATCTTAACGGTTTCATAATTGTAATTTTAACTTTCGGCGAAGAAACTTTTTCATTGACTGTAACCATATATTCACCTGCATCAGTTTCCTGCTTCACATTATCAATCTTTATTTGCCATTTATTACCAGTGTGAGTTATTCGTATACGATTGTCCTCATTTTCAGTTAATGGTTTCTCGTTGAGTGAGAACAGTACAGATTTATAATTTGGCTTATCTAATTCACACTCAAGTACTAATGCTTCACCTTCATTCAATGGATTCTTCAATGCCCGAAGCGGTTTAACAAATCTGATTTCTTCTGGTTTGATCGTTACTTTGACTGTGGCACTTTTCAAAGGTTTTCCTAGATCGGGACCAGAGATTTCCAGATAGTAATCCCCGGACATTGATGAGTCCACACTTGGAAGCTCCAAATTCACTTTTTCACTTGCATACTCTTTATCGACAGGAATTCGTCCTTCACCGCAATACCACTGAATTGTTTCGCCAACTTTTATCGGCCGGCTTAATTCACAAAAAAATTCCAGTGTTTCATTTTCATCTAAAATCGCCTTTTTTGCGTTTAGGTCCTTCACAAAGCTTAATGGCTTCTCTACCACCGCAACTGTCATCATATCGCTTTCAATTGTCTTCACCTGCACAGAATAAGTGCCACTATGATCGTCAGGTTGTGCATTCTTGATTGTCAATTTAAGTTTTGGTCCATCTTGAGTAAATTGAATATGCTCATCTTGCTCGATTGGTTGACCATCTTTGAGCCATACGATTTCGCTGAATGGTTTGTTCAGGGTACACTCAAAATTGAGTGTTTCACCAACATCGAACTGCTTCTTGTTGATGGTGAGATTCTTGACGAATTTAGGAATATCGGCATTGACAGTGATCGATACTGGTTTACTTTCCACCTCGTCATTGACTTTCACCGAAAATTTTCCTGATTCATCTAGTTTGATGTTATCTAATGTAAATTTAATCTTTTTATCCTTGATCTCAGTCTTGACACGATCTGTAGGTATGATTTCTCCGTTTAATAAAAGTTTGACCGTAGTTGGTGTCATGTCAAGTTCTGCTTCGATGATCAGTTGCTCACCTTCAAGCATGGTTGTTTTATTGGGTTTAAGATCCTTGATGAATTTAGGTAGTTGCTTCGGTGCTTCAACGTTTTGTTCTTCAATAGTTTCCTGGATTTCTTCTGGTACTTCTTGAGGAACGTCTGGTGTGGTTTCTGGCACTGACTCAGAAAGTGGTTCCTAGATTGACAAATTAGAACATTAGTTATGAAAGCATGCGTCTGCGTGAGTAGCAAGTCAGCGTTCTCGTGCGCTAGAAAGAAATACTCTAAGAAATCACCGCTGACCTGATGTTAACACTGAAACCACTCTTTTACTGTTACGTGTATGTTAGAGTTAGTCGGTGGTAGTTGTTACATTTGTTATGATATACTTCTGACGTGGTAGGAGTGTGGCGGTCTGTTGAAGAGGGTAGTGTGAAGCGGCCTTTTCCGTGAAAGTTATGGAATAAAAATGTATTTTCCTCGCATCAGAACGTTTCATAATAGATAAAGTAACTAAAAGTCTGTCGGATCGTATGATACAAACGGAAATTATCATTCTGTTTTCCTGAACTGATTATTCCTTGTTGCTGATTGATAAAGCAGTATAATATTTAGATACAAAGTGTCCATAAGCAGAATGAATATGACGGGGTGTTATTTTCTGGCCTTATGATTGGTTCTCCTCGTACTTATTCTCCAATCGGTCGTAGTATTCCTTTATGAACTGGCTGACACTTTTATGCTTGCCCAGTCACATATTCCATCTGCGTTTAAGGTAGTCTAGCTGACCCAATCACTATCTAGTAACACATTTTCATTCTACTTTGATTGGTTTTAGCTCTTATTCTGTTTCTCCATAATTATCAAATTTTCTTCCTCTATATGATCCGATTATTTTCCTAGTTTCCCTTTCATTTTTTTGCATCGGGTTTCGTTTTTCTTCGTCGACTGTGCTAGGCTCTACTCTTTGAGTATTCTCTATTTGAAATCCTAGACAAGGTTGAGTTTTACGATGCCACCGTTTTAGTTTTACTCTACCATAGATGTTGCTAATGCCTTCTCTAGTCGTTCTGCTTTCTCTTTCTCAACTACCTTCGGCATTTTCTCTTCTATTGGTATTAGCATTTCTTCTTCCACTAGTGCATCTTTTACCTCTTCGATTAATTTCGATGCTTCTTCTTCGACAGGTTTTGGTTTCTCCTCCTCAACTAGCTCAGTTTTCTCCATGTCTACAAGGTTAAGTTTTCCTTCTTCTTCTAGTTGTGGTATTTCCTCTTCCAGTTGTTTTGTTTCTTCCTGCTCCATCCATTTTCGTATTTCTTGAGACGCTGGTTGGGGTTTCCCATCTTCGACTGACTCGGGGTTTTCATCTTCCGATTGCTCAGGCTTTACCTCTTCAGTCGATTTTCGTTTTTCCTCTTCAGCTGGTGTTAGTTTACCCACTTCTATTGATGCTGGCGTTTCTTCTTCAACAGGTTTTAGTCTTTCCTCTTTCGCTGGTTCGGTCTTTACCTTTTCAGTTAGTTTTCCTGTTTTCTCCTCCACTGGCTTAGGTTTTCCCTGTTCTACTGGTTCTGATTTTATCTCTTCCGCTGGTTTCGGTATTCCTCTTTCAACTGGTTTTGGTGTTTCCTCCTCCACTAGTGTCGGTTTCTGTTTTTCCACTGGCTTAGGTTTTTCCTCTTCCACTGGTTTGGGTTTTACCTCTTCAGATGGTTGTGATTTTTCCTCCTCTACGGGTGTTGGTTTCTCTTCTTCCCCTGGTTGCGGCTTTTCCTCTTCTACTGGCTTGGGTTTTACCGCTTCAGCTGGTTGTGGTTTTTCGTCCTCCACTGGTGTTGGTTTCTTTTCTTCAACTGGCTGGCGTATTTTCTCTTCCACTGGCTTAGGTTTTTCTTCTTCCACCGGTTTCGGTGTTTCTTCTTCCACCGGTTTCGGTGTTTCTTCTTCAAGTGGTTTTGGAGTTTCCTCCTCCACAGGTGTTGGTTTCTCTTCTTGCGCTGGTTGAGATTTTTCCTCTTCCACTGGTTTGGGTTTTACCGCTTCAGCTGGTTGTGGTTTTTCCTCCTCCACTGGTGTCGGTTTCTTTTCTTCAACTGGCTGGGGTATTTTCTCTTGCACTGGCTTAGGTTTTTCTTCTTCCACTGGTTTCGATGTGTCTTCTTCAACTAGTTTTGGTGTTTCCTCCTCGACGGTTGTCGGTTTCTCTTCTTTCACTGGTTGCGGTTTTTCCTCTTCGATTAGTTCGGACTTTACCTCTTCAGCTGGTTGTGGCTTTTCCTCCTCCACGGGTGTTGGTTTCTCTTCTTCCACTGGTTGTGGTTTTTCCTCTTTAAGTGGTTCGGGTTTTACCTCTTCAGCTGGTTGTGGTTTTTCCTCATCCACTGGCTTGAGTTTTACGTCTTCAGATGATTTCGGATTCTCTTCTGCCGTTGGTTCGGTCTTTGGTTTGTCTTCAACCGGCTGTGTGGGTCCTTGTGGTTCTTGATTCGGTGTGGATCCCTGTGGTTGCTGCAGAAGTGTTGTCGTGTCTTCTTCCAATTTAGGTGATGGCTGTTGATCGATACTTTCTGATTCAGTTTCTTTGGTGATAGTTTCAAGTTTCTAAAATAGAAAAGTGAAATTATAGGGAAAATGAAAGAAGTTTGAAGCACCCTTACTTGGTCTGGTGTGGGTTCTATTTTTGGTTTTCTTTGTAATTCAAATGATTCTGTTTCTTCATCTTCAACTAAGGTAGTTGTTTCTACTTCTTCTTCCTCGACATTTTCGATGACTCGAATAAATGGTGTCTCTAGTACCAAATGTGAACTTTCCAATTTGTAGACTCCTTCGTGTTGTTTAGGCCGTAGATCTTTAACTGTTAAAGTGTATGATTTTCCGTCAGCAGCTGTTTCAGTTGTAATTCTATCGTCGTTAAGTTGAGTTAAAGGAATATCGTTTAATTTCCAAACCAATGGTTCGTCTGGTTTACTGTCAAATTCACATTGAATAGTCAACGTTTCCCCTTCGTCAAACACCTCTTTTGGTAACCGGAGAGAATCATGAATAACAGGTTTTGCTAGAACTCGCAAGTTCATTAGGTTTTGACTGGGTTTATTACCAAATTGAATTGAGTAGGTACCTTGATCGCCCGGTTTGACATTTTCTAAATTGATTTCAATAGTGGTTGACGATGTTGGCAATATTGTCAAACAAGTACTGGGTTCAAGCTTTTGGCCATTTTTAAATAAAACTATTTGTGTGATGTCGGTTCCTGTTGGCTGTTCAATTTTGAGATTAACACTATTGCCTTCGACAACTTCATATGTTGGAATATCGGTCGGTTTTTGCTCGTCTTCCTCACCTACATCTTCAACGGCAACCTGTGTTTTCGGAATTTCAACGTCCGATTTTTTTAGCCTTGCGGGCATGACTTCAAGCATACAAAGTGTTTGTAATTTCCCTCTGAATTCAACACTGTATCGGCCAGCATCTTCCGGCTTGGTATCCGATACGACAATGTAGTTATCGGTTCCACCATCTTTTTCAATAGTAATGCGGCTTTCGTCATCATCCAATGTTGTTACACGTACATCATTTATATATAGATTCAATTCAGTTGCTTCTGTTGTTTTAGAATCAGGTACACGAATCGATATTGTGTCACCTGCTGGAATACGAACGATTGGAATCTCAATTTCACTTCGATCTATTTTCTCTTCGTCTTTTGGCACCTGAATATAAATTTAAAGTAAATAATTAAAAGTGAAGTAAAGATAAAAATAAGCAATACTACTTCATCTGATGGCTTCTCAAGAGCAGATTCCATGGTAACTTCTTCCTGCAAACAAACAAAAACAATTTTATTTATTTCGAACAATACTTAAAATCCTACATTAGATTCGTTCGGGACTTTTTTCTCCACCACTGGTATCACATTTACTGCCGGTTTCATTTCATCTGATGTAGGAGATTCTTCAGAACCCTAGAACGACAGAGAATGACAATATTTATTCTTTAAGTCAGACCTATGATGCTCATTGGTGGCAAACATTTAATATTTCTGTCGAGGCGTATTGTATCTAGATAAATTCTACAGATAAATTACCTGATCAGTGCTACTATCGAGCAAAGGTGCTTCCGGCATTCCAGAAGCGACAATATCTTCTTCACTAGTTTTTATTTCGGTATCCAATTTCTTCTCATGAGACACAACAGTGATATTCGGTGTGTCCAGAATCAAATGATCTGATTTCAATGTGTAAACACCTTCATCTTCATCTGGACGAAGATTTTTTACGGTGATCGTATATTTATTATCTTCCACCTTAGTCGAAATTCGATCATCCGGTGTAAGAGGTATTCCATTTCGTAGAAATTCAAATGTTTCTTCAGGTATAGTGTCGAGCTGGTATTTGATTGTCAGCGTTGCGCCTTCTTTAAAGTTTGTTTGAGGAAGTTCCATTATCTGATGTATAACAGGCTTTGGTATAACTTTGAGTTGCATTACTGGTTGTTCTTTTCCGTCGATAAGAACACTGTACTTTCCTTCATCATCAGGCTTAGCCCTGATGATTTGAATCTCAACAGTTGTTGGCGATGTTTTAGCCAATTTGATATGTTCGGACGGGTGTAATTCTTCGTTGTTTTTCAGTAGTATAACTTCTGTATGAAATGTACCTTCGGGTAATTGTATTGTCAATGTGACAGTAGTAGTTTCTTCAACTTCATGTACAGGACCGCTTTCGGGCAAGTTCTTTTGTAGCTAGAAAAATAATTCAAAATAGTTTTAGGCGTCCTACTGCCGAGTAAGCTTGTTCTGCTCCGATGATTCCCGCCGCTTCGCAATGGTGAGTGCTTTTTTCTTCGATAAATGAAATTATCGGTTTTTATGTGTAACCGACAGTCCTTCATGGTAATGATGAGACTTTTGCGGTATCGTATGACATTTGTTGTTCCACTTGCTCTGCAAGCAGAACATCTGCACTGAATCGAATGCTAACACGAGAGAAGCAGTGATTTTTGTCCTATTAATTCGCTCAGTTGTTGTAGTGGCATTCTTTTGGTAAACTATCTGTAGGAACTTTTCTGTTTTCATGTCTCTATGTTGACTACTGTGTCTGTTGGGTGATTAGTTTTGCCTACACTAATGGTGTTCCAATCTCGAAGGGCTCTCGTTTTACTTGGGACTGACTTTTCTTTTTTCTGTTTTCGATTCTCCTCAGGACATTCCTTTGCAGGTAAACTTGTTGTTTTATTGATTTACAGCTGCTTCATCCTCTCTAGCAGCTTACTTTTCCATTTAATAAATCGTACTAACGTCTCGCTCCCTAATGACACCAAGTTATTTTGAGACACATTTGCTTTTCGCTTGCGTTAAATAGGATTCTTCTTCTTCAATAACATCTACCTAAACTTTCTCTCCTTCTTTCTACTTAAGTAGTGTCTATTCTCTTTCAACAAACCGCTATCTATGCGCATCCAGTAACTCGCTGTCTGAACTCTACACCTTATAATCATTCTCTTCTTCAACACGTCGTGCTGTTTTTTGAATTTCAGGGATACAGGCTCCACCATATTCGTTTATTTTCCTCCTTCGTCATTTATTGACGTCTTTTTGCCAATTCTCATTCATTCATGCTTCGTGCATGCCAGTGATTCTTTTCATTCTTGCTCAATTGTATTCAGCTGCTACTGCCAAGGTGGCCCTCTCTTCCATGACCGCAAAATTTTTAGTTTGAACACACAATAGGTTTTGGTGATAAAGTCCTATCGACTCTTATTTTTACCTACTTTTTCTGTATCTACTACTACCACTAGAGTTTATTGTGCTTCTCCTGTTGTTCAATACTCTTTTCCACTAGCTCATATTTCAACGAATCAATCAACAACTACGAATGCTCGTCTATGAGTTATTTTCCATCTATTTCCAGTAAAATTCGACGACTATCTTCGACAGGCTTCTGTATTACCTCGTCCACTTCTTGTACACTCTTTTTTTCGATTGATGTGGACTCTTCTCGTAAGTCCGGTGTTGATTTCTCTTCTTTAATTGCTTTGCGATCCGCCTCTTCGCCAGGTTCAGTTTTTACATCTTCGATTAGCTGGTTTTCTAGTTCTGCAACCGGCTCCTGCACTTCAATTTGAGTTCGCTTCACTTCTTCCATTGCTGTGGATTTCTCGCCATCAGTTGGTGCAGCGTTCTCCTCTACAAAACCCTTCGTCTTCACTTCATCCGCTTGTAATGGTAAATCTTCTTCAGTTGCTTTTGGTCTCTTTTCCTCAGCCGATTTTCCATTTTCTTCTTCAACTAGGAGACTTTCCTCCTGTTCGATCGCATGCGGTTTCTCCTTTTCGGCTGCTTCCAGCTTCTCGTCGCCCACTAATTTCGGCTTCACCTCTTCCAGTGGTGTCAAAATTCCTTCAACAACTGGCACGGTCTTGTCCTCATCGGTGGGTTTCGGTTTCTCTTCTTCTATCGGTGTTGAAGTATCTTCGACAACGGGTGTTGAAGTTTCTTCGACAACCGGCATTGGTTTTTCTTCTTCGGTTGGTTTCGGTTTCCCTTCCTCAACCGGTGTTGAAGTTTCTTCGAGAACCGGCATTGGTTTTTCCTCTTCGGTTGGTTTCGGTTTCTGTTCTTCTACCGGTGATGTACTTTCTTCGACAACTGGTACTGCTTTTTCTTCTTTCACTTGTACGGTTTTGTCTTCATCGGTTGGTTTCGATTGATCTTCTTCCAGTGGCACTGACTTTCCTTCTTTCACTGGCAGTGCCGTTTCTTCTTCGGTTGGTTTTGGTTTCTCTTCTTCTACAGGTGTTGAACTTTCTTCGACCACTCCAGCTGGTTCTTCTTCCAGAGCTGATAAGGGTTTTTCTTGGTCGGTTGATTTTGGCTTTTCTAGTTCAGGTGGTCGAGGTTTTTCTTCTTCAGTGTCTCGCTCTTTCGTTTGTAAAGTTGCTTGATGGGCGTCTGGATGTTTGAATTCCGGATTGTCTTCGTTGTCAGTTGTTGTTTCACTTGGAAAATTTGTAGGTTCTTGGAGTTCGTTCGGCTGAAAAAAGATGGAATTACTAATTCTAGGTGTTTGCAGCTGCAATGATGTTATTAACTTGTCTTGATGTAACTTTATGACTGGAGCGCAAGTATTGGCGGGAGCCTGTTATGTTTTTTAGGTAGAAATATGCGTCTCTAAATATGTAGCGTGAAGAGAAATGGTAGGCGTCATCCTCTTTTCAGTCAGTCAAAGGTACTTATATGGGAATTTTCAGTTTTCCGGGTTTTGGTTCAGCTTTGGTGCCTTTGCATAGGAAGGAAATCTAGTCGTTTTATTATAGATACATTAGTAGTAAAAGTCTTTTCGATATTTAGTGATGTCTTTCTCGTTTTTGCTGCTTAGTTACGGAAATCAATTTACAGTCACGATTCTGTAGATTTCTGTTCGTTCTTATGAAGTTTCGCTGTCGGGGTACTTTAATGTGATTTTTCTATCGGGCAATGTGTTATTTGTGCCTTACACACATCGTCTGTGTATGTGTAATGTAGCGATTTCATGTCACTTCGTTTGCTATCACGGATAATAAGAGAGCTGGGGGCGCTTGAAATTACATATAGCGTATTTTCACAGTAATTTGTATTGATTTTTCAATTGTCGATAACCGTATTTGAGGCGTTCTCCTTTTTTATTTCAATTTTCCTCGGTTTTAGGCTTTGAGCGTCGTTCACGACTTTCATCGGTTAAAGTGTGCTCGCAAATTTCTATTCAACGGCTATCTATCCCTTGTGGTAGTCGTACTTGTTCCTGAATAATTTTTATTTGTGTTACTTCTTCTAATTTCTGTGTGATGATAGCAGGTAAATCGTTGTCAACTGTTTCGGTCACAGTTTTGTCTTCTTCGTCCACTGTCGTCACGTTCGTTTCCATATTGGTACTTGCATCCTGTCCAGTTTCGTCTGTTACAGTACTTGTAGTCCATACTTCAGGTAACTATTAGATTATAAAAAAACGAGAACACGTTTTTCGGCACAACTTCATTGTTTCTGCTACGAAAGTTCCAAGAAACTTCAGTTACAGTAAGCTTACCTTGCCGCTTTGTATTTTCAGTACTTCGACATCGACGAGTTCTCGTTGATTGATAGGCTCGACTACGATAATTTCTTCTTCGATTTCTTCCACAACGTCAACTACTTCAGGTTTTTCTCCTTTTTTGTTTATACCGGTCACTGATATAGATGGTGTATCGAGAATCAAATGATCTGATTTCAATGTGTAAACACCTTCATCTTCATCTGGACGAAGATTTTTTACGGTGATCGTATATTTATTATCTTCCACCTTAGTCGAAATTCGATCATCCGGTGTAAGAGGTATTCCATTTCGTAGAAATTCAAATGTTTCTTCAGGTATAGTGTCGAGCTGGTATTTGATTGTCAGCGTTGCGCCTTCTTTAAAGTTTGTTTGAGGAAGTTCCATTATCTGATGTATAACAGGCTTTGGTATAACTTTGAGTTGCATTACTGGTTGTTCTTTTCCGTCGATAAGAACACTGTACTTTCCTTCATCATCAGGCTTAGCCCTGATGATTTGAATCTCAACAGTTGTTGGCGATGTTTTAGCCAATTTGATATGTTCGGACGGGTGTAATTCTTCGTTGTTTTTCAGTAGTATAACTTCTGTATGAAATGTACCTTCGGGTAATTGTATTGTCAATGTGACAGTAGTAGTTTCTTCNTTGCATTACTGGTTGTTCTTTTCCGTCGATAAGAACACTGTACTTTCCTTCATCATCAGGCTTAGCCCTGATGATTTGAATCTCAACAGTTGTTGGGGATGTTTTAGCCAATTTGATATGTTCGGACGGGTGTAATTCTTCGTTGTTTTTCAGTAGTATAACTTCTGTATGAAATGTACCTTCGGGTAATTGTATTGTCAATGTGACAGTAGTAGTTTCTTCGACTTCTTGAATTGGAATTTCGCTTTTTTCTTCAGGCTAAATCGCGAAGTAAGAACCATGAAAAACATCGAACGACAGTGCAAATGGTCTTACCTTTGTTTCTTCTAATATTTTTGTCACTTGTTCTTCTTCTTCTTGGGTAGCAGGTTGAGATTGCCGTTGGTCTGGCACAATAAAAACTATTTCTTCTTCGATTGTTGTTGCTGTTTCAATATGAGGTTTTTTCTCTTGAGAAACAACAGTGATATTCGGCGTGTACAGAATCAAATGATCAGATTTTAATGTGTAAACACCGCCATCTTCGTCTGGACGAAGATCTTTTACAATGATCGTATATTTATTGTCTTCCACAACTGTTGTTACACGAGAGTCTGATGCAATGGGTTGATCATTATGAAGAAAGATAAACGGTTCTTCTGGTGAAGCATCAAATTGACAAGCGATAGTGAGTGTCTCGTTTTGATTGAATTCTGTTTTCGGTAATTGCATTTCTTGTCGAATAACAGGTGCGGGTGTTACTTGAAGTTTCATGATTGGCTGGTGTGTTTCATCAATTTGGATAACGTATTCACCTTCGTCCTCCGGTTTTACCTTTTTTATATTTAGTTGCACCGTGTTGTATGAAACAGGGGTAAATTCTACATGGTCGGATAAGGATTGCTGAATACCATCTTTGAGAAGTATTAGATTTGTACTGATTGGGACTTGAATAGTCACCGTAACGTCGCTGTTCTCTTGAACGTGTTGGACAGGCAATTCGAAGACTTTCAGCGGCTAAAAGAGGGGGAGCCCATAATAATCAGAGTTTTTAGAATATCATGCATAAAAAAAGAGACTTCGCGATAAGCAAGCTACGAGACTGGGTGTGCGAAAGCTTTTCCGGGCCTAGGATTCGATTAGACAATTTTGTTTATAAGCGGCTTGATCGGCGGAAGCTCGTTGCGGATAGCGCGCTTACTTTCTGATGGTCGTGCATATATGCTTCGGAAATTACAGCTGCATCTTCGTTGTCAACGGCAACTTCCGGAGCATCTTGTCTATTATGAGAAGATGATTCCGTCACAACTTTTGCCGCTTGCTCTTCTTCAGCGGGTTCGAGCACAGGAACACTTTCAATTTCAACTGTTTTATGTATCAGTGTCTCGTCCGTTGTATTTGTTTTGCCTAGTGATTGTTTCAGCGTCTCTTGCATGAGTTCTAGGGGAGCATTCTTTTCCGACACCTGTTCTTCAGGAACATTTCTTAGCTCCCGCTGTTCAAGCAATTCCCCTATATTCATGTTGGGTTCAACGTTTGAACTCTTTTCGATGGATTTGCGTACATCACTCTTTCCGGATGATATATCCTCCTCAATGATTTCATTTGTAGCAATAGTTGAACTATGCTGCATGATTGTAGGTACACTTAAAACTGCAGATACTTCTTCGCTACTGACAGATATTTGTGGTGATACTTGTTCCGTTGATGACGAATTTTTCTCGATGACTGTAACTGGAGCTCTAGACAAGGTTTCATCAACCCTAGGCATCTCCTCGAATTGTTTGCTTAAACTTGTTTTTTCGAGTTCTTTCGTAGCCTCGTCTTCAGAAACTGATGATATTGATCCGACGTCTTCTGCTTCTGATGTTTTCTCGAAAAGTCGAGTTTTGGGTATAGATGTTTCTTCAAAGTGTTCTTTGGTGGTCGATATAGTGTTAGTGTCATTTTCAGCAGTTCCCTTCTGTTGTTCGTGAACATGTACTTTCTCTTCTTCAGTTGCATCCTCGCTGGAAGTAAATTCCTTGGTGACCACTGTTGCTATTTCAGGTTTTTGTTCCCCCAAGTCTTCATTGGTAGTGGTCTGTTCAGTTCGTGAAACTATTTCATCGGAGTTTGATTGTTCTTCAATTTCAGGAAAGGTCACGTTTGGAACAGTTTTTTCTGTGTCGATCGTGCCAGTAGTTTGAATAACTGTTGAATTCGTCTCAATGTCAGTTAAATCTTCGTTTACGATAGTTTTTTCAGTTAATGGCAAGATTTGTTTATCTGCAATTGGTTTCTCGTTTAATTCGGTTGTGCTTTCGTTGGTAACTCGTGGTTTCGATTCCACTTCTGTATTTTCGTCCGCAATTGGAGCTACATATATAAGCGTACCTTCAGTTGTTTCTTCTGTTGTCGATACAGGTTCGGCGTCAGTAATTATTTCTTTCGGTTGCGTATCAACAGGCGCTTTCTCTTTTTCAGTTACAACCTCAGTACTAGTGAGTTCTTCAATAGTCATTGTTGGTGTGTCAGAATTTTCATTCTTGAAATTTTCAGTGGTAGTGACCTGTTCCGTTGGAGAAACGCTTTCATCGATCTTTGATTCTTCTTCGATTTCAGGAAAAATCATTTTTGGAACAGTTTTTTCTGTGTCAGCTGTGTCAATAGTTTCAGCAGCTATTTGAGTGGTTTCAATTGTAGTTGAGTCGTCCTGTATGACATTTTTTTCAGTGGGTATATATTCAATTGTTGGTAAAGTTTCTTCAACTGTCGAGTTTTCTCTGGATTGCTGATCTTCGATCGGTTTCTGAAGTTGTTCCATGGTCTCCTTTTCAGAAACATGTGACTCTAATTCGACTGTTTGTACTTTTGGCATCTCTGAGACAAGTTGAGTTTTAGGCGTCAACGTGCCTGCTATTTGTTCTTCGGTAGTCGCTGCAGTCGCAGTTTCAGCTGCAACTTGACTGGGGTATTTCTGTTCTTCGTCAACGGTCGCGTTTACTTCCGCATTGGCCTCCTTAGTGACAACGTGTTCTTCCATAGGCACTTGTGTAGTTTGCGATTTTGCGTTGTCAATGTGCTGTATAGTAGTAAGCTGTTCATCATTTGAAAAGGTCTCACGAGGCTGCAACTCTTCTTTCACACTAGTAGAGACAACGCTTTCAATTATTTCTTCTCCTATGATTGTGCTTACAGCTTCCTCATTTATTGGAATCGTTTCAATTCTAGTGATCTCGCCTTTTGTGATGGGGTTTTCAGTAACTATGTTTTCATTTATTGACAAGGTTTCTCCTGCTTTGAGTTTCGCTTCAATTGCATGGTCTATAATTGGATTTTCAGTTTGCTTTGTGGTTTCCTCTTCGACAAAGTGTGAAGTTGAATCAATTGTTTGTGGTTTCGATGTTTCTTGAACAACTGGAGTTTCAACGGTTAATGTCTCTTCTATTCCCTCTTCGGTGGTGGATGTAGTTTCAGTGGGATGCTTCTGTTGTTGGTAAATAGATGTTTCCTCTTTTTTATGGATCTCCTCAATGGTAGCGAGTTCTTCAACAGTCACCGTTGCTGTTTTTTCGGGGTTCTCTTCACTGAAATTTTCTACAAAGATGATCTGTTCAACGATTGGAGCTGTGTCACCGGACTTTGCGTTTTCGGTAATTTCAGGAACAACAACGTCGTCAACTGTGTGATCAGTTCTGGACATCTGTTCAATTGCAGTTACTTTTTCGTTTTTGTTTTCGTTTTCCATATTTTTCTCGACTTCTGACAAATTGTCTTCGATTGGTTGATCTACAACTAGTTTCTCAATTTGTGCACTTGTCGTCACAGCAGAAACTTGTAGTGCTGATTTCACGGTTTTCACTTCTGATATTTCTTCCGCAACTGAAGCTTTTGGTATCACCGTGTCTTCAATTATTTCTTCGGCTGGCAAAATCGTTTCAGTCTCAGCAGCTTCTTTTAGCTGTTCGTCATGAAGTATTTTCTGTTCTGTGGTTATATCCTTAGTAGTAGTGAGTTGTTCGACAGCCCCTGTAGTTGTTTCTAATTTTTCTTCCGCAAGTGGAACTGTAGTCTGTATTGTTCCATTCTCCGTCGCTAGTTTCGATTGTTCATCAATAGCTCCTTTCTTTTCTTCAGTTACATCCTCGCTGGTAATGAGTTCTTCGATAGTCACTGTTGATGTTTCAGATTTTTCATCCTTAAAGTTTTCACTGGTAGTGATCTGTTCAGTTGATGAAACGTTTTCAGCCGGCTTTGTTTCTGTTTCGATTTCAGGGAAGATGGCGTTTGGAACAGTTTGTTCAGTGTCGACCACGTCGATAGTTTGATCCACTGTTGAAATCGTTTCAGGTTTAGTTAATTGTTCAGTTACGATACGTTTTTCAGTTTCTGGCGAGATTTCTTGATCTGCAAGTGATTTCTGATTTAGTTCGACTATGTCCTCGTCTGAAGCTCGTAGTGTCGATTCCACTCCCGTGTTTTCTTCCACAAGTGGAGCTGGATACACGAGGGCGTCTTCAGTCGTCTCTTCTGTTGTCGGTACTGTTTCAGTATCCGTAGTTTCTTTCGGCTGTTTGCCAGGAGGTGCTGTCTGTTCTTCAGTTAAAACCTCATTGGTTGAGAGTTGTTCACTAGTCACTGTTGGTGTATCAAATTTTTCATCTATGAAGTCTTCATTGTTAGTGAGACGTTCCTTTGGAAAAATGTTTTCATACGGCTTTTTTTCTTCTTCGATTTCAGAAAATATTGCATTTTGAACAGTGCCATCGACTGTTCGGATCGTTTCCGTCTCAGTTACTTCTTCGTTTACGATAGTTTCTGTTGCAGTTGTTGGCAATACTTGTTCAGTTGTATGTTTCGCATCGATCTGTTCGTCTGCAAGTGGTTTCATACTTAGTTCAGCTGTATCCTGGTCGGAAACTCGTGGTGTCGATTCCACTTCTGGTTTTTCTTCCTCAAGTGAAGCTGTAGACATCAATATGTCTTCGACTGTTTCTCTTTTTGTCAAAATCATGTCAATTCCATGAGTTCGTTTCGGTTGTTCGTTAGTAAGTACTCCCTCATTTTCGGCAATGACTGTTGCTGTTTCTGATTTTTCTGTCACAAGTGGAGCTGTAGACATTGGTGTGTCTTCAGCTGTTTCTTCTGTCATTGATACCGTTTCAGTGTCCGTAGTTTCTTTCGGTTGTTCGTCAACAGGTGCTTTCTTTTTTTCATTTACATCTTCGCTGATAGCGAGTTCTTCTATAGTCACTGTTGTGGTAGTGATCTGTTCAGTTGGTGAAACGTTTTCATCCGGCTTTGTTTCTCTTTCGATTTCAGGGAAGATGACGTTTGGAACAGTTTGTTCTGTGTCGGTTATGCCAATAGTTTGATCAATTGCTGGAATTATTTCAATCTTGTTCATTTTATCTGTGGTGAACGGTTTTTCAGAAGGTATGATTACAGTTCCGGGTATGTTGTGTTGGCTACCAATTGGTATCTCATGTGGTTCCGTTGTTCCGACTTCAGAAACTCGTGTGGCTAACTCATCAGCAAGCAAAGGTGTTAGTGTTAACGTATCGTCAATTTCCACTCCAGTTATAGAGGTAGTTGCAGTGCTATGTTCTTGTTTTGCGTCAACGGCTGTTTTCTTCTCATGAATTTTCTTCTCGCTGATAGTGAATTCTTCCATATTCACTGTTCTAGTTTCAGATTTTTCTTCACTGATATTTTCTGCAGTAGTGACTTGTTGAGTGACGGTCTCTGTTCGGATTTCTTCTGGCTCCTGATTTTGCTCAGTAGAGTTACTCGTTTGCAAGGGTTCTTCTATAATGGTATAAGTAGTTTGTTGAACTGGTTGCATAGTCTCATTTGTAAATAGATCATCGTGTAGGATAGGTTGTCTTTCGTCAGATTTTTCAATTGAAGAAGAGTCTTCTTGAATTTGTGTTGTTTGTTTGGAAATTGGCTGGTCGACGAGTGTACGGATCGACTCTACGCTCTCAGCATTTACTTTAGGCGCTTCAAGTTTTGTTGCTGGAGCTTCAAGAGTAGGGATGTCGTTTTGTTCAGTATTATGAAGTTCCTTTGGCAGTTTCTCTGGCAGTTCGCGAGGTTCAAGAACATTCGCATCGTTCGTCATGGTCTGTTCTTTAGTTGAAGACATCACCCATTCTTGCTCCTGTAGTAATGGAGTAGGTTCATCTACCTGTTTTAGTATGTTTTTCGTGGTGGATTCAGTTTCTGTAGAAGTTTTGTTGTGTTTTTCGATTGTTTTTTTATCGTGAGTCACTTCATGTATGATATGAGAAGTATCAATCGTTACTAATGATTCTGGTTCTTGGCTTATGGCGTCTTCAACTGTTGTGTTTCCTGAATCAGGTTTTTTTACAAATTTGTATTCAGTGGCCTGTTCATCTATGGTTAGAATTTCTAGATTTTGTTCTGGCGCATTTATAGTATCTATGGGTATTTCAGATGGCGTTTGATTATCCGAGACGGTAGTTATAATATGTTTTTCTCCTACTTCAAGTATTTGTAGGTTTTCAGTCTGTACCGTTTCCTGTTCAACAGCGACAACAGAGTTCAAAGATTCCTTGAAATTTGTAGCATCAGTAGTACGCACATTCTGTCAATAGTTTGTTTCAATTAGAAAAAGTTTATCGCTTTCGTATTGTGAAATGTTTACCTTTTCATCGTTATTTTCAGTATCTGTTGCAATTTCGGTGATTTTTAATTTGGTATCATCAAGTTGTCCTTCGTTAATAGTAGGTTTTTCGTTACTGTTGACCTGTGTAGACGTTAGTAGTTTTTCAATCGCTTTTATTTCTTCAACGGTTTCATTTGCGAGTTTTACGAATTGCTAAAAATATGTTACGTTCTTCGTGCGATGAAGAAATGTGGATTTTCTGCTTTGAGATTTGAATACGTGTCGCATTCTATAGTTTGTAGCATGCTTTTATATCTTTATCAATCAATATGTAATTGATTTTTCCGTGAAAAACAGACTTGTTCAACAGGGTTATCAATAGGGAAACTTTTTATTTTATTAGTTTCAATCGTTTCGTTTGTCAAAATTGACTAACACAGATAATTTTTCTTTTTCTTTCCCGTAATATTGGGTTATGCTTTCTTAAGCATAATATTTCAATCATTTGTCTCTTTCATTTCAACGCAACAGAGAATTAGTTTTTAGCGTAAATGATAGCCACGACGAATGACTCATTCGTTATGATATTAAACTTTTTTTGTGTCAGCTATATTCACAGCAAAGAATGAAAAATTTAACTTACATATTCTTCGGTTTCTGGTTGAGCTGATGTTGATGTTTCACCGACTGTAGCTAGAAGTAATGGTTGCTCTTCAACTTGAGTTGTTGTAACAACTTCATTTTCTTGACTTTCAATAGCAGGTTCCTGTTGTTCGACGGACGTAACAATTGCCTAAAAATGAATTCATATCTATACCGAACTAATGAAATAAAAGAAATTTTCACTTGTTCAATAATTTCTTCTTGTTGATTAGTTACAGTTACTGTCGGTTGTGGTTGAATTTCTTCAATCGTTACTGCTTTAATTTCAACAACTTGTTCAGTGGGAATCAGCTCCTAAAAAATAAAATAAAAACAAATGATTACTAATCTCTTTATTCGTTTCTATTCCATATTACTTGAGTTTGAACAATAATATCTTCTGTTGTTTGTTCAGGTTTGGTAGCTGATGCATTAGCTTGAAATGAAGTTTCCTGTTGTTCGACTGTTGTCGTTGCTGTTACTTTTTCATTTGATTGATTATCTTCAGATTCAATTTGAGCTGTAGGCGCCGAAGTTTGCTCTAATGGTTGTTCTGTTACCGTTATTTCTTCAATTTTATCTTCTTTATCAATAACTGTTGCATTTGGCTAAAATAAATAGATCATACATAATAAAAGTAATCTCTTTTAACAAACGAATTGATTAGAAATGCATCTCACACAATTCTCAATGCTTCTTTGGAATCTTTCAACAGAATCACAAAATGTTTTCTTTTGATATGTTCCTCTTTCGTTTCTGACAACTCTCATCACTATCCATCATTCAGAAATTCGAAATTCAAGGCATTCAAACGCGAGAAATCTAGAAGCACAGTCATATCCATCCCTTGAAACCATTCTCAAATATTCTCTTTGTGGGTTATTGGTGATTTTAATCTTACTTGTATATTTACTATTGTCTCATCGTGTTCAATTTGAACAGTTGGTTGTTGTTGTGGTTGCGGTTGCGGTTTTGGTAAAATATTAATAAATGGCGTATCTAATATTAAATATTTGCTTTCAAGTGAATAAACACCTTGATCTGACAATTTTAAGTCTTTAATGACTAAAGTAAACGTTTCATTCTTTTGTTTAATATTAATTCTTGAATCATTTAACAAAATAGATCCATCTTTGGTCCAAATAAATTCTGTGTCTGGTTTTGAATCAAATTTGCATTCAATAGTCAATGTTTCATTTTCAAGAAATGTGTCTTGGGGTAAATTCATAATTTGTCTTTGAATAGGTTTTTCACGCACATTTAATTGCATTATTGGCTGAATTTGATCACGTATACTAATTGAATAATAACCACAATCAATTAATTCAACAGGTGAAAATTTTATATCAAGTGTAGTTGGTGATGTTGTTTCAGTATGTATATTTTTTGATGGCAATAATGGTTGATTATTTTTATATAATTTTATATCAGATAAATTAACAGTTGAAGGCTTTTCAACAGTTAAATGCATCATATCGCCTTCAGTTACTTCATGAACAGGGATGTTTTCTTCAATAGGTTGAAATTCTTCGACAGGTTGAGATTCCCTAAACATATGAGAATTATATTTCATGTATAGTTCAAAATAAAAATGTATTGAACATACTGTAATTGTTCCCGAGGTTTTTTCATATCGATAGTGACTGATGATTGTCGAACAACTTCTTGTGGACGGACTTCTTCTTCTGTCGGTTTTGGTCCCTGTTGCGGTATAATTTTAATTTCAGGTGTTTTTACTGATAAATTGGGTGTACGCATTTCATAAACTCCACTATCTTCTAATTGTAAATTATATATTTCAAATGTATGCGTACGATTAATATGATCAGTAGTTTGTTTATGTCTTGGACTTGAATTCATTGAAATAAACATTTCATTTTTATACCATTTTGGTGTTTCATTCATTTGATCATGCTCATCAAAATCAACTTTAAATAGAATTGATTCGCCAACATTAAATGTTGTTTGTGGTAAATCTAGAACTTTTTCTTTAACTTGTCGGGGCTCAACATAAAGTGTAACTAAATGTTTTGGTGTTGGAGCACCTTCGATTTGATATTCATAAAGACCCGAATCTGATACACGAAGGTTAAGTAATGACACAGCATATGTACCAGGTGATACACGATCAACAACAATTGATGAACGCTTTTTCATATCAACTGGAGCACCATCGTGTATTAGACGAAATTGATTGGGTTTGATATCAAGTGTACTGACGACTTTCAATTGAATGGAATCACCTTCCTGAACTCGTTGAGTATTTTCACGAGATGTTGATTCAACTAATAGAAATAAAAACGTTTTCCTTAGGATTTTACGGATTAAAAATATAAAATGTATTAATAACTTCATAGTAGCTGTCTAGATTTTCTATTGAAGAAACTAGAAACACATAGCATCAACTGCTAGTAGCGAGGTCAGCAGTGGAACTAGGAGAAAAGATTGGTCCAAAATAAACCTAAATATTATAGTTAAGTATTCTACGGTTATAAGTAAATTGTTTTGAAAGTCATATCAATCAGAAAGTAATTGGAGAAATAGTCTCAACCAATGCTAGCCATTATCTAATGAAATAAAACGACTACGTATTGAAAAGTTATTTTTTTTTAGATATAATACAAATAAATTCTTGAATAGCTTTCTCTAGATCAAGACCAAAGGCATAAAAACATAGAACTTACTCATATCTAGTCAATAAACAGTTGAACTATTGGAAAATCTTGACCATAGAGAGATTCCGCCTTTTCCAAAAGTCAATTTTTTCAAAGAATTTTTTGTGCTTTCTAGACGTTGAGGAAATATGAACCAATAGAATAGTCAATCATAGTAAATGAGAATTTCTTTTCTTTTGATTTCTATCTTTAAAAAGTCACGTATCTTTTTTTAATAAGCCTCTCGTTTATCACATTTCAATACACATACATGCTAGTTGATTGCACTTGAGTATATTGTATTCGAAAATAGATTTCAATTCAAGTGGTTTACATGAAAAGGTATATCTATGAATTTTGTGAAAACAACTAGAGAATTCTAAATCATCTTTGAATTACAATTATGTGTCATGTTGATCTTAATATACACATAGTAATTATCGTCTTAAAAATGTTTAATTGTGTTTTTGATCTCTCACAAATTTCATCTACGCGAAGAATATGTAAGAAAAAATTGACATCTGAAGAGAATTATCTTATTTCGTTTATTCTACAGAGATGAACTTAATTCAATTTTATAGATCAACACCAAATAAAAAGTTTTCATGAAGTTTTCCTCGTAGAAAATAAACTCTAAAATCGATCATCAGTTAAAATAGAAATAAAAAAAAGAAGTTTTTATCATCAAATCAATCTTATTCAAATCTTCAGATGTATATTCGAAATATATTGCAAATTTGTTATTTAATGAATAAAAAAAGAAAACTAATTTTGAGTCAGAAATATTATCATCTAACTTACGTGAAGTATTATCTTTATTTGTAATATCTTCTATAACAACATTACTTAATCGCCTTTGTGATGTTTTCGGTTTAAGTTTATCTTGGTCTTGATCATCTTCAACTTCAGTAACAATATAAGGCGTTGGGGGTTCATCAATTTGTGGTTGGTCTCGTTGAATAACACGAATTAATGGTGTACGAACAATTAAACCTTTCACTCTTAATTCATATTGTCCTGTATCGTCTGGTTTTAAATGATCAATAATTAATGAATGTTTTCGTCCTTGATTTTCTGTCAATAAATGAACATTTGATGTAGATTGTAATGGTTGATTGTTTTTAAACCATTTTGGTTGATCACCCTTTGGTACCTGTGGAAATTCACATTCAAGTTCAAGACGTTCATCGGTATAAAAAACATCCTTTGGTAAATCCATATCTTGTATAATTGTTGGTCGTGGTTCAACAATTAATTCAGCTAATGGTACTGATTGGCCTTGTACAATAGCTGTATATAAACCTTGATCAGGTATTTTAATGTCTTCAATTTGTACAGTGATTGAATTTGTTTTATAATCTTTTTTCATATGAACATATGGTTCATGCGTTATGGGATTGTTCTCATGAAATAATTCGATTTTATTCAATGGCACATCAAAATTTGGTGTTAATTCAAAAGTAACAGTATCACCTAAACAAAAATTAAGAAAAAAAGAAAAAGAGTATATTTGAAGAGAAGAATTTTCCTTATGTTTTACCTTCATGAACAAGTTTCGAATTGACTTGTGGTCGTAATTCGTGAACGTCTATTTTTTTCTCGCTAGGAATAATTTTAATTGGAGGTGTACGTAAAATAGCATTTTGATTTTTAAGTTCATAAACACCAGCATCAGTCATTTGTAAATTATGAATAATTAATGAATCATTTAATGCATCTTTCTTTATTTCAAGACGATCATTTGGCCTTAATAATTGATTATCTTTATACCATTTATAATCTTTATTTATATTTGATTGTGGAAATTGACAATCAATTTTTAATGTTTCAGTTTCATTAAATGTATCTTGTGGTAAGTTAATCATTTGTAATTGCATTTCACGAGGTTGAACATCAAGTTTTATTATTGGTTGAAGAGTATTATTAATTAATGCACTGTAATCACCTGCATCAATTAAACGGGCATCTGTGATACTTAAACGAACATCTTTATCTCCATATTGTTCGAGATGAAGATGTTTACGAGTTTCATTATCAGTCTGTATAGATTGACCATTTTTAAATAGTTCAACATCATTAATTGTTAGCGGTGTTGATGAAACTATTTTAAGTGTAACATCATCTCCTTCTTTTATTGTACAAAATTTTGCATCAACCGGTGGTAATGGAAGATTTGGTGTAATTGTATATGTTATAGTTTCATCAACAATTTCAGTAATATCTTGTGGACGTTCGACAATATTTATGAAGGGTGTACGTACAATTAATGGACCGCTTTGAACTTCATAAATACCTAGGAAAAAAATCTCATGATAGTTTTTAAAATGCATATAATATAATAGAAGTATTATTTTTCTTTAATAATCCATAGTTTATAGTAAAGAAAAGATGCGCTAATTTTCCATGAAATAAAATAATTCGGAAAGACGATCTCTTACCATATTTCATTCAAATGGTTCAACTTTTTAAACCTTCTAGGTGAAATTCTTTAAAGATCGAAATCAAAATTTTTAATGTGCTCCTAAAACTATAAAAGTTTTTTCTTGAATCTTTAAGGTCTTTTTATTTTTATTTGTTAAAAAGGCCTTTGATTGAAAATTTATGACAACAAATCAACATAAAAGAACTGAATCATTCAAACAATAGGTTTTTTCTGTTGCCTGATCAGGTTAATCCTTTAATAGATAGATAATTTTGAATCATACCCATATCTAGTAGAACGTTCCAACTCATACTATAAATATATTGGCGGAAACTTCTTGTGCGCAACTCATTGTGACGATGGTACTATAGTATTATGTAGGATGCTTTTTCTTAGAAAAATCCCTTATCCTGCCATCAGAAGGTAAGAAAACTTTTTTCTGATTTTCATCTTTTTATTTTATATACAGATAGACCTAAACTAGAATATTTTATTTTGAACGTTGCAAGAACTTTACTTTGCTTCTATCCCTGTATATGAGACATTCTTGTCAATATATGTATGTTGGGATAGATACAATCACAAGATTTGATAAAATTGATAATGATTTTCGTTCAGATCTGTTAATCTGCAAAATATCAAGTCGCAATTCGAAAATCAATTCTTCTGGTTTTCGTTAGAAGAATCAAGGAATTCATGATTACCTACTATCATAAAAGTGCATTGTATTTGTAAAGATAAACTAAGAGTAAGATATCTTTTTTAGAACATTCATAGTTTCTATGCTTCAACATGATCTCAAATCAATAGTTATTTATCAATTGAATAGAGCTTCGCTCGTCAGTCATCAGCAGTTATACGTATCATTTTTGTGTGTTCTTTACTTGTCAATGAAAATACATTCACAAAAGTAGTATTGCAAAAGAAAAAGTCATACTATATATGATGAATCCAATTAGGCTATTTTGAGACTTATTGAAAAGTTTTCATTTTCATATATTAGAACGATAAATGCATAGTAGTCGTTTTTCTTTCTATTAGAAGAGAATTACAAAATGAATATGCAGTCAACAAGAAAAGAAATAGTAAAATTCATTTGCTTCTTTCAATTTTAATTCAAATATAAATTAACTTACCAGCATCATCTAGTCGTAAGTCTCGTACAATTAGACTAACTCTATTTCCAGTGTTTTCAATTGTTACTCGATCATTATTTCTAAGTGGAACACTGTCTTTTGCCCAGCGTGGTTGTTCTGTTGGTTCATTAGTAAATTCTAAATCAAGTGTAACTGTATCACCAACATAAAATGTATCTTGTTCAAGTTGCATTTCTTGAATTTCAGGTTGACGTGGTTCGACTTGAATTTGTGCTAATGGATGAATTTCATTTTGAATTTTTACACTGTATAGAGCTGAATCGTCAAGTGCTAATGTTTGTAATATAATTCGAAGTTTATCATCTTCTCGTTTAATTGATGCCTAAAATGAAAATGAAAAAACAAAAAACAAAATATTATTTAGCTAGCAATCTTCAATAATTACTTTTGGCTTTTGTGAAGGCATAATTGGTTTTCCATTTTTTAATAATTGAATATCTTGAGGTCTAACATTTGCTTGTAAACCTTCGACTGATAATGTAACTGTATCACCTTCTCGAATATTTTGTGTTGGTATATCTTGTTGTTGTGGTTGCTTTGGTATAACATGAATCATAGGTGCACGAGCTATCACTGAGCCAATACGAACTTCATAAACACCAGAATCTGTGCGTTTGGCATTTCGAATAATAATAGTGAATGTATTATCTTCATCGATTAATTGAACATTTTCATTTGGATGAATCAATTGTCCATCTTTAAACCAATTTGAAAGTGGATCTGGCCGTTGTGGAAAAGTACAGGCTAAACGTATTGTTTCCCCTTCGTCAAATGTATTGCGATCTAAATCAAGTAAAAATACTTCTGGTTGTCGTTCTTTAACATCGAGTAAACAAATTGGTGAACGTTGCCCTTGTATATTAATTTCATATAAACCACGATCATTTAATGATAAATTTTTCAATTCTAATTTAAATTGTTTACCATCAAACCATTTATTTATTTCGGGTTTATTTATTATTGGACGATTATCTTTTAAAACAGTTATTTGACCGAGTAAGTTGTCCGGTGATATTTGTTGATATTCATTTTGATCAATATTAACATCCACTTGAAGACTATCACCTTCAGTTACAGTACGAACAGTTGCAGCTTGAATGGGCTTTTCAACAATACGAATAAATGGAGTTTCGACAATAAGATAATCACTACGTAATTCATAAATACCTGTAAAGAAAACCAATCGTGTTAAGAAAAAGAAAAACATTAATATTAATATTAATATTAATATTAAGATGAAAAACAATACCTTCATCGGAAAATTCAACATTTTTTATTGTTAATGAATATTTTGTTGAACCATCTGTTGTTGAACTTTCAATGTCAATCAATTGATGATTCGATGGTTGTATTGGACTACCATTTTTAAACCATGTTGGTGGAAGAGATTTAGTTTTTATTGGTCGTTCAAATTTACATTCCAGTGTTATTGTTTCATGTAAATAAAATTCATCTTTCGGTAATGTTATGAATTGTCTTTGTATTGGTCGTTTTTTAACAAATAAATCAAGTAAATCTTGTCGAATTTGATTATTTATTTCTATTGAATATACACCAGAGTCATTCAAATCAACATCAACTAAACGTATTAGCCATCGATTTGAATCAATCGATTCATTATCGCGCTCCAATTGTATATGAGAATCATCAATTATAGGACGATTATTTTTTAATAAACGAAATTGATTTGGTAACATCGGTTGAAGAACATTATCAGGTGATACTTCAATGGTCAGAGAATCGCCTGAAATAAAAATTATGTAGCTAGTTCAAATAGCATTATCTATGTTGTGGTCGAATTCATAGAAACAAATCACAGCTTCTATTGAACTCTATTTATAATTCTTATGTATATTGCTCTATCATGATTCTACGTTCATTGGACTCAACAATAAGAGAAATCTATTTGTATAATGCTGTATATCACGTTTCTGTCAGTTCGAGTATTTAAGATATTCTGTTCCTTCATATTTCGACTAGAAACGAATTGTTGTCAATCTTTATAATGAAATATGAAAAGATGAAATTTAATTTAATTATTTGTGAGTGAAATTTTGATTTGAATAGAGTCATATCTTTGCAGCATCGGGAGATATGTGCTTTGGTTAAATTGTAATAGACATTCCTTATAAAACATGATCTACAAAGAAATATTGAACTATACGACTGGAAATCTGCCTCTAATTTGGTTTTTATATAAATCGTAGCTAGCCATTTAAAAGTGAGTAGATTTTCACATATTTGTTCTCTTTTTGCTTCTGAGCTCAGTACATTTTACTAGTCAGCTTCTATTCCAAGTGTTTATATGTGCAACAAGTAGAGGTGTCAGCCGAAGGGTTGAACGGCGGTGGTGAGCAACAATTTTCAATTTTTAAAGATTTCCAGCGGCTAGTTCTTTAAATGAGCAATGTCTTCAGCGGCGGCTGCTACAAATTCTTAAATTTTTTTCCACAGTGGCGGCGCCGACTGATATTTGCAAATCAATTATGTGACGGTGGTGGCTGAGTTAAAAATTCACTGATAAAAATTAAAAGAAAAATGTTCGATTCGATCGCATATGTATTGATGTCAGCGGTGGCTCCCCAAAAATTCTTAAAATTACCAGCAATTTGGTGGCTGCGGCAGCTGATATTATAGAAAAATCGGCTGCTGCGGTGGCTCAGCCGCACGGCTGACACCTCTGGCAACAAGATTATGCTTTAGAATTTTAACTTGAAATTTGTTCATATTAACATATGAATTATATTAGATTCAATTAAAAAATTTCAGACGAAATTTATTTTAGATACAAATTTTTCAAGAAATATATGTTGTGCATATTATCTATGCAAATGATTTTATATCGAAAAACTGCTGTGATTAGACGATAAGTTTGATTGAAAATTCTAAAATGTTTTTTTTTATCAATGAATATCATTAAAGATGCAGTTTTCTGCGGAAGAAATTCGCGAAAAAGACGCACTAAATTACAATTTAAAAGTGAATGAATTCCTAGATTATGCTTATTCATTAGTAACATGACTAGGTACCTGACAGTCCATGATGCATATAGTCATATAATTTATTTTACCTAAATGAACTATGTAATAATAAAGGATGATGCAACTTAAGATACCTTCTGTTGGCCTTTTTTCATAATTCAATGAAACAGATTGTGATTAACATATTTCAATATAGAAAGTAATAAATTCTCTATTGGAACTGAAAAATTACGTTGGTGTTATTGAATCTCCTGATTTAGAATATGTATAACTTAGATATTTCTTTTTTCTATTTAAATAACATACTAAAGGAAACTTTACACAAACCTTCCAAAACTTCTTGTCGTTGAGGAGAAGCAAATGGTTGTAAAATTTGATCAAGACCTTCATCATCAGTCGATATTCCCGTATCATCAATAACTTCGAGATGACATGCACGATAAGTAGATCCCAATGAAACAACATATTTACTTGAGTCATCTTTTTGTACATCATGTATTAATAAACATTGAATAGCACCTTCAGAAATAATTTCATATTTATCATTAAATTCTGGTCGAATTTCTTGATTTTCACGAAACCATTTTACTGGTACATTTGGTTTATTCAATGTACAACTGATGTTTGCAACAGGTCCATCTTCTCGTCGTCTCCAAACAAGATATGACTGTGGACCATCAATAAATTGTGATGCAGATTCCTGTATTTTAACATCCGAAACAGTAATTAAGCGATCTTCAAGACGACAAGTATAAGTTCCTGAATCGAATTTATTAACACTGTTAATAATTAATGTACATGTTTCATCGGCATTTATGATCATTAATGAATTATTTGTTTCCAATGGTATATTTGATTGATCTTTAAACCATTGAACTTTCTTAGGTTTACGATTAGTTTCACATATTAATGTTAATGTATCATGTTCATTTAAACGTATTTGTTTTGGTAATGGTTGAATTAATTGTAATTCACGTTCAAGAATTTTAACATGGCATTGTGTGGCGACATTATTTGTATCAATGATACAGGTATAAATACCTTCATGGTCTAACTTTTGTGCTTTTTCTATTGTTAAACGATGTTCATTTGTCGGCAATGAATCTAATTTCGGTTTCATTGATAATTTATAGCCATTTTTCATCCAACTAACATGTGTTGGTTTATTTGTACGTGTAACGAGTACAAAATTATCACCTTCTTCACATAAAAATGTATCATTAAGTGGTTGAATAAATTCTAATGTGGACGGAGTTTGTAAAACTTGTAAATTAGCTGTTGATGATTGATCACTTTCAGGAAACGATATTGTATATTGTCCTTGATCAGATAATTCAGGTTGATGAACAAATAATAAATGATGTGTATTATCTGTTGATATTAATTCATATTTTGATGTATTATCTATTTGTCGATTGTTAAAAAACCAAACAGGATTTTTATCTGTTGGCGTTGTTTCACAATCGAATTGAACCTAATAAAATAATAAATAAAATAAAAAAGATTTCACTTTTAGTTTACAAATAGAAATTAGTATTTATACTATTTTATCTCGTTAATATTTTTTTTTATAAATATTCTTAAGATACTGTATGATCACTTGCCTAGAACTTGAAAGTAGTCTGTTTGATAAGAAGACTCACTTTCAATGAATATAGAGCCTTGCATATTTATAGTTACATGAAAAACAGATGAATTTATTATTGTAAATGCAAATCAAGAGATTCCATAAAATAAACATAGAATCATCTGAAATTGTCGATTTACTTACGAATACTGACTGTGAATAATGTGTATGTTGTTAGACCCGTATTTCTCTCGTTGAAAATTACACTGTAATTCTTCTCAGTGTTTATTCATAAAATGTAATACTGCGCATCCATGTACAAACAAATTTCGTTAACAATCATTCTTGTAATGAAAAATAGATTTTTTCAATGTATATCGATTTGTTGATTTCGAAAATCATAATCAAAAACTAAACACATGAACTAATCTTTTCGAAGTCTTCTGCCCGACAATGAGTCTTATCTCAAAATAATTATTGCTTTACTATTACTAAGAACATGTCAATGTCTATTTTCATTATCTAACACCGAGATATTACTCAGAATCATAAAATACTTAAACAAAGAAATCAACAATAGACGGTATATAATCTATTGAAAACGCGTTACTTCTTTTCTTGAAAATATAAATTACAAACCTGTTGCTCTTGTCCTAAAATGCATCTTTGTGGTTCAAGTGGTTTTGTTATATTAACATATTTATCTTTAATTTGAACATAACATGATGTTAAATCAAGTTTTGGATTTGTGACTAAACGTAAACTATAATACGCTTGGTCGTGTATTAATTGGCAATCATCGATAAGTAATGTTTGCTCATTTCCATGTTGTACTAAACGATATTTTTGACTTGGATAGATTTCTTGACCATTTTTATACCATTTAACATCTGGCGCATCGCCTTGAAATTGAACATTCAATGAACATGTATCATGTACATAGATATTCTGATCTCCTAATGGTTTTATTAAACGACGATCATTTTCAGTCATTAAATTCATTGATACCTGACATTCACTAGTTGCTTGCCCATTAGCAACAATGCAACGATATAAACCTTGATCGTCAGAGGCTAAATCATGAACAATTAATGCAATAACATGATGTTCATTAACTAATTCATATTTTCTTGACGGAAATATCTCAATACTATTTTTAAACCATTGAACTTGAGCTGGTTTTCGATTAAGTGTTGCGTCAAGTGTTAATGATCGATCCGTTTGAGGTGAAAATTGAATATTTGAAGGTAATGGTTGAGTAAAACGATAATCAGGTTCACGCACTGTTATATGACATGAAGTATCAAGTGTATCAGCAACAACACAACGATATCGACCATTGTGTTCGGGTTGTGCACGAGAAATCTTTTGAATAGTAAACAAAAGTAAAGTTGAAATTTATTAATAGATATTAAACATGAACTCAAGTTCGCTCATGAAATACTAACGAGATTTAATCGATGTATCTTGAAGTTTTATAACTAGCGTTTCTATAAACATAATTTACAAAAGAAGTCTTTAATTAGTATTTAGTGTTAACTAATAAAGAATACTCATCATCAAATAAATCTGAAGTTTATTTATTAATTTTAAGAGTCAAAATTTGGAAAGATCCTATCAGACAAGGTAAGCCAGGAGAAAAAATCAAAAGAATAGCGTCATTTGAAAAATATGAATTCTAAGTCATAATTTATCGAATAGAATAAGAAGAGTACAAGAGAAGTATAACATAAATATTTACTTGAATAGATCTATACTCGAACTTCGATGAAAAATAGAATCTAATAAAGCTATAATAATTCTATCGAAAATACTGATGCATACGGAGTATTCATGTAGTTATTCTAACTAAAATATTCTCTTTATTTCTCTCTGTTTGTTCTAACTATGAACTAAATGGTGATAATATCACATAGAACAATTCATGTGTTAACAAAATATGTATATTTTAGTTTATGATCACATTCAAATATGTATAAACTTACTTGAAGTACATGTGTACATCCATCTGAAATAGTCTTCATAACTTGATCATATTGACTGATTTCTCTATTATCTTTAAACCATCGAATTTGATATGTTGGCCTATTTGTTCTGCATTCCAGCATAAATGGTGAATCTACTTGAATATTTCCTGTATCGTCATCTTCTAATAATTTAATAAATTTCAATGTTGTATCTTTATCATCTAATGTTAAATTAGCTGTTGTTATTGTATTATTTAAGCAACATGTTATTGTTCCAATATCTGATTCTTGAACATTATCGATTGTTAGTTGTATTTCACGATCGATTATGTTTGGTTGATAACGTTCATGAATGGGTAATGCATAACCATTTAAATACCATTGAACAGTTTTAGGAGTTTTTGAACAAACACATGTAAATGTAACTGTATCCCCTGAATGTACATGTTGATCTTGAAGTGGTTTCAATATAAGTAACGGTTCAGGTGTCACATTAACATATGTTGTTGATTCAAGATCATTGACAATAACGGTATAAAGTCCTGAATCTTCACTCGTTGCATCTTTAATAATTAATTTATGTTTTTTATTTTCTGATATTGGTATAAATTTTTGAGGATTCTAAAATAAAACAGACAAGACAAAGAAGAACAAGTATTTTTAAAAAAGGATAAAACTGAAATTTACTCGAATAAACTCATTATCTTTTTTCCATATGGCTTGTGTATCAAGTTTATTCATTTCACATTCAATAATAATATCACGTCCACCAATAACATCAATGGATTGTGGTAAACGTCGAATAAATTGTAGATCTTCATTAGTTATTCGCACTTGTGCACGTGTCATTGCGTTTTGTATACGACATATATATTCACCATTATCATCGGGTGTTGCATTAGGTACAATAAGAATATGTCGTGTGCCTTGTGTTATCATATGATATTTTCCATCTTCATCAAGTTTTTTCGCTAGATTAGGTGCTGTTGCATATGCATCAGTTTTAAACCACATGGCTTCACTTGATGGTTGTGATGTTTCAACAACAAGTCGTAATGGCTTACCTTGTTCAACACGTGTATCAACTAGTGGCTGCGTGATATGTATCATTGGTAATGTTTCAGTTATTTGAACACTTGATGTATTTAAACCATAAGGTTCTTCACTCTGAAATATTGGCGTTTGTTTATCATACGTTCCACTATCAAGAAACTGTATGTGTTCTTCAGGTATCGATTCTTCACGATATGGTGCATGTTTTAATTCATGACGTGATGGCGTAGGGCTAAAATACAAAAATTTGATAATATATGGCAATGTTTATTAAACAATTTAAGGCAGCGAATATTCTCATGTACTGTTGATGCATCAATACATACATGCATGCATATCATTTTTTTTAATAGAAATTGTGCCGGGAAATATCTTGTTCTATGTAAAAATCTATGACCTGAATTTTTTTGAATTCAAAGGTTATTACTCTTGAAGGGTATCGAAATTGATTCATTATTATGAAAGTTATCATTCGAGTGACTTTAAATATCTTTTAATCAAAAATTATTGTGCTGCTCTTATTCTTATTCTTTTCTCAAAATATTTTATCTAAAAATTTTAAAATTAATCCATATAGAAGCTTTTTGTCCACGTCTAACTCTTTGAATTATTTTGTCAACAATTTTCATATGGACAAAATCTGTTCTACATGAAGATACTCCTTAAGAAAAAGTGACAGAGAAACGTTTTAGTTCTTCAAATGGTCCGTAGTGAAAAAACTAAAATACCAATATGAGAAGAAACATTCGATCGAAATCTTAACGAACATTCAGAATGTTTTCAAGCAAGATTTCGACTCATACAATCTTCCTGTTATATCATTGAAAACAAAATTTTGAAATCAAAGTTCACGCGTTGTAACGTAGTGTAAGGTTCTACGTATGCCTATCGAATTTATCATCAATAAAATCATAATCGAGCCATCGATGTGTGTGAAAATAGTCTCGAGTATTTCCTCAAATTTTTCTGAAGAGAAATTAAGGTTCGATTAGCCAATGTAACAAAGTGATATGATAGTAAAGAAAGTTTTAGAAAAAAACAGAATTTTTTTAAATATATATATATATGAATAAAATTACCTAATGGGTATTTGCATTTCGACGATTCGTCGTTCAGCTGACGTTGATAAACGTGGCGGAGGTTGTCTAGCTGGTGATCGACTTGGTGAAAATGTAACTGATGAACGATGTCGTTGATGTTCATCTTGTTCTTCATATACTGGTGGCATTTTAGCTGATGTATTTATATTTGCATATGTTATACTTGTTTTACGTGTTGGCGACGTAGACGGAGATGTCGAACTACGATCAATATAATGACCAAATTCTTGTAACTGATTCGATGATTTATATGTTGTTGTTGATGGAGAAAAATGACGAGGTATCGATAGACGCTCTCGTTCCGGGCTTGTTCCTGATGCATAACCGCTACGAACATATTCACGTTGCGGACTTGGGCTTGCACTTGGACGAAATGTAGCTGTGCCTAAAATGAAAACATAGCGTCGTTTTTTGCGAAATTAAAATTTTATTTTATTTTACTTGTTTTAGTTGTAGGAGGTAAACGTTGTTCACTTGTTTCTTGTATTGTAATTTTTTTAGTTCGTCTTGTTTCTTCAACACGTGGTGATCTTTGACGTTCATCGTCAACACCTAATGATGGAACATAACGAGAACTTGATGGACTTAAACTCGAACGATAACCACCTAGCTCAGGTGTTCGACTTGTACGCGGTGAATCGATTTTCATATATGAACCAAAACGTTCTTCACTACGTGGTGTTCGTTCACGTTGACGGATTGTTCGAACAGTTGTCGATGTTGCTTGACCTTCACGTGTTACACATGTATAAACACCTTTAAAAATCAAAATCAAAAAGGTTAATTTATAATGAAAATTTTCTATCTAATTGTATATTACCCTCATCATATTCATTAAATTGTTTAATAACTAATGTTGAATGTTTATCATCCTCAAGTGTTCGAAGTTTATTACTTGTTGCCATTAATGTTGAACCATCTTTAAGCCATTGAAAATATGTCGAGTCATATGTTTCACAATCAAGTATTGCATCTTGACCACGAACAAATTCCATAAATGGTTTTAATGGTGTATTAAATGCCGCTAAAGTTATAAAAATCAATCATTTCTTTTTTATATGAAAAATATTTAGAAGAAATTTACATCGATTTTGCGCGTCTTCAACCAGTAATTGACAAGTGGTTGAGACAGATGGATGTTGTGCTATGGAACAAAGAACTTCACCTTGATCACGTAAATCCAAACTATCAATATCAAGCGTATGCAACGTCGTATTATTGAAGTCGCCTAAATAAAATATATATATTTTCTTTAATATTTCATTTAGAATATTTTTTTTTCAAGATAATTCAGTATTTTTTGAAGTCTCACATAAATTCGATGAGAACTTGAGATTATTTTCAACGACTTCTACTTGGTTAGTTATTTTAAAATTTCGGATTCATTCGATATATTTCAAAAATCATATCAAATAAGAAAATAGAAAATCTCTCTTTCCTATTAGAATATTTAGCTATATGTTCGATTAAATCACTGAATTCAACTATCAACGTATTCTATAAGAAACAAATATTATTGATCATTAACTATGAAATGCCATTATTATTATGACAATGATACATTATTATATTAACATTGGCTCGTTCTCACAAATATATCTTACATAACAATTGACTTCTGTTGAGTTTGTAGAGTTCGATAGTTCCTAATATATCATGCGAAACAAATAGTATTAAATCTTAAAATGGATAAGAACATTGTGAACCTCTGATGAGAAATGTTCTCTGTGAAATTGCTACGGTTGTACATATTAATCGGAAAATATTGAAACACAAAAACTTCTAGAGATTAAAGATTTTTTTATATGTATCTGCTGATTTAGTAGTTTAGATACTAGAAACAAAATTGAAAAAGTCAAAGCTAGCTTTTAAAATTATTGAACTATATAGGTTGCTGCCGATCTCATATTTAACTTTAGCTGAGTGTCAGAGATCGACTCAACAAAGCGTAATTATTTGATTAGTATAAAATCAGCGTCAATATTGTTTGAAAAACACATAATATATGTGAGTAATAGAATTGAGCGAAATTTGCAGACTTATGAAACCTATAGACTCTGATTAATTAGAAATGACAAAGTCGTATCTATGAAAATCTGAATATGTGTCGTAGTTATATTTTTATATACGGTGATTGAAATACTTTTCATTTAAACAATATCGAATATGTGCTTTAATTACCTATTACATATTTATAACTATTTTCAATAATTTTCTTTCCGCGATGCATCCATATAACTTGACAGGGATTACTAGTTTCACATGATAATTTGACACTTTCACGTGTGTTAGCACGTGCATCCATTAATGGCACCACAAAAATTGGTAATAATGGCTCAACGGCGAGTCGAGCCTGTGACGTATTTAATCCGGTAGATGCTGTATATTCTCCATCGTCACGTAAAGTAACATTACGAATAGTTAATCGATGAATGAGACCATTCGCAAACGATTCTACTTGATATTTATCCGATGGTATTAAATGTTGAACATTAGATTTGAACCATAACATTTGTTTTAATGGTTTGTTAAGTTCACATTCGAAAACAGCATTGTTTGATATAGTTAAAGAACTTTCTTCGACAGTTTGCGAGCGTAAAGGACGACGAAAAATAATTGGTTGTTCTAGAAATGAATATTTAAAAAATGAAACTAGAAATATTTAATTGTTTTGACTTGTTTTATTTACCTTTGACAAACAATTGAGCAGTTGATGTATTTTTATTATCAACACGTATTGAATATTCTCCTTCATCACTCATTGCAACTTTTGGTATAATCAATTGATGAATATAACCACGTGATGCACTTAAATGATGTTTTGATGGCACTATAGGCATTCCACGAAACCACCATTCAACTTGAGCATCTTCTTTTGATAATTGACATTCAAAAACAGCTTCATTATTTTCTGTTACTTCAATATTTTCAAGTGGACGTACAAATTCAGCAGCAGGTCCTTTAGAAAAACAATAAAACGAAATAAGTTAAACTCTTTTCTTTCGTTGGCTAACCTTGAACATTAAGATGAAGTGTAACGCGATATTTATCAGCTTGACAAACGTAATCTCCTTGATCATCAATCGATACATTTTTAACAATCAATTCTCTTTGTAGACCATCGTCAATACGTTTATATTTAAGATTTTCTTCTTGTGGTCCATTAAACAATGCTTCATCACCTTTATACCAATCAACGAATACATCTGGACGTTTAACTGCACATGATAATTTAGCTGTACCATGTTCTTCTGTTGATACTCGAGTTATGGGAATCGGAATAAAAACACTTTCACGTTCTATATAGGATTCATTAAAAAATGAACAAAAACAAATAACATAAACAGAAAAAGCAAACAAACCCAGAATTTGTAAATTTGTTTTTGAATTTGCTGTACCGTATTGATTTCGTACAGTAATTTCATATGAACCTGAATCTTGCGGTAAAGCATCGGAAATAACTAATGAATAAGTTCCATTTTGATCATGAAATACTGAACAACGACCACCTGGTTGAATTTCAAGGCCATTTTTATACCTAACAATATACAAAAAGAAAGGTAAGATTTTAGAAAATGTGAAATAAATTTCATATTAACCAAGTTGCAGATGGCATAGGTGTTGCTGTAGCAGTACATTTTAAGGTAACAATATCTCCAGCTTTGGAAATAATTGGCATAAGTGGTTGAAGAAAAATTGGTGCTCGACCAACGTGTGGTGTTACTTTATATCCACCAGGTTGATCATACGCTAGTTCTATTATACGTAACTCATCTTCATTGTCAGTAGCATCTGTAAATGAAATAAACGAATAATGAGAAATAGCAATGGAAATTATTTGAACAGACCTTTTTTTGCTTCGGGTGATGAGCCTTCGCGAATAACTAAATCGTCGCGTATTGTTCGTTCATCACTCATTTCTGATTTAAACGAAATAGTATAATTTCAAATTTTTAATAAATAAAAATATTTTATTTACCTTCTCGTACGAATAATTTACAACTGCATAGGACTGTTCCAGCATGATTAGAAATTTTTATTGAATAAACGCCTCCATCTTCAACAAAAGCTTCCTATAATAGAAAAAACAAAAATTTTATTTTTCTTGGACAATATCCTTATAATTTATGTTTAACATACTTTCACCACTAATTGAAAACGTTTGTCTTCTTGTATTAATCGACAATCAGCACTATCTTGTACAGGAATATTATTTTTAAACCATGTTGCATAAACTGGTGTTGTACTGATAACAATACATTCTAATGTGACAAAATCACCCTCTAAAATTAAATATATTAATTAGATTTTAATTTATACTCATCTCTCAAATATTGGCAACAAGAGAAGGCTCGATCGTCTTCCTACAGAAAGTTTTGAATTCTCAAAACAAGCGGTGAAGCCTTGTTGGAATTCGTTGTACAAGCATTACTTCGAAAATTTATGTTTTTAGTGCAGACATGATGAGGAGGATTACCCCATCGTATAGAAGTTCTTTTTTCCCATTACATCATTGTTTTTTTTAAGAATTCATACCTGTAGCTAGGGTATCATTTAATTTTTTCAAAAACTTCGGCTTAAAATCATCATTTTCTCCAGCAGTTTGATAACTTGATTCTGTTTCACTTCCGACTGAATAAAAATCTGATGTACCAGATGTTGTTTGTCCTGATGAGCGACCACGTTTTTGTTGTTCGAATGTCTTTCATAGAAATTTTATTACTTATCAAAGAAAACAAAAACTCAAGAGGTAGGTAATATTTACTGTTGACTCTAATACATCCATTGAACGCTTTTTTGTCGCCGAACGTTTTGGTCGTGTGTCATCTTCAATTTCAGTTGTTTCAATCATTTCAATTTCTTCGACAAAACCTTTTAGAAACAAAAATTATATTCATATATTAAATTGCTCGATCAACACAGCAAAAGATCGACATGTTCAGTTTTAGCTCGAGACTGTTTCTTATCGTAACAGATCGGTTAGAATAAGTTTGAGTCTAACCTAGAGAAAATCATTTCAAGGTTAAAAATGAAACGGTTCAACCTGTTTCTTGAAGCGTTTATTTCGAGTACAAGAAAAACAATTGTTCTATTACAAAAATGATTTCCCTAACAGAAACAAAAACAATGTCGTTTTTTTTTCAAAATTTCAGTTCTAGATACTGGACTGTTTGTATTTATTAGAATTTAACACATTGAAGAACTATGCTGAACCACATCTACGAGTTTCTACGAAACGAGTGAAATGTAGTTTCAATTTAGTTTCATAAATAATCAGTGGTATCGAAATTGGTAGATAATCAAATAGATCGAAAACTCATAAGTTTTTTAAAAGTAACTATTTCTCATTAAACCATTGATATTGTACATGCTAGATATTTCATTCGTTAAATAAAACAATTTCATGCAAGCATATGTACTGCATTGTCTAAGATCAAGAATGAACAATGAATGAAGATATATGCACTTAGCTACGCAAATTTCTGTATTCATCGTAGTAGCGAAACGTTTGTGAAATATTTTTGTCATAATTGCAGTCCTAATTCTCTTAGTTCTCGTTTTCTGAAAGCACCTAATTATAATTTGACTAATTCTTTGGCTGATTTAAGCAAAGCTTTGAACTGAAAGATGATCGACTTCTGATATATAGCATTCTTATTTTATGACACGAATAAAAATTTCGATTTAATTGCCGGTGAAATTGTAGAATCATAAACTTACCAAGAGATTTAAGATTATCTCTTAATGATCTAACTAAAGACATTTTTGAAAAAGCATTTCGAGCATAAAATGTAGCACGTTCATTATCATTAAATGTTATTTCAAATTTTTTATCATCATCGGGAAAATTTTCTTGAATAAATGTTATTTCATTTGTCTAAAAACATTAAAAAAGAGAATAGTTTTGGTTTTCAATAATTTGTTTTCACTTACATTATATGATTGTTTAAATACTAATGACCTTGCTTCTAACCGACTATCGACACGTTTACGTCGACATAAAACGATTTTGTGACGATATAAATACAAAAATCTCTCACGTAAACGTGTACCACTTTCATTGACTGAATCAAGATCCTGATCTGCTGTTTTAATTAAAACAGTATCATGACGTTTTAAATCGCCTAATTCTTCATTCGTGAACGGTAGACTGTCGATAAGTTCGGTTGCATCACGTTGACGTGCTTCATTTAAAACATTGCTTATCATTGTATAAGCTTGTTGCAATATTGTACTGTCTTCACGCATTCGATTTGTATATTTAATCATTTCCTAAAATGAAAACATTTTTCTTGTGTTTTTTTCTCTAGAAGTTAATTTCACTTGTAAAATATTTTTATATTTTTCAAGTCGTTGTATAGGTCGATTAAGTAAATTATTAAGTGTTAAATCACTTGTTTGTAAACCTAATCGTTGAATTAATTCATCAAAATAAGGTTGAATATTGGGATTTGTTTGTAGTACATGTTCAGATCGTGCTCGATCGTACATATACTGCGAATAAAGATTTAAAAACTGATCTCTTCGACGTAAAAATACATAAGCCAATTCATTTGGATCATGCTCAATAGTATTAGTTAAATCATTCAAGAATAATCTTTGAAAAGAAGAAAAAAACAAGAACAATATGAAAGATTTATATTTTTGAATAACAAAAACAATGAAAATATATTTTTCATTGGTTATCTTTTTCTTCTTGTTATTTTTGATACATACACTTTATGGAATGCGAATATATCTTCGATGTTACTGAAGAGAAGGTCTTTTTTTTCTTTGACGAACCACGGGCATTCTTGACGAGTTAATTCATATAGATAAATTTCAATAATACGCTGAAGATCAGCAACATATGAGCGTTCGCTCTCGAGGATGTCAGCGAAGGCATATCTGATTATTAATATATAAAAAAATAAATAAAGATTAGATATCTGATGTCAAATATATCATTTCTCAAAAGACTAATGATCAGCTTTCCTTACTAAATTAAGATTCTTATGTTGTAATTTTCAGCAATAAAGAAATAATATCGATAGACTGTCCATAGACTACGGTAATAGTAGCTTTCAAGTGTTAAGTCATCAATGTTTATAAGCCATATCGTATGGCAATACAGAATATACTTCGAGAAAAGAAAAAATAGCTATGTTTATTTTATTGCCAAATTAGAAGAAAAACAGTTGTTTCTAGAATGATTTTGATTACATAGAACTTCTTTGTTGCTTTCCCGTATAAAATAAGAATGCCTCTGTTTTGTTTTTTCCTCTAGCCGAAAAAAATTAATTTGTCTGAAGTCAATCGAATATAAATAAAGAACAAATATCGGAAGAATAGTTTTATCTTGCGGAATATTTAGATGAAACATTAGTTATTTATATTATATTTTCTTTCAATAGATTCTCCTGTGAACTTGTGCATCGCTACCAAAAACTACTATCAAAACATTAAGATCTTCCGGCTTTGCCTAGTATTGTTATGCGTAACCTTGATAAACTAATCATGTTAAATGCCTTACTTTATTATGAAATAAAGAGTCATAACATTGCTAATCTGTAAATCTTAAAAGTTGGATATATACTGATTCATTGTCCTCCCCCCCCCCTCNCCCCCCCCCCCCCCCTCCTCAATTCCATATGTTGCAAAACAAATGTCTGAGACTTAGCTTTATCACTTAAAACTATATGCTACATTATTTTAATCATACATCGAAAGATAACTGTATAAATACTTTTTATTTATTTTTGTTTCTATCTCTGTCAGTATACAAGTAATTCATGCTGTTTCAATCAAAACATCGTAATGAAGAAAAAATTTCGCAACCAAATAGAATAATGATTACCTTCGCTTGATGACAGCCTCGTCATATCGACTAGCGTTAGTAGCACTTGGCACAGCTTGATCGTTTGGTTGAACTTCGCGTGTACTGCGTCGATTAATCTGCAACAAAGGTTTCGGTCGTTGGCGCTCATATTCAGTATTATCATGAAAATGGTGAGGCTGATATACTTGTTGTTGTTGACTATGTTGTTGTCGCTGCTGTCTCTGTTGCTGCTGCTGCTGCTGCTGATGATGATGATATTCGGATTGTGACGAACGCTGATGATATGGATTTAACGATATCCCAATATCTGTTGGACTACCTCGCCGCACTTCATCTCGTACAGAATGAGCACTAGAATAAAATTCTTGGCGCCCTTCCGACATAAAACCTGATGCTTGTCGACGACTCATATGATGTCGATAGGAAGGTTGACGATATCGACGACAACTTATGCAAGGGCAATGCTCACAATAGTTTCGATGTTGGCAAGGTGATTCTGTTCGTCGATAACTATGATATTCATGCGTTGTTATGGTATGTGTTTGCTCACTTACACTACGTCGATATCGATCACGGTCGAATATGAATGATGATAAACTAACTGGATTCCACGTTGGCGACGACATTAATATAGATAACGAGACGAAAAAAAAATTCCCAATATGGACTGTTTTGCTATTTTGGTTTTCCTTTTTTTATTTTGTTGTCTTTAACTTAATTGTTTTATCTGTATTCGATGATAACAACCAAAAATGTAAAAGATGAAGACAACAGTCTAATATCGCCACTAACTACCCACTTTTTCTTAGCTGGATAATGCAGATGCTTCTTCCTTGCGCAACCTCACAATGACGGAGACAATAATCAAACGCGTTTATATGTCTCCGACAAGAACTTCTCATCGAAAGGCGAAGAGCAAGAAAGCAAAAGAGAAAGCTATATCAGGTATAAAAATAACAACATGAATAACGACAGCAGGCGCATCATTCTGTACCAACATCTTTGTCACATCATCGGATGCTGCTTGGTTGCTTTATTTCTTCTCTATTTTTTATTGCCGTTAATATGGTTTCTTTCTATCTTTTTCTATTGCCTGTCTATAGATAGAGAGCAGGTTGATTATACAGCCGTCGCATACAGTTAAGAGAGAGAGAAAAGATCTATCTTCTGCTGCTTTGTTTAGTGAATGCCTGCAGAAAATGTCATGTTTCCTACTCGCTTTCTATTCTATCTCCACCACTTGTTTATCATCTAATCGAATCGAAGGAGAAAGATAAATGCGTGGTGAAATATACATCATCGATGGGCTATTGATCTATTATTTCCTGATGCGTACGTACCATATTATTTATGTATATATATTGCGCGCTAAATAATATCGACAAATAAAATATGCGTTTAGTTTTCATAGAATTGCTTTTAGTTCAACGTTTATCGTTTTATCATTAATGTATTGCAAGTATGTGATAAACCATCAAATATCATCATCATCAGCAACAGAAACAGTAACAGTAGCAATAGCAGCAACAACAACAGCAGTGATATAAGTGAGTAATAGAAAAATAAAATGAGATAACTGATTACTAACCTGTCCAATATTGGTTGACTTCTTCTCAAGAAAGCATGCATCAACCCAACCAATTTTTGGTCGCTCATCTTTACGTGGTCGAGTGCGAACAAGATATTGTTCAGGATCATGTGAATCGAGCACATCGACAAGCTGATTTTCAGCAAGTGAAATTCCATCTGGACGTGTTGGGACATAGTCAGAATTAGCAAAATATACTTCAGCTTCCTATTAAAAATACATTCAGGTTTATTTTGATGTAAAAATAAAAGATTTTCTTAGAAAAATATCATTCAGCTGAGAGTATTCTTATATAAAATTGTTAGATTTTATATTAATAGAATGAATCATTGCATAGATGTTCATCATGTGTAGAGGACTTTACTTATGATGACACGCTATTATATATATCAACACATAATTAATTGTTAACTCTAGAAATTCGTTTTTTTGCTATCTTCTCCCCGTCTTTCTTCTTCTGAATCGTAATGACAACTGGCACAAGAAGATAGGGTATATTATCATATTCCGCCTACTCCACTACTCAATTTTGCTTATTTGTATTTACGTGATGATACGCTTCTATTTATGGAATGTATCTATTACGAACCTCAGTCATGGTTTTTAAATCATCACTACTTGATGACGAATCTTGTTCTTCTTGATTTATTGGATTATATCGTTTGTCGATATTGCTGGTCACTCCACCGAACTTTTTCGTAAATGTTCGCTTGCTCGGAACAACTAAATTAAAATCATACATGATAAAAGAATTTTTTAAATAAATAAAAAAACTAAATCTTTTATCAATAAAATTCAACAAAATTTGCAAGAGAAAAAAATATATAGAAATCGAATAGTAACAGTGAACATATTTTTCTACCGATATTTATTCTATCGATAGATATCGCTACAAAATTTTAGCAATGCACATTTAGGTTGTATAGTAAAAAATGGTCGATCAAAATAGCATGGGAAAATAATAAATATGCTAATTCTCTTTCATGAATAGTAATTGTAATAATTACCAGATTCATTTGGAAAATGCTCAATCTGTAAGTATTGACTATTGTCCGTACATCATTTTTTAAATTATTATTATTATTACTTTTTCATTTTTGAAAAATATCGATTATGTATTTTTGCTACTGTCTTGTTTAAACACATTTTATTCTAAATAGATGATTCGAAATGTTTGTTTTCTCTTAACTTGAAGAAAACAAAGAAAACCATCATCATCATCATGTTCTTATGGTTGAATATATCGTAATAATTCTCAATCACTGTCAAGAAGAATTACCTTGGTGTAACAATAGATAGATATCATAACTTACGGAACCATTTCTTATGTTCTAGGGCTTTCTATCTCATAGTAGAGCATCATTTATCATAATTTACGTTTATCTCTGTTATAGTCGTTTATATATAGGTTGTTCTCTCACATTGGATATCGTTTTTTTTTCTTACAAAGATATATGAAGAAGCAAACTCAAGTCTAAACCGTTAGTATGTTAAAGATGATCAGACGTAAGTCTTATGTAATAAATCATTTTTCAAAGATATTTTAGATTTCAAAGTAAGTATCTCAACATAGACAACTCAATAATAGTGCAATACTCAATAGTTACGTATTCAGTAGTTACACGTTGTTTTAGAAGATTGATCTTCTCAACAATACCTCATCGTACACAAACGAAAAATCAAGTTCAATAAAAACGTAACTGTATAATAAGAATGAAAAAGTTTATGGTTCTATCAATTTTTAATTAAAAAAAAAGTTGACCATTCACAATATTCAGTTTCTAGTACTTTTAGTCTTAGTTTGAAGTATTTTCATGAAAATTAAGATTTAAGATGTAGACTAGCTCACAAAAGGCAGTGCATAAATTCAAAATATCATTAGGCTTAATATGATTGTCACAAAAACGTCAAAGTTTAACTTTTTCATATTTTCTGGATCTTCTGTTTTTTTTTTAATTTTTTCGAAACGTGAGACGGGGAAAAACTAAAATTGGCAGAAAATTGAAAAAAAAGCTAGTTGGAGCCGTTTATTATTAACCATATTGATTTCGATAAAATAGTGCAATTGCTTGAAAAAAAATATAGATTACTAAAACTCTTCTTAATATCAACGATGCCAGCAAGAAAATCAATTAATCTCTATTGAGATGTCATTTTTACAATTTTCAATTTTCAATTAAACATTAAATATAGCTTCGTAGACAAACCTCAATTCACTGATGAAGACTTTTTAGTTGTGAATTTTCATGGCGACTTGTGATTAGGGTACAGATACCTTGAAATTTATTATAAAGTCTCGTTAATGAGTATCATAAGGACTTACATGAAGTAGTTATATACAGAAGTTTTACGTAAGTTGTTTATGTTAAACCGTCTAGTGACCGTGAACTAAAGAGTTTACAACACATCTCAAATAGTTAAGTAAGATGATTATAATAATATTTATCATTCTATAGAAATGTTTCGTTAGATTAAAGCTAACAAAATATGCGATGGGTCTATTTTGGAAACGAAAAGATGGCAATTCTAATACTTAGATTATTAGTCAAAAAAAGAAGAAGAGGCCAATCAATCATATCTATTTATAACAACGCGCTACCTGTCCGTCGCTCTTATAGGTCTCTGCATCTGTCGATTATATAACTCTTGATGTTTGTTAACTTTTAGATCTCAAGAGTTGCCATCTGATGATTTCCAATGCAATAAATCTTAATATTCTGGGGCATCTTCACTGAAAGAAAAAAAAATATTCACTAGAATAAATAAATTATTTCTATCACTGATACAGTTTGCACCTAGGGAACTGTTACGTGGGAGTTGTTTGTATTTTAATGTGAAATTAGCAGGCTATTAGTTTTATTTGGGTCTAGGTCAGGTGCTCGCGGACAGTTGCTCGTCGGACAGTTACGCGTGGAGAGTTGCTCGCATATACACTTGTTCGCTATGACTAGCATCGCGAGCAAGTGTATATACGAGCAACTATCCGGCGAGCAAGTGGTCGTGCCCCTTTTATTTCATATTACCCTACTAGAAATGAGATAACCAATCTATATTTGTACAGTCGGAGAATTATCTAATAAAACAAAAAATTATGATATTGTATTCTAATGACTTTTCTTTGGTTTCTATAGCGTATACAAGCTGTTTTATCGCTTAACTCTTCTTTATATATATATATATATATATATTATAGAAGAACAAAGTTCATCTCATTATGTTTCTTACTATAATAAAATAAAATAAAACAAAACGATAGGTAGTCACATTTCAAGCTAAAAGTAGCATAATTTCTTGAAAATAACTACAATTACCTGTTTGTTTTGTTTATTTATGGTATCAATATTTATGCAAGCAGCAAAATTCTTGAAGAAACATAATATAAAAAGAAAACTACGCTTTTTATGTCAGTCTTTCGATGTATATGTATAGTATGTATTCTTGACACGGATTGTTGTTCTCAACATATGACACAGAAGCATCTAAATCTAGCTATTTATTTACTCATTGTGCCTGCATGTACTTCATACTCTTTGCTAATACCGTAGGCATAATCAATACTGATTCTCACCCTATGATCAATGTCCTATTGCGCATATTTAATTATAATGTTCATTTTGCGGTTTCTCAATGATTACTATTACCGAAATAAAAATAAGCCAGAACAAAATCTAATCAGTAACAAAGAATATTGCAATTTTTCAATGTAAAAGAATATATATTTACTATTCAGATAGAATTGATAAGAACTTACCCTTTAATTATCTGCTTATCCGTAAGCGGAACAGAAAAAAAAAAGAAAAAAAAAAGTTGATCGATCGAGAAGAAGGCTATGGAGACAGTTGAAGACCGATATATACTGCGTTTTTTTTCTTCTTGTTTTTCGTCTCTCGTCAAACAGATAAAAAAGGCTAACAACACGCGTAGTCAATTACTGAAGACAACGTCGACTAGAAGTTCGACGAACAGCACCAATGAAACAACAATAAGATACCCATCAATTTATAGGGATTAGAAACTGTTTCTGTTTCCTGTCTCTCTACTTGGTGAAGAATGCACAGAGAAATATAGAAAGAAACAAACGCTAGATATCAGTGCCCATTTTCTTTTGGTATCGTATATGTCCTCTTTTCTTTTTTTTCTTCTTATGTTACATACAAATATACATACTATTTATAAGAAAATGGCAAGCAAAGGCGAGACCAATGACTAATTTCTCTTTTTCTCTTCGCGCACATCGATGATTCTAATGGGCTTAGATGGGAAACAGCAACAACGACCACCACGCCATACGTTAGCAGCATGGATACTGAGGTTAAAGGAGAGTTAGAGATGGCACAGCAAGGGCGATAATATTTGTTCTTTTCTTTCTTTTTTCCCTCAAGTATCTGTAGATACGATGAGCAGTTTTGTTCTTAATAGTACCAACGAGGAGGTGGGTCAAGATACGCATGTATACATGTATAGGAAAAGGGTTTTGTTTTCGCTGTAATTTTCTATTTATCATGATGTCAAGATATGCAGATGAGTAAAGAAACATCGAAGAGAATTTCTGCGTTTGTTCTTATGCACGCATATGCCTATAGACTAAAAAGGTTCTCTTTGTACAGTCAATCGAGGCGAGGCAGAAAAGAAACAGAATACTATTTGAAAGATACTATCCAAGGCTATAACGTTGACTATTCGATTGATATAAAATAGAAATTAATGACAAGAACAAAATAGCACTGATAATGGTAAAACTTCCACATTTCAATTTGACCGTGTGCTGTCATCTATAATGTTTAATAGGAAACAAAGGAGAATGAAAAACTTTACGTCTCATCATGATCAAATGTGTTGAAAAAATCTTCTTCGAAAAAAAGATAAGTCAATGATACATTTTCATTATAATTGTTTTAAAAGAAAGAGATTAATTTGAAGAAAGATTTCATTAATACAAAAATTATCTGTATCTACTGCTAGTTCTCGCGATTATCACTTTTTTTAGTAGATCGTTTATTTTGCTGTATATTTACTTACTTTGTTGATTGCTATCAATATTATTTAAATCATTGTTGGCCGGGTTAATGTCTATATCTGGTACCATTTCGAGATAATCAGGAGGTACATAACAAATCTATAGAAAGAAAATGTAGCCCAATATAATCCTAATAACAATCAGAATAGTCTATAGGCAGAAGTGTCACTCTATTGTCATAGATGTATTTCAGTTCATAAATCTTCATTGACTTCGAATCTAGTATAACCCGTATACAACAGAGTTTCTGTTATCGTTAAAGATATTCAAAGCAAAAACAAATATGTAGAGATATGTGAATGACCGGAAAGTATTTTTCTGTTGAGCCAAAGCTTAGGAAAGTAGCTTCTATTTTATTAACTTTTCCGAATCTCCATCAGGAAGTTTCTTTTTGGCTGCTTCGAGTTAAACAGGGACATTTCTAACCACAACTTCTCTATTGCTTGAGTTAGACGAATGGCTGCTGGCTTTTCAATTGCATAGCTCTTTATAGATGACTTAAGCATAAATGTTGTTTTGGTTCTTCCGTTTTTGAAGAAAATACATCAACATGAAGAGTAACTATTTTTCCTTTTGAAATTTCAAAATAAGTGAGTGGCACATTTATTGCAAACAAATATAATGCATCGAATAAATCAAACCTGATTCAAATTTCTCTTGTTTCTAACAAGCCATTTGTCTTTTTTATCAATATCAATGATTTCAACTAAATCACCTTTATTCATAGATACATCACGAGCTTCATCACGAAAGTCATCTTTTAAAACAAAGTCTGACAAGAAGAAGTCCTACATTGAAAATAAATTTTAATGCAAAAATTTAAAAAAATAAATGTTAAACAATATTCACTATATCAGATTGGTCGGATAATTTTAATTGACGATGTTGTCGAACATGTTTATCAATAAGTTGTGTCGCAATAGATTGAGGAACATCTTCCATCTAATTGTAAAAGCAACAATAAATTCTAGAGAACATTATTCGAAATCTGTACACAACAATGAACTTCAATTTGATGATGATGATGATGATGATGATGTAATTTTATTTAGAGGAAAAAGTAATCACAAAAACAAGAAATACTAAAATCTAACTAATTTTTCATCTGCTTGAAAATTTTTTTTGCAATAGATAAGTCAATCTGTAGTTGATATCAAATAGGCATTTTTAATCGACTTCTAACAGTAACTGCAAGACTTTTTTCAACGTCTCATAGTGTTAAGAAAAGATCGTCGTGATATAGAATTAGAATTTTACATGTTTGTACGATGCTCGTTCATCTATTGCTGCTAGTATGAATAATGAATTATTGTCTATTTGATTGTCTGATTTAGCTTATATAGATGTACCAGAAATTTATAATTTATTTTAATTCTTTCTAAATTTTGTCTTTTCGAACTATTCAAAATATTGTTCTTCATTATAAAGCACAATATACAATCAAATGTATACAATCATAAACATGGTTCTAATAATATCTTTGTTATTTTGTCGGTTATTATTAGCTGTCAAAAAGTGTTTGATAATAGAAACAAACTGTTAATCGAAGTTAACTACTACACACCAAGAGAAGAGATGATAATAAACATCCGAACTCTTTCTCCTTATTATCAACGAAGACAAACACGAATGTCTATCACCAATGATGTGGTTTACGAATATATAAGTAGTTATCTTGCTCTAGAATATCAGGGTTGACAATCAATAATATTTTATCATAACATACAGCATTCGCATCAACATCAGATGCATTGGTCGAACGTTCTTCAACTTCAGAACTAGTTGATTCGGGTTCAGTCATTGCTAAAATTATAGAAAATAAATATACTTAGTAATCTTTATAGTTCTATTTAGTTTTAAGATATTCTTCTACCTTCTACGCATACAGTAAATGTACTATAAACAGCTCCCATCATATTTGTGGCAATGCATGAATATTCTCCAGCGTCCAAAATGGAAATTTTTGGTATTTCAAAAAAATTTTCTCCGTTGCGATCAAATATTTTGTGATAACCATCATCTTCTAATGATTTACCCGAACGAATCCAAACAATTTGTGGAGCAGGATTACCTTGTTTTTTAGTATAAGAAATTAAAAATATCAAATAAAATCTTGAATTTTACTTACCAATCACTTTGGCAAATATTTGGAATTGTTCACCTTCATGAACTGTACGATTTGATGGTTTGATAAGAAATTCTGGCGCTTTGTATGTCGGTTGACTACAAAACAAAATCGACACGTTTGTCTTAAATAAAATAAAAACTAAAGTACTCATTACCGTGCACCGTAAGGAAGTAGTCCTTCTACTTTTAATCTTTTAATTTTATTCATATTTTCGATGACTTCGATTCGACATTCTGTATCTATTTTTCCTAAAGAATTTTCGGCATGAATAGTGTAAAGACCTTGATCAGACGTTAAAATTTCGCTAATTTCTAAATGATGTACACCCCGATCGGAATATATATCAATACGATGATCTTCTCGAATATCAACATTATCCTTAGTCCAATGTATCACCGGTTCAGGATTGCCTAAAGAAAAAGCATTTATTTTATAAAAGTGAAGAAAAACTCACAAAACAGAATCATCATACCTATGATCGAACAACTAACATCAAGATCTTCACCTTCGTTTATACGTATTATAGATGGTAATTTACTAACAATAGTTGGTTTTTCTTGTTCCTACGTTCAAAGAATAAAAAAATTGAATAAAAAAAACCGGCAATGATTCATCTTTTATTTTTCTCACAATTGTATTATTCTGTTTTGTTTCTGGTGGAGTAAAAAAATCAGTTCTTTTTGAACATAAACAAACTGAATTTTCCATCATTCAAATAAAATTATTTTTCCTAGTAGCTTTTTTTCTAATAATTTCATGGAGTATCATATCATTGACAATATGACAATACATATGCGAACTGCGCATATAAAGATGTCTAGAAAATAGTATCCCAAAGGGCGATTAACTTGACTATGCCACAACGATTGCATATCATATCGTTGGCAGTGGAAAAGCTATCATCTTCTGTTGTATTGGGAAATAAAAGCTCGCAATATCCATCATTATGAATTAGGTGAATGTGTCATTAGTACTGATAATCAGAATAAAAGAAATAGAAAATGCACTGTTTTCTATGTGTATTTACTTTAAGTCTTGTCACCATTGTTTCTCTTTTCATTTTTGACATCTCATCTGTAATGAATCAGTCTCATCAGAAAACACGATAAAAAAACAACAGTCGCCAAGTCAATCGTATGGATGTCAATATTACGTATAGATGCATTCGTCTGTTTATTTACACTTTACTTCTAGCATAAGAAGAGTACCCATCGGTAAGTAGGCATATTGAAAAAATGTTAAGCTAATACTGAAAAAATAACTAACACTAAACGTGCCAAATACAAAGAATAAAAGCATTGTGTAAAAATCTGAGATCTATCATAAGATTTGATTATATATATTTAAAATTGTTTTTCTTTCAATACTTTTCACCACAGTAGTATTAATATGCAATTTTATACTATTCAAGTACAAGATATGCGTCGTAGCACACAAACCACAACACTAAAGAGAAAGTTGTATATATCCACCATATTTTGACGATAAAGACTGATTTTTCTATGATCAAAACAGTTACTATATTCATGAATCGTATTAGTAAGAAGAACTATTGATTAAAACTGCTTAGAAATAGCATTGCTGTCTTATACTAAAGAATTATAACTTTTTCAGGAATCATGAAGAAGCACTATGATTGCTTCCTTGGTGAAAGATAAAAAATATAGATAATTTTACATAGTGATTCTTTAGACTATTATAATATTCAGTGAAATCGATATTCTAGATACATATCTCTCGTTACTTGTTCTATCCTAAAAAATCGTCAACTATAAATAGCAAAATTTGTTAGAAAAATTGACATATGATATCTCAATTTTTCGTACAAGGTTACATTTCTATAATGAAATCAACGATGATATTTCAAAGCAGTATTGTCCGATATTTTTCTTACGAATATGATTCATCAACACTGCTCTATCAGGAATTACAAATACCAATGGATTTAGTCAAAGTGTAGTGAATATATGCAAATATTTTCTTCGGTAATATGATCTCTGAGACTATCGTCTATATTTAGTCAATGAAAATATTGTCTCTTTCTAAGAAAAATATCGATCAGAGATGTCCACTTAGTGATTTTGTCACAAAATATCTTGACCTATTCGGTTCAATGGGCCAGAGTTCTATAAGGTATTCTGGTGAATTAAAAGCTATAACATTTTCACAGTGTATATTAGAGTATTGTTTTATTTTCACATATTCTAAAATAATACTAACTTTTACTTCAAACAGCTAAGTAGATGGATCTGAAGAAAATATACGAGAGATAAATGCTACAGTATATCTAATTTAGTTGAATAAAATTCACGAGAGAAATGTACCTGAGAAATTTTTCAACGAGACAAGAAATGCAAACTAATTAAGATAATAACTGTGAGTAAGATAGCACCAAACAAAACAAAATACACAATTTAGTCTTCATACAAATATTTTCTATTGGTGTTACGTATAAAAGTATCTATCTAGATTTATGACTGTTTCGGGAATCGATAGCATCGATGGATCGTAATTTACAGCAAATAAAAATTTTTGCCAATCGTTTTTCAAAAACCCACAGGGTTCTAGTGTTTGCTTATTCTTGTCAAATTCGAACAAGAGATGCACAAATATTTTTCTCTCTTTTTATGTACTCAAAAAGTGAGTACACTACTAAAATCTGCCAGTGTGTCCAGCCGTCCGTTTATTCGATAACTCTTCACAATTACATTCGATTGAGCTGAAATTTTGTGCACAGAATTGTCTCATCAATATCTAGGTCGAGTTCGAAGATGAGAAGGATCTGTCAAGAAATGACTGAGTTATCGAAAAAATTATCATTTTTGATCAGATCATCCCTGAGGGGGAATACTGGGATTTTTCAAAAAAACCTTTTTTCTCAGAATTATCCACAACATATATAAATTGACTCAGTTTTTAACGTTGATTCTGAATCTGATATTAGTTTTGGAAAAAATCGTAGTTTTCTGACGAAACATTGACTGGAAAAGGTCTCAAAATCCACAAAAACTGCATCTAGAAACCAAATTGCCTAGATATGTCTCAGATGATCAGCAGCTTGGGAGTTTATCAAATGCCTGGTTTTGTTGCTAGTCAAAAGGACTATCGAAAGGTAAAAACCCGAACTCAATAGCTATTACTATTGATGATTTATTATGAAAATACTGATGCCTGTATCTATCATATATCTCTTAATATAAATTCATGAGGTTGCTTACGATCGTAATCCTGCTAGATACAAACACAAAACCATTCAAAAATAACTGTTTTTATCCAGTTTTCGAAGCTGAACACGAATCTGAGCTCAATTTCTGTGATCTCTAAAGATATTATATCATTCTGAGCATAGAGTCAGTGGTCACTGGATAGAGTTGCATACAGTGTGGTCCATGCTAATTTAGCACGCTTGTATTTTCTCCTTGCAATTTAGTGAGAAGGGATGTATCTTGATGAGATCTATGCCTTACAGGAAAAAAATGGATGTACATTTTCGCTTTTTGAAGTACACATAACAATCGGGTGCAAATCCGATGTTTCCGCATTTATTTTCCTAAGCGATTGCTTTTAGTGTTAAGCAGTGTGTAACTTTGAAGAATATAAAGTGAAAGGACTAACAAAATGAGATAAATACTTCTTTTTTTAGTGCAGAAGTAATACCTGCATTGGATGTTAAACAAATATAATTATGAGCATCGTATAATAAAGAATTTATAAATTCAGCTTTGCTATCTTCAATTTCATAAAAAACACGCGAATAAGAACTATGAACCTTATTTTTCAATAATGATTGTTTATATTTGATGATTCTATCGTACTTATGTGAACATGTTTTAATCTTAAGAGGAAATCTATACATATTTATTATTATATAGAACAATTTTCTAGTAAAGTTATTCTTGAATTTTCCATTTTAAATTTTCAAGGAACCACTGCTTTTTAAGATGCAAACTCGTAAGTCTGATTCATTATGTTGTAGTGTACGAAGATCTCGCTCTGATTTATGTACACTTCTAACAGATACTAGTTTATCATATATAGTTCTTTTACTTCTATGTAGCGATTAAAATCGATTTGCTGAAATGTTGCTATAATCTCACGAAAGAATAGAGCTGTATCATGCATAACTGTATCTCGATAGTTTCTGTCGTACTACTTTGGGATGAGTATGGCATATTTTCTCAATAGGATTTCAGCCTTAAAGTTTCAGCTGAGAAAATCAAAAGAATATCACAGATTTTACATGTTATGGAATCTTTTGATTTTCAACTAAACATTTTCAGATTTTTCATTTCTCTTTGCTTGTTTGTTTGTCTAAGCAATTATGACTTCAAAGCAAAGTGTCTTCTGTCTACTAAAGATGTTTCAAAAGTTTCAATGTAACTGAAAAAGTTTGGTAAGCTGGAGAGATTGAAAAGTTTTCTCTAGAAGACATCGATATTGACCACTTAATCTTCTGCTTTTGAAAAATAATTTTTCGAGCAAAACGAACTCGAAAAATAATGTCATTTCTCAATATCAGTACATTTTATTAAATTGAAACTTGCTTCTATTTACACTAGAAGTAACTACCTATGACTACTGTTTTTTTTCATCATATAGTGTATTTCTGGCTATTGTTGAGGTTTACAAAAATAACTTCAATCGAACAAAACATACCTATGCCAATATTTTGGTCTTTGTATAAAAATAAAAGAAGACTTTTGTAAAAATAAAACAACGAAAAACGTAAAATTTAGAGAAATCATAGTATGTGTAACGATGATAGAAAAATAATTTTCTACTCGTTCAGACCTAAGGCAGTTCAGAGGGTAGAAACTTGAGCGAGCGATTTTTTAGTCTTTGTACTTTAGGAATCCATATTGAAAACTATTTGTAAACTGTAAATTGAACAAAAGATGATTCTATTTATACACATCAATATGTTCTGAACGTTGCGATATTGTCTGATGTTCTGTTCTTGAAAAATGTCCGAAAAGCATGAAAATTTTCGATAAATAAAAGTTTATTTGTAGGAACCATGCAAAGAAGCACGTTTTCAGTACTAAATGCGCTATTTCCAAGTTTAACTTATAAGTAATGCTTGCTCAATTTATCATGTCAAAAATTGAAGAGAAAGTTTTCTTTAATGCTGTAAAACAGTTTAGAATATGAAATTTATAATTTAATTATTTCTCATACATAAGAAAAGTTAATCTTAATAGTTCAAGCATCATTTATTTTTTCTATTCTCTAACATGCACGTAATAGTGATGACTATCATATTTTATATTAAAAAATGATCATCAGTTGTTTTCAAAACATTAAGCGCTTTTTCAAAAGAATTCTGTAGTCAAGTTAAAAGTATCAACATCTTCTATGGAAATGATTGTACACGTGTTTATTGGAATCACCTTTGATTAACTCAGCTATGTAATTATCAAGGTTGCACACTGCTGTGCTTTCTTATATTTTTCTGTTCTCTAATAGATATGTGCAAGTTATTGTGCATACTTTATTGACTAAACATACAGCATAGATCACTCTACACGAGTGTGCCTGTCGTGATACGAAAATAATTCTATGGGTCTCAAATAATAAATGCAAATCAACAAACTTCTTGCAATTTTCTCAGCGTTTTTAATAATGATTTTTTTTACTCACTTCAATTTTAACTATATTGGATTTATCTTCCTCCACTGTAATTGTTGTTGTCGGTAATAAGACTTGAGGAAGGACCATATTTTCTTCAGGTGCGATGATTTTTGTTATTGGTATTTCCACCTGTTCAATTGATGGTGGCATTTCTGCTGTTGTTTGCACCGGTTCATTGTTTTCTAGTTCCTGTTCTTCTTCATCTTTCTTAGCTTCTTCTTCTTCTTCTTCTGGAACAGTTGATGGTGTTTGATTTACTAAACTTTCAAGTTCTTCAGTCACTCTTGCTAATTTGGACATGGGTAAATTAATATAACGTAATGGTGAAACGCTTCGATCTTGTGCATGATTATTTGATGGACTTAATGATCGATTTGGACTAGCATTACGACTTGGTGATGGTGAATGAGATCGTTTTCTCCCTAAAATAATTATGTTTAAACAATATCAAGACAAAAAAAGCAAAATTAAAAATACTTACTCAAAACAGCAAGAAATGCAGTAGTCACTGACGAACCAAATTTATTTGTTGCTATACATCGATATGGACCTTCATCTTCTGCTACTATATTTCTTATAGTTAATAAGCAAATTCCGGTTTTAGGATTTTCATCGAGTGAATATTTTTCATTATTTGATTCAATTTGTTTATCATTGAAAAACCATGCTATTGAATAAGGCTCATCTTCGTCAGCGTTATCTACACTTTGTACTGTACATGTAAATGTAACACTCTCGTTCTCAAATGCATCTTGAGAAGTAAGACGACGAATGATTTCAGGAGCCGCTAGAAAACCAGTAAAACTCATATTAGATTAATTTAATATAAGAAAGAAAAGAGAATTTGTCATATAATTTAACTCATATTCTCTTTTATCATTTAAAATTTAACATTTAACATTTAATAATAATAATACATAAATAAATAATAATAATTGAAAATAAGTAGAAGACTAGCAGGCTATGGTAGATAGCGACTGAGAACGAGTATGTTTGTCGTGTTCTCTGTACAACTATATGAAAAGAACGGCCCATGTGGCTTCGTTTGTTTTCTTCCTGATTTGCTGTATATGTACGTGGGCCGGTGATGATGGTACTAGTCTATGTTGCACATACTCATTCATCCAGTCGCATCATTTCCGCTGTCGATAGCACAGAGATAAAGAGAAAAGTTATGATTGTTGCTGGATAGAACAAAAAAGAAACAGCGAGAGAGGAACGATATGTGCATGAGCAATAGTGCTTTGCTATCCTTCATCAGCGATGATGATAGAAACAGAAAGCCAACTCTTTCCTATCCACTGATGTCGATTTTTCTTTTCTACCAACGAACAGAAAAACCTATACTGATTTTTATTAGGATATACCTCATCAATAAACCGTTGGAATTAATGATTTGTATACTATTATATTGTATTGCTAGAGACTTAATTATAAGAGACTTTATATTCATGTGAGTAGAAATTTAACTATTTCTCTATGTAACGTATCAATGTCAAAGATATCAAAGCATAAAGTTTGAAAATACAAATGAATTTTCATAGACAAAAGCTTGAACTCTAAATTCTCATATATTAGCTATTGATAGAAAACAATAAATCATACGATAATTTGAAAATATTTGTCAAAAAACGAATGTTCAAATGAATTTTATTTTTCTTCATTTGAAGATTTCCTTCAGAAAAAATTTGATCCATAAATCAATTTTATGAGAAAAACCTTTTACTGTACGCTTGACAAGACCTTTTCCAACATAAATGTCATATCTTCTTCTTTGCTTTCTACATGAATATTAATAGAAACAAAAGAAGGAAAAAAAACCTTCTTGGTCAAATCCATCAGCTTACAATAGGATACTATCAAGAACTGATGAAATGTTATCTGATGTTCTATTACAATGATTTATATGTCATAATCGGTTAGAGTGATAAATTTCCGATTTTATAGCTCATTTTGAACTGCTATGGCAAATTTTCTATTGTTAGTTAGAGAAATTATTTAGAGATAAACTTTTAATTCGTGTACTTCTTTATAAAAACGATCCTTGATATTAAACAAAATTTTTTTTCCAATAAACATTTGAATCATATTCTTTATGTGGAAGCTCTATAGTCTTAGAAAATAATCATACTAGATATTTACTCAAGAGATGAAGCTATCTTTATCGATATTCTTAAAAAATGGAAACGATTCTTTTCCCGTACAGTTTGATGTTAAGATTTATAACAAATATAGATAGAGAAGTTCCATATTTTGAGAGCAATCGAAAAGAAATATTTTATTAATTTTAAAGCAGCAATTAGTGTTCTAGCTTGTTTGGATCTCCATAACTTAATTTTATCTTTCAAAACATTCCAACAGTTTCCTGCACCTGCAAAATTCACGCTGCGAATACCAGAAGCCATACTAGACATATTGTTTTTCAACTTTAGTCTTTTCTTTCAATAGAAGATCAACAGCTTGGCTTCTTATCATAGAAAGTTAATGCTTTGGTAATTAGTATTAAATATCTCTTTCCATATTAATACTTTGCCAAACAGTCGTATATAGGCTGACACGAGTCAAAAGTATGTCATATGACAATATGGTAAAATAAGCTTATTTCTACGTCGATCTCATTGCATGCAAACTCAGTCAAGGTTCAAAAAAACACAATACCATACGTCAACTTTTTTTTAAATTGCTAGTTTAAAAAAAAATAAAAGCTCTATCATAAAAATAATAAGTTTTAAAAAATTACGATGAAAACGAAAACCAGAACATGAAAGATGTATTGAGTCTTGTTACCAATACTTACATCTAATTATTTCATATCAAACAATTGATTTTCAGTCTTCTAATAAAACTAGTTAGTCAAGTTTAAGAACTTCTTATTTTGATGCGACTTCAACTAAACCATTAACATGTGATTGTATGCACGCTATAAGTTCGAGAAAAAGTACCAAGAAAATATTTATCTATTTACAAGACATAAAAGCAACAATCAGAGAGCAGTCAATAGATGTATACTTAAACTAATACAACTAGTAATGCAAGGATGGCAGAAATAGGTTCGTGATCAAACATGCATACAATTGTAAATCATGAAATAGAGGTGTCCAGTATGTTTGAATAATTAAAACAGTGAACCACTAATATCTAGTATTTAGCTTCATTTATGTCGACTTATCTAGTTGTCCTTAATATTAACAAACATTGAACAAGTAGTCCATAAATAAATAAATAGGTGTTTGAAAGTATTTAAGAAAAAAAGAGATTAATACAGTAAATCATTGAAAACAAATTGTATTGAATTTGACACGAAGAATAGACACCCTCCTCACACATCAAGAAAAATATTAAATTATTGCACAAGAAGCTTAGCTGGTTTCAGGTTAAATTTACCGTGTCAAGAATGGAAATCATTAATTAGAAAAACATATCCGGACTATTATCAGTATCAAAAACAAGTCATGTTGATTGTTCGCAAGGATGATTTGATCACTATTTTACTGATATTTATTCACAAGCAAATGCAATATTTTAAGAAGACTGTCGACTATATCAAAATAGTGTAAATACATTGATTAAATTCTTATTGTAATAATTGACAAAAATCATTTCACCTAGATAGAATTTCGGAACCTTTATTTATCATTCTCAAATAAACAACTCTGTCACTCTATTCGATAGTCTGGCATGCATATATATATATATATATATTTAGTATACGAATAAAGAAAAACAACTGTTGCCTCGATAATTATGCATTTTATAAAGTTTTTTCTAAGTTCTCATAAAATCATCCATGTATATCTTAACAAGTTCCGTTAGTAAAGAAAATCTTTTTTATTTATACCATTATTCATTCTACTGTACTTGTATAGCGTTTTAATAGATTCTGTATGAGTCACTTAGCTTCTTGATATTTGTCAAAAAGGAAGATTAATATTACACAAGAGCCCAGAAAAATATACTTCAGCTTCATTAGGTTTTCTTCTTCTCCATGTAACAGGCTATCACGAAAAATAATAAGTACATGGTACACACTCATTCATCGTGAATTAGAATATTTTTTGCGTTAAATGTAATATAAAACATAGAAGGATCAAAGAAAGTTACATACAGTAAAAAGAATGTTAATCGTCAAGCGATCAATAATCGTTTTTATGATCGCAATGCCAACAATTGTATTAATGCGTGCTGCAAGTTCTACATTTAGTTCTCCGAGTAAATAAGAAATAAAAGGTAATTAGACACTTGTTGAAAATAATTATTTAAAATTTTCAGATATGGACAAGCAATGTAATAAAACAATTTCACTAAATGGTGATACGCTACCGGGTACATATTTTAATCTAGCATCCGGTAAATATAAGGAAAATCTAAATTGCATATTAACAATCAAAGGAGCAACAGTAAGTCAACGAATTATTATTGTTATTGATAAAATGGATATCGCATGTAACGGTGATAAACTACTCATTTACGATGGAAAACAAGAACAAGCATCATTACTAAATCAAGACGAAACAACACAATGTGGAACGAAAAAATATTATCTACGAGTAAATTAATTTATCTTTTCTTTATCACTGAAATCTGTACGTATTTTATTTCGATATAATTTTTAGACATCTCGTTCAAATACTGTAATAATTGAATTTGTTTCTAATAATGATGGGAAAGTCGGAAGCGGTTTTATTATTAATGTTGCCGTCAATTTTCGTAAGTGATTATGCTTTCTACTTAAGATGAATATAAATGTGTACATTTTGTATTCTACAGCTGTTCCAACATGTTCACGCTTGGATAATCTTTATAAATGCAGAAATAATTATTGTATATCGAATATATTTAATTGTGATGATCGAAATTGGTGTGGAGACGATACTCAATTATATGTGTGTCGATAAATTTTTCTTTCAAAAAGCATATAAAAAAGGGAAAACTTTTCATGAATAAATGCTCTTTTTATTCTTGTATTTTAATATAATCATAAACAGGAAAATGAAACGAAAACAATTTTAACTTACGACTTTCATCGTCCAACAGTTGTTGTAATTTTTTACTTGCGGTATTATTATTATTATTATTATCATCATCATCATCAGCCATATTTTATCAATAGATTCTGTTCTTGTTTGTACTTTGTTAGGATAGAGTATTACATCAGGACAATGATCTCATTAGACATTATAGTGTTATATATCCTTTATATATTGCATGTACACATGACTAAGATTCTTTCGTTTCCATAACATTATTATCATATCTTCAAGTGTAGTTAGACCAGTAGCAGTAGAGACGAGAGAGAGGTTAGAACATTGTTGTACTGACAACGATAATGTGAAAGAAGGCGGACGAACAGCAATAGAGAATGTTTTTGCATACGATCGAACATACGATAAACTCGCTGCATGGACATATATAGCTACTGAGATGAGGATATTTTCTTGAAACGCATGTATTATGCCATTTTTCTTTTTCTTTTCTTTCTATCACCGTTGCTTCCTCATAGAAATGTCTGGAAGTGTTAACATTCTTGCGAGCACACTACAGCTGCATCTGCTCTAGTGCCGATGGAAAGAACAAAATGACCATAGAGATAGTTTATTTTTTCTTCTTGTCTTTATATTCAGCTGAAGACAAGTCAAGTAATATATATATTATTAAACACATCGAAAAAATGTGAATAAATCAAATAACAAAGCAGATATTATTTTATTAAAGTTCACCCTAAAATAATAAAATAAACGAAAAAAAAAGAATATTTCTGTTGATCATTATCGAATAAAGATAAATACCGTAGCTAATTTTCGTTTAAGTTCCATCATACGTAAAAGATCTCGCCAATATTTTAATTGTCGTGTTCCATCAATTTGAACATCTTTCGTTACTTTCTGTTTTTCCCGATTAGCTTTAATACGAGCTTCGGTGCTACTTATTTGTTTATTGAGTTGCTCTCTACAATAAAACAAAAGGAAAAGAAAAGAAAGATAATGAATTCCATGTGTAATAGATTATAAAACCTATATGATTTTGTTGCTTTATCTGCTGATATATATGAACTTGTTTCGTCGTTTGCTCGTTTTAATAGTACAGCATTAATTAACATTTGTGCTTTAAGCGTATGAAAACGAGACTCTTGTGCGTATTGTTCTTCATAAAATCCACGAACTTCCTATATGAATATATATATATATATATATATACTATTCAGAAAGAAAAACAAAGTAAAAGCTTCTTCAAAAAAGAAACTAACGGATTCAAGTGTTGATCGGCTACTTTCAAAGTTGGCGTTGAGTGCATCGTATTTACTTTTTTTTGCTTCATACTCATTTCGTAATTCCTTAAGAAATAAAAATTGATTCATGCAAAAGAAAAAAAACAACAGATTGGTTTTACTTGAACTTTAGCTCGTAATGGTTTTACTTCTTTAAGAATGGGGTCGAGTTCAGCTTTTTTTGAAGATATACGACCATTTAATGTTTTAATTAAAGCTGTAATTTCATCTAAAGTTTTGCCTTTTAATTCATCTTGTTCCATTTTGAGTGTAGATAATTCTTCAAGACGTTCTTGAGTAGAAAAGTAACCTTCAATACCATGTTTACGTTCTTCCATACTCTAAATTAAGTTCAAAATAATATTAGATAAAAAGAAATAATTAAAAATTTGAATACCATTCGACTTTTGATTTGTTCAACTTCCTCTTTAAGAAGTTCTTCTGTTCGCTTTAGTAATTGTAATTCAGCTGTCATATCATTGATTTCTTGACGTTTTCGTTTATATGCATTACTTTTACTACGCAACATGTTAACATAGCGTTGAAACTAAATGAAAAATAATGACTGCTTTTTTTTCGTGTTCAAATATGTATTTCAGTTAGATGATATTCTTTTCAATAATTCTATATGCGTAAATATCTTACACAACTCAAATCAAGAAATATTTTGAACAGAACAGACAATTAATTGCAATTTAATTCTCTATTCCCAATGGGTTTGTTCAAGCCACGAAGAAAAGACTTTGAAAGATATTTTTGAATAATTACTTCTTCTCCTTCAGGTACATGGCTACTGCCTTTAGCCACTGATGATGAACCACTGTGTCCCATAGGTAGAGTTCGACCGAATTGCTTCTCAAGTGCATCATTTTCTGCACGTAACTGTGTAAGACGTTCAGCACTTTGTTCTTTTCGTCGAGCAACAATAAGTGCTTGTTGACGAAACACAGCTAAGTTGTCCGCTGTAGGATCTTTGGCCAAAACACGTTTTTCATGAAATTTATTGATTACGGAATTTAATTCACTTATCTAAAACATATTATTAAATGATCATTTCTTTCGATTGATACGATTTTACTTTTGCTCGATAATTTGCTAATTCTGTTTGACCTAAAGCTTTGTTAGTTGCTACTTCTTCATAATATCGAAGTTTCATTTTCATTTGATTGAGTTCTTTGGGAAATTTTTCTGTGACTAAATAACTATTCACTTGATTTTCTTCTTCCATTCGTTTCATAATTCCTTTAAAACACAAGTAAAATAATAAATAATTTTATCGTACTCAAAGAAATAAAAAGGATAACTGAAACATTGAAATTAGTCGAAATATTTACCGTCAGGTGATTGATCAACTGATGAAGAACGTTGATCAGCTACTTGTCTTTCAAGACGTTGCGTTTTTTGTTCTAGTTGATTAATTACATTATTCAAATCGTGTTTCATTGTATTTAGTTTCTCTTCTTTTTCAACTTCTTTACGATAATTTTTTGCTAGTTCTATTTGGGCAGCTGGCACTTTTTGAACGCGAGTTTTCTGTCTTTCGAGTCGTTTTTCCAATGTTTCTTTTTCATCTTCAAGTTGTTTTATATCACGACGAAGATCATCAATTGTATGCGGTGTTGATGTTAAATCTTTAAATTCACGATGAACCTCTTTAAATTCTTCCATTAATTCATCATACTACAAAAACAAATTATCAATGCAGTTGAAATTGGAAAAAATTGAAAAGTTTTTTTACTCGATCATATTGTTCAGCAATTTCAGCATCACTTAAAAACTCAGTCGGTACATCTATTTTTGATAGATATCGACCCAAATAAGCACGTTCTTTATGTTCGGGCAATTTTTCAAGTAGCCATTGTAAAATAGGAAAAACGACATTTTTACCACCGCTAACTAAGTCTTGTCGAAACGTATTACTATGAAAGAAAAAGAAAAAAAGTAAATATATTTAAAAAGAATTGAATTCTGTTCATGAATCAAAACATACACATCTGTATCAAGTTTTGGCCTATAACCAAGCATTTTCAATGTATTCATATGTCGAGCAGCTGTTTTTTCCGGTTCTTCATCACGAATGTCAATTTTATGCTACGTAATACACAAAAAAATATACAATAAATATCACCTATTGTCTTAGAACAAAGAGAACTTCTTACAGATGGGTCATACGGATCAACAACAGCAAAGACATCTGTTAAAACTTGTAATAGTTGATTATTTGTTAAATTATCAAAAGTAAGAATATTGTAATGATTTCGATTAAAAGGTGGTCTTTTTAACTGTTCAACAATAAATTTAAGTTGTTCAACCATAGTTATATGTAGCACAGAAAATTCTTATACGATAGTTAAATTCAAAAGATTAAATATTCGCCATCACGATGTTTGATGTCTTGGTGCTGCTTTCTGTTTTCCTCCATTATGATGCACCATGAAGATGGCGCTGATTGTTCCAGATCGTCCTGCCATGAAAAAGTATTGAAACATACCACATAGAGAGTTAAAATTTACTGTAATTCAACTTCATTCGATTCAATATTATCATTACATGCACACTATCCACTCGTAGCAATCTGTTAATCTTGAAAGTACTTTAGATATTCAACTTAGTTTGCATTCTTTCACTGTTTATTCAATAGAATAGATAGACATGAAAAATAACTTAAAATAGTTTAGTTTCATGATCTATTCATCAGGAATTGTTATAACTAAATAAAATTATCGTTGCGTTTGTGAATAGTTATCAATTCTAAATTGTGAAAGTTCAACTAAATCACATGTGACTTTCAAACAATTCAAAACAGCATTTTTTTTCAATAAAATTTCAAGTCAGCATTTGAAAAGTTGATTGTTTCTAAATTTAGTCATAGAAAAAATTCAGCAAAATGATTAGAGTTCTTAATCGATAGATCGTGACTACATATATGTAAAGTTGATTAATTTATTTTTATAGTGGAATCATTTATTTCTACTACTAGTTGATTGAAATTAAAATTCTGACAGATTTGTACCATTTATGCAAAGTCAAATTGACATTATCAATTATTTCAACTCGTAAAATCACTGGAAGTATATGATCTTTGATAACTTGAATATGAAAATAATTTTAAAATTCATGAATAATATATGAAATTTGACAATAACAAAAATTTATTTATTATCGTAGTTGAAGTTTCTCATCCTAAGACAGAAGTCATTGGGTGTATAGATATTTTTCTCAAAAATTGTCTCTATTCTATCAAACAAGATCATATCTTGAGCATTTTCAAAATTCGATGTAATTAGTTACACCTCAGTAACATTTCTTTCTTGTTTATTCAATCATAAATTTTTATACAATGATGTAAAAAGATCACAGTTCATTTTCATTTTAAGGTTTTACTGCAGCGAAAAAGACACAATCATATTCATAATGAAGCATTGATCGATCATTTTTAATGTAGCCTGCTCGAATGGGTGATTTTTCTACCTAAAAATAAATCATGAAAAAGTAACTTAATGTGATCATGAGAAGAAAAAGATGCCGACAAAATCAAACTAATACCTCTATTTGAAAGCCATAACTAAGAATGACTGTTCGTAAATCTGCATAACTTAATTCGAAAGAACTTTCATTTGGAATATCTTCAAAATGATACAGTAAAGGACCTTAAAGACAAACAAAACAATAATCATTCGTAGAAAAAAAAAAAATATATATATATATATATATATATATATATATATATATATATAAAGAAATATTGATACAAACCAAAATTAATCCATACGCCACCTGATTTCAGAATTTTCCACAACCGCTCTACGTATTCAACAATATTATGAGCTGTATCAATAAAAAAACATGTCGTTACACAATCCCAATCATCTTCAAAGAAGAAATCAAAGATCTTAGATGAAAGATATAGATTAATATGGAAATTTACGAACTTGGTTCATTATATACTTGAAGAAAGTCACCAGCTGACATACTAAATCGAGAATTGGATGGCAATGAAGCTGTATTAACATCAGGAAATTGAGCCGAACGTAATTGATCTTCATTTGATAGATTATTACAAAAATTAAGTATCCATGGATGAATTGTATGAGCATTAATATGCGAACATCTATTCAAAGAAATGAAAGTAAATGTATATTATAGTCAGCAAAATCATGCAAATCTATTTGACCTGTTCAATACAAAATGCGACGCGATAAGCATATATAGACTAACTTCATTGCCTTGGCATGCATAGCCAAGTCGAGCAAATTCCCAACTAAGACGACCAAGACCAGCACCAGGAACAAGAATTTGAGTAGATGAAAAATTATTTCTAGAAAAAAAGATGAGAACAAAATCAAAAAGTCATTTAGCACAAGCTTAATTTTCATGTAAAAATTACATAGAACCATCTTCATTCGTTGTAGGAATAATTGGAAAACGTTTTTTAACTTCTTCAATAATTGGCGCATAGCAAACGAGTCTTTCTTGTTCACCATCTGTACTCCAATCACGCACGAATTGTTTTATTGTTGTTTTCACTTTATCCATATCCATTGACGTCACACCAGATGGCGGTGGCAAGGAGTCTTGTTCAGTTGACTGGAAGAAGACTAAGCGTACACATGGATGAAGGATAAACAGATTTTTTCTTTTGAAATCTGCTTAGCTTACCTTGTGATTCGTATCATTGCAACTTGAAGGCATTGAATAATTGTTAAATAAATGTTCACAGCCAGTAAGCATCTGTCGAATGAGTGAATCACTATAGAACAAAGCAAAGTCGAAAGAAAGACAATTTAAATGTTTTAGCTACGTATTAGCAGAATTATCATTATTTACTTCTGATCAATACATTTGAGTAATTGACTAAGATAACTTTCATATTTAGGCACAAGACGTTTATGTGCTTCAGGTAACCGACCATATGAATAGAATGCGCGACGAACGCGATTTCGAGCCGATGTTCTAACGAAAATAAAAATTAGATGTTTTTAAAGATAACTAATTAAATTTAACCTGTAGTATAGAAATGCACCAATTACTTTCCGAAAATGTATAGCCTCCTCATCTTCGTTCATGGTACTTTGATTACTATCACTAATAATAGTGGATACTTCCTGATTGTTATCAGTCGATTTTGCCATTAATAGAATTGTTGTTAAAAGAGTTAGATTGACGTTGCAATGTTTCTAAAACAATAATTGTTCTTCCCTTGTGTTTGAAAAAACGTCTCAGTTTATTTATCCAGTAGTCGCTGAATATGTACGAATTAATATTGGTTGACTGTCACATCAAATCAGCTTTGAATAACAGAGTGAGTTTCGATAGATGGCTAACATCACGATCACTGATATTAAACTCAATTTACACGTTATTTTACGCACGACCGACAATAAAGCATCTTGCATACAATACATTGTACCTACGAAACAAACACTTTCTTTATGATCGTAAAATCCTTTCCAATAAGAATTAATATCATACATTTGTTTTATATTTTTCATCGGACATAAAAATGAAACTGTTTTATTTTCTAGATTACTGTACATATATATATATTTATTTATTTATTTATGTACATGGTTGTACTATTTGTTTGCGAAAGTTTGATGTACATTTACACTTTGATCAGTTAAATAAACAGTAGTAAAACATTGTGTTTCAACATTCGATTCAGAACGTTATTTCAGTACTCTTCGCTATTAACGAGATTCACATCGAATCTATTACATGTAGAAATAAATGAATTCTTGTTACTCTGTTTTAATCAGAAACAATTGAAATCAAGTGATATACATATATATATATATATATATATGCTTGTATCAATGGGAACGATTGAATAAGAATTGATCTTGATAACAATATTTAAAGGCATTTTTCGAAAAAATATCTATACCCAGAAAATAATAATCACAGATAAACTTGCATCTGGAACACAAAAACCAAAGTAAGGCAAACAAATAGTTAAACAAGAACAACAAATACAGTATATTCATGTTACTAGAATTTGTAACTATTTTATTTTGAATAAAACTTCCAATGAAAAATTTATTATGCGAATTATTAGTCTTGAAAAGCTACCATCATTTGTAATTGGAATAAGAGCGATAAATTCAATTTTTCCTTTTGAGTATTTAATAAAAATAGACTAAATTCAAACTAATTTTAATCTCTACTTCAAAATGTTCATCTCACCTCTTCCTTCTTTTTTTAAAGATAAATCAATCTTTTTATTTGAAAACAAAAGGAAAAATCAAGAATTAAAACAATACTTACATGATCTCTTTTGTTCCTTTTCCAATGGCGTTCATCACTTATTCTACTATTAGTATTATTTTAGTTCTTTGAGTATTTTTCCCTATTCCATTTTACTTTTACACATCATACTATTTGTGTTCTATGCAATACCATTTTATGAGTAAATGATTTCTCATGTGAATTGCTGCCGATCAATTTAATGGTTATTTGTTTTATTTCAATGATTTTATACAGGTAAAAACAAATTATCATGAGACCGTTTATATACAATCAAAAACATTAAGATTACCGAGATGACAGATATTTACATAATCATATTGCAGTACAACTTATATCAATAAGAATAACTAAAATTCTTCTTTCTTTACGATCTTTTTACTTGATGCAATCAATATATTTCATTGAAATAATGCATAAAATTATAATCGGTGTATTTATATTACTAACAATAGTGTTTCAATAATGCAGTAAATTTTATATTTACTGTTTTTTATAAAAACAATGTTTCCAACAGTGACAAAAATTAGAAATTCTCAAAAGACATTTAAGTTTTATTGTAATTTTTTTGTTTCTGTTCCTTTGTGTTAGTAAGATTTTTAGATTTACAGTTATGTGTATAAGAAAAATTGTGTCGAACAATCTCTCATCTGGGAAGGAATGCGTGTATAATATTGTATCGAAAATAGATTTCTCATTCAAATTTTCTTCGAATCCTTATTTGTAATTTATGATGAAATAATTACCTAGAAATTCATAAGATATTAATTTTATCCATTACGTTACAACTCATAAACCTTAAGAAGAGTTTCATGTAGAAAAATAGTTTTGATAAAATATTTTCTGCAACTGTTTGACAATGAACGTGGTTTCTCTATTGATAAATAGAATATTTCAAATGCTATTATTTCATCATAACTCATCTACAAGAATCCCAATATGGTATCCATCGAAAGAATAATTGTCACTAGATCGAAAACTTAGCCCATGATCTTACATCGAATGCATTGATTTTTGGGCTTGGGATGACTCTAGATCAGCCAAATATTGCACTAAATCTGAATATGAACGCTGGACTATGTCTATTGGAATGAAAAAAAATTTGAATTTTATTAATTGATAGCTGAACTATTTTCTTTGGCATCTTTAAAACTCAAATTTTTTCAACACGATTCTTTTCGTTGTAACGTTTCTCAATCATCTTCGATAGTATTTTACTACAGATAATTTTTTTCCTAAAATAATATTTCCTCTATTGACCATGATCCTAAAAAAAAGAAATGTATTGAATAATTCAAAGTGGTTTTGAAATCATATTTCATTTTATTCATAGAATTACTCTACCCAAATTATCAATATTTGTTTTTCACACAACATAAGAATAACTCACAATTCTGATTATTATAAGATTGAATAAATAAAATTTCTATAAACAGATATACTAACTGTAAATTTGCACAACTGAGCAACGTTATTTAGAAGAAGTAATTTGCAAAAATAAGGTTAGTAGAAATGAACTTAACCATTACTGACTGCTATCATATAAAGCAGTTAGAATAATACAACAAAAGTCACAAGGCATAAGACGTCTTATTTGACTGTAAGAGACAGCTCCTTATATTCTGTGGTTTCTATTTTAGTGATACCAAATTATAAAACGTGAAAAGATTTTTTGAACAATTTTAAATTTAATGAAAACAATTTCTTTTATTTATTTCTGATTTTAAAACAGGAACCAACGTTGTTCATTGTTGAATCTAATGATATTTGAAATATTATTTTATTATCAACTGTATCAACAACTAAAATCTCGTCTGATTGCGATGATTTTTATTTTTTTTACAAGATTTTTGTAAATAAGCGTTTCTCATAATTACATTCTTCTCTCATCATTGAAATAGAATTGCTCATTTTCTTCATTTTGAATTCTGTTTCTCAAGGCCTGCAATGTATTGGAATAATTTGACGATGAACGTTGACGTTTGACTGTCGTCATTGTTGGTGACTCTAATCCATGTTTTTCTGATGGACATGATGTATTTTCTGTAATTATTGCTTTAATCATTTGTACATAATGAATACGGTAGTTTTTAGCAAGAGATACTATTGTAGGATGACGAGCACGAGAAGACAGTATTTCAGTTCCATTATTGAAATGTGTTGTCGAATCACTACAAAGTTAGAGACAATGCTTGTTACTCTATATTATTTAAAGAAAAGGTATTTATTTGAATACTCACGTAAGATCTACTGTTTGACTATTGATATCTTCTAGTGTCATATCTTCACTATCTTCGTCTTCGGACTGACTAATTCTAAATGAACTATCATCAATATCATCACTTGAATCAATAGTAATAGATAAATCATCAGTATCGTCTATTAGAAATAAATATACAATTAATTAAAATTAAAATTAAAATTAAAATCTAACCATCACTACTATCATTATGACCACGTCCAAGCTCTCGTTGAAGAAGTGAATCAAAAAAAGCAAGCATACGTCTATCTTCGTCAAATTGTTCAACTGATGAATCATGATGGACAGAACCTTAACAGTTAAAATGAGAATATCATTTAATATTCAACTAAATTTTCTTACCTGATTCTAATAGAGCTTGTAAATAATCTCGATGTGAATACATTTCTTGTCGTCCGCTTAATTCGTTACTATTGTTATTATTATGATTACGTGTTTGATACGGAGTCCACATCTAGACTAAATTTAAGTGCATATAAATTCTTGAAATTCTTCAAGATGATTGAACTATTAATTTTTATATAAAATTACAAGACAATTAACAATCAAAATATGGTTCAAAAACATTCGTATCGTTCAATTAAATTTTAATAGAATGATCTCAAGTCCTGAACTTATTTCGTTCGCAGAATATTAACATTTTCAATGATAGATAATATGCCGATCATCAGATAATATTCAATAGAACGAACGTATGAGAAAAATATTTTTAGTGACAAAAATGTTTTTCAGTTTAAACTTCATCGATAAAGTAAACCTTAATACAATGAAATAAAATTCACATGAATGTAGTGTCTTTAGCTTTGCCTATCGATTTATAAATATTTCTATGAAATCTTAGCCTATATAAAAATCTACATGAGAATATTGAATGATAATATTAGAGCTTAAAAGTTTATTAGATTCTATTTACATATATTCTTGTCAATAGTTCGACTTAAAATATTGTTGTTCGACTCCTTGGCACATATCATTCTGTAAATTAAAATAGATCTTACACAGAAGAAAAGATGTACGCAAGTTTTATCGTTCCTTTCATATTTTTTATAACATCGAGTCATACCCTTAGCATAGGGTCCAAATTCGGCACACTTTCCTTGTTATTCAATCTAGTAAAAAATGAATCTCTATCAATAGGTCGTAACGATCCACATTTTACTAATATTATCTATAGAAATTGCATGAAAATATATTATTCCATGTGCAAATTTTTCGATCTTTGAATTAGTTCACAATCAAGATTTTCAAATAATCTTTTTTTGACAAATTTCTCAATTGATTCCAACGTTACGTTAAAAAGCACAATAGAAGAAAAAAATCGTACTTTAATGACTTTTTCGACGCCACTAGATACTAATGCATGTATACGTGGTGAGTATCGAACTTGATTGACAACAGATCGATGTCCATGTAGAATCATATGAGCATTCCATACAAAATGATCTATTCAATTAAAACACCTCGTTTTAAAACGTATATCGATGCATGAAAATACCTGAACTCAGATTTGACCGGGAATGAAGTTGAAGTGTTTCTATTACAAATTAATATTTGGAAAAAATAAACAATCAAACGAATTTTCATTTTCTATCCTCATCTAAACTTACTAATATCATCATTGTTGGGTATTCGCCAAATATAAACATTAAAATCATCTGAACCTGATGCAATATACTTCAAGAAAAAGAAACGGTAAATAATGTTCTGATAAAAGAAATAAAACGTCAAAACAATATACCTGATCATGATCACCAGCAAAACAGCCGGCTTTCATTGTACACACATTTACAAAATTATCTGCATCAAATTGACAGAAGGCATGAGGTTCATGAAGTTTGAAAAGTACAGGAGGTAATCGACGACGAAGTGCATATAGAAGACTGCCATTACTATTAAAAGTAACGCTCATACCTTCAATATCATCATCATTACTATTTGTTGTTTTATCGGTTGAACTTGTTGTGGTACCATAACGAAGCACGGAGCTGAAAAGTAAACGAATCCGATTCAATTGGCATTTTCAACAGAACAAACAATTTATTTTTGCTGAAACACGACATAATTTGTCAAATTTTTAGTGAATGCTTTTTTGAATAATTTTATACGCACGTCATTTCATTTATTTTTAAAAGTTTTATATTGACCATTTCTGTGCCATGTACATACCAAAATCTTATGCTTTCCATCAGTATTTTACGTTATTCACACCGTAAATGTACATTGTAATAATAGTATTTATTTTTCCAATAAAGAAATTTTTAATAATAAAAATTGTTTGAAAAAATACTATTCGTATTTTTTACAGTCGAATAAATATGAAGACTTCTTTTCAGAGCTTCTATCACAATTAATACGAAAATAGGCACTAATGCTATTAGGAGTTTTCGAAAAACAGTATGGATTCTGCATTAGTATATCCGTTGTTTAATTGAGATTTTTTATTATTTAATCAAACTGATAGAAATCGTGTGTCCATTTTGTTTTTATAGGCAATATCTTCGTGATCATTGCTTTTGCATATAATCATATTTTTTACTTAATTATTTCGGTTTCTTGCAATATGCATCTTATTTGTTTACATGAACTTTTACTATCGGATACTTGTTTCTGCAAATAAAATATTTGCAATATAACTTTTTATTTTATCATAAACTTAGACCCCAAACAGACCAAAAAGATAAAACAGAATTAAGCAACGTGATTGGTTAATTCACACTTAAGTCATCTTTTTGAGACGATTTAGTGGTTAATTCTGTTTTATCTTTTTGGTCTGTTTGGGGCCTTACTCTTATTTTGCACTTTCGATTTTACACAGAAACGTGTGACGTTCTTTTCTATTTATCGTAGGAATAAAATGACGAAAAACTTATTACTCATATCTGGATTTTCGATGAATGTTCAAATTCAACACATAGTCTTATTCTGATAAATGATACCAACGGAGAAAATAATAAGAGCTAATTAAATATATTCCAGTGTACTTCTAAAGCTAAACGATTGCTATTTGTTGTTCTCATTAGGAAACAATTTTTACACTTTTCTTTTTCATACGAAGCCATTTTACCTTTTACTTAGTCGAATATCGTACAGTTCGATGCCTTGCCGAGCATTAGCCGTAGCAACTAAAAATGTCTGTTGAGGATGAAATATACATGAATGAAATGAACCATCGAATGATTCGGCAACAACAGTTGATGGTTGATCATGTTCGGCTGCCGACGAAGCCGAACGTAAATCATATAAATGAACATGACCATCTTCGGTTGCTGCTATAAATACATCATTTTGTTGTGGTTGTACAGATAAACAATTGACTGGTGAAGATTCAAGAAATACATCTACTAATTCATCAGCATGACCACTATTTAATCCTCTATGAATAATAAGAGATTTCACTAAAAAAAATAGATTTTCTGGATATCGATTTACTGATGTTGTTTTTCAATATCATGTACTAGAATCTGTTCGTCGTTTCCTAGAAAAACAAAACAAGAAAAGGAAAAGCAAATGGTAACAATTATTTTTGTAATTGTTTTACCTGCTGAAATAATACGTCGATTTTGATTATCGAATTTTATTGAAAATATATTACTTAAATGTGTTGCTGTTAATGTTGTTGGTGGGCGATAAGATGCGTCAAAAAGTGTGTCGGTCATATTCCATAGAACGACACGTTTATCATCACCACCTGAAAATATTATAATTAACTTCTTGTTCAAAATGAAATGTTCATTTTTTTTCAACCTGATGCAAGAAAAATACCATCAGAAGAAAAGTCAAGGGCATTTACACAACCAGAATGACCATTTCCATCTTGACAATTTAATGTTGCATATAAATCAAAACGATGTTGTAAATATTTTGATCGGTTAAAATTCCACTGGTTACATTTGAGTGCTTCATCACGAAGATGATGAATTAAATTAAATGATTTATATCGACGCATTATTTTAATCTTAAACACCGTAAACATGAATAATATATTGTTTAGTCAAAAAGAAACAAAATAAAAAAAGACAAAAAATGAATAACAACCAAATAAAATTATATCGTCTATTGCCAAAAAAGTACACTGAAAGCCATTGCAAGACAGAATACTGAGACATATTGGCTTTTTCTTTGACCGATTCGAGCAAATTTCCAAAATGTACCACGAAATCTAAACTAAAACATTAGTTACAAAATGATAATATAACTATACACACCCCGTTCTATAGCGATCAAGTAGTTTTGGATAGAAATCATGTATATAAGTACATGTACATATCAAAAGTAGAATGACAACAAGTAAACTTTGAAAGTTGAATAGAGCCGACTAGGATTAGAAAAAAAGATAATTATCATCATGATAAATTCAGGAAAATAGAATAGAAAAATACCATTTATATTCAATCAAAATAGGACTGAGAAGTTATCTTGTAGTTCTGCAAAAAAAGAAATTATCAATAGAGAACAGAACAGAACGATGTATCCATCCTTCAAAATTTGCTTCTATTGGATTGTCGATTGAGGGTGCGACTTAATGAAACAAGACGACATCTATCAGAATTATAAAGGTATTAGCAAAATTCAAATAATCACGTTTTTCAATGAAAACAGTAACTTTTCTTGTTAAAGAATATTTTTTCATGTGCTTTATAGTCATTTACTATAAGGAGGTAAATAGGCGCTTGTAGTGCCAATCCTGATGAGCCCAAATTGAAAATTTTCTTATCTCAATGGAACAATATTTCCGTAATTTCATAAAACTTGCTTGTGTGGATTAAATCATTTCTTCATTTAATAATTTTGAAAAATAAAAATTATGTTGAATTTACATAACGGCACTGTGATGACCAATAATCGAAAACTACAAACTTTGCTTGAAACGAAATTATCAACAGATGACAAAGTTCCGAAAACAGGACGAATTTTAAGAAATAAAATATTTGTTATTGGTTTTCCACCGAATGTATGCATAGTGCTATTTCGTTTTTTGTTGATTTAAAGAAAATATTTATTTAGTGTACTGAGATTGATCTAGAAAATTTTTTTTTAAATTTTGGCATAGTACGTGAAACTCGAATTGTCAAGGATGAAAATGGTGTAACCAAAGGGTAGGCTTTTTTTCGAGAAATTTCCAGTTCGAAAGCACATATAATTTTATTTGTGTAGGTATGCATTCATTACCTTTGCCAAAGAACGTTCTGTAGTGCATGCACTTGAGTATCGAGTACGTATATTATTTTTCGTTGAAAATGTTTTTTTTTGTATCACAAAATTTCACTAGGGACCACTGTATTTTATGGATAGAAAATTATCAATTAATCCAGCCATAAAAAAACAACATCAATATCTTCAAACACAACGGTGTTTATCGTCAACATCAATAAGTATTGATTCTCCTTCACACATGTCAAGCTCATCGAGTATGCCATTATTTACACGTGATTGTCAATTATTTATCTAGATTTTTTATTGAATTATAGATCATAAAACTGATCTTAACGCGTTGACGAATGATAATATGTTTCCAATTTCGATGCCAATCGTATCTCAGCTAAATCCACCATCCTTACATCATTATTATAATGCAGTATCACAACCATATTTTCACATGAATTTGCCATCTCATTCTATTTATTGTGTGTCTGGGCCTGTTCCTATTTGGCATAATTACTATTCGGCGACATCTAGTTATCCAGTATGTATTTAAAAACAAAAAGAGTTTTACTGAAACCAAAATTAAAGTATTACAGTTATATTTTCACTGCTATATTATCATATATTCGAGTACCATAAAAAATTGAACTTGATTATGTCACAGATGTAATTGAAACTATCTCTAGGTAACTCACTGTAAGCAACCTAAAACAGCACATTACACCAATAGGACTCAAGAGAAACATTAATTTGTGTGAATATTTTTAATAGATCTTTCTTCAATATCTTCAGATTTGTTTTATTAAAGCGTTTCTCATCCTAAACCACGAATGATTTTATGATGACTTTCGCAAATATGAATATCGTGATTAGTACAATTAATAGCAATTCTACTGTTACGCTGTTATGAACACAGTCAACGTGATGTCACGGATTTCTATCAGTTTCTGACAAAAAAACGATATACTGAAACAGTGTGTGTGCTAGTTCAATAGGCTACATAACTAGCAAAGCATATCATTGAATTTTTTTATCGATGAATCAACATATTCATTGATATCCAAGCTCAAAATAATCTTCATACTCTCGATGACAAGTGGTAGTAGTCTATTTACATGTACGTTGCACTTTTGCGTTGCATTGAATGCAATAGAATATAATCAATTGAAGTGATTCATATATTCTATCGACCTACGCTCAAGTCTAAATAAAATATGAAATCGGATTGATGTCTATGTTAACCTCAAATAGTGCTATGAGGGTTAGAATAATTTGTCTTTGCTTCGATGAAAATAAATGTACACTTCAGAATCAATATTGAAACCTATTTCGTAGTTTGATTCTGTCGATAAAGATGACTATACATATAATAACACACGTATTTCACATTATCTTAAAGTGAATATGTTATTCTTTTTATTTTTGTCAAAATAGTATTCTTAAATATAAATGTACTTATTCACTGTTTGTATTTGATTTTAGTCATGTACTTATTTGCCAATGGCGAATAACAGTGGTGACCTTCCAATGTTATCTCAAGTAAATGCTGATGTTTATCATAATGCAGTATGTACAGTGTAGCACGTCATCGTTGTTCATATTATCTATTATTTTAGATGATGCAGTATGCACATATTCCTGGAAATAATAAAGTATTTCAATAAATTTTTAAATAAAGAAAGCAAACTTTGAATAATCAATGAATATATTTGTATATAATTTCTGGTTGGTATCAATCATTATGGCTTTTTTTTTGAGTTATATTTTGCGTTCTATTTTCCCAGTTGAATTTAATAAAAAAAAAACATAAATATATATCGTCAGATAGTAGATTTGAATTTTTTCTTTCAAAAACATATGCTCTTTTTTGTTGGTCTCTTGATAAAAAATATCTATCGTTGTTCTTTTTGTTTGTTATTCATAATGTGATAATTAATATATCATTTTCTTTGTGATATATATAAATTGTTGTAAGATATTTCTTTTCTTCGTGTTTGTTCATTATAATGTTTCATTTCGAACAGTCAGATAGTTAAATTGTGTGTATTAAAAAGAACAGATGTTATCTTGTGTTAATATTTTTTCATTTGTTTCATATAAAATTAGTTATCACAATAAAAAACGAACGAGAATGAAAATTATTATAAAACATAGTAAACTACGCCGTTAATTGTAATTTCATTTCAATGAAAGCAATAGGCTGTTCAATATATTTGTTTTTTGAATAATCTTGAAATCGATACAAATGCCATAAAAATACTAAAATAATGATTAAAATTATGATATTTGCTTTTATTTGAAAAAGATTTTCTTTGCATGAACAAAATGATATATTCATATACGAAAATAAGAATGTTTTTCTTACATAAATACAAATGTAGATTTAAAATATCATTTTATGAACCGAGTAAGAATAAATTTTAATGTACATTTAGAGTATGATTTCATATCTTATTCAATAAAAAGTTATAATATAGGAAAAACATGAATTTAGTAATTTTGTATAACTAATTGAGACACATAATATGCACTGAGATTGTTTATTTCATCTATGAACTATTCTCTTCGAAATAGTTTTTTTTCTTGAAGAATCCACTCATTCTGTTCTATGTCATTATAATTACATTCTGTTTTTGGCACTAGTTTCAAACAATTCAAAAATAAAATAATATAAAAGAATGTGTCTTTATTCTATGCATGTTGACGAATTTCTTATCAGGACGCACATGTGAGTTTATATACGTAGTTGAAGTATGTTGCTCTTCATTCTTATCATTCCGTTATGCTTACTACTAACTAAATCAAACGCATCATGGTTCAGATTTCTATTGAGAATACTCCATATTTATTTACGGTTCGGTTAACGACGTTTGACGCATTAGTTCAAGCCATTTCTTCCCGTACAAAAACTACTAAAATCTTACCACTATCATATTTTGATAAAATTAAAAATGTATTCGTTCGATTAGAAGGTGAAGATATCGAGCCACTTCGACGTAAAACTCATGTGAAAATTCGCTTGGGAACATTAAAGTTCCCATCATATGAAGGTGAACTGAATAATGAAGGAAGAAAACATGGCCAAGGAATTTATCGATGGGAAAACGGTCGAACATATATAGGACAATGGTATGAAAATATAATGAACGGAGAAGGAGTAGAATCATGGCCGAATGGATCTAAATATCACGGACAATTTTATAACAATAAAAGACATGGCCAGGGAACTTTTACATGGCCCGATGGTCGACAATATGTTGGTAAGACTAAAACTAGAATCATATATTTATTGTAATCGTATCGATAAATGATTATTTTGATTTGCAGGAGAATATTGTAATGATTATCGACATGGTTATGGTGTATGTATATTTCCAAATGGATATAAATACGAGGGACAATGGTATCAAGGCAAGAAACATGGACGCGGTATTGAAATATTTCCTGATGGACATCGTTACAATGGACTGTTTCACAATGATAAAGTTGTTGCATCTCCAACATAGCTAATGAATCGATACTTTTCCACAAGAACATTAAAAGAAAAAAAACACGTGTTGAATCATCTCATTTTATAGATACATCTAAATTATGATTTGATTTATCGAAAAAAAAAGATTTAAATTTGTATTTTTAATGTAAAATGTTGTCTTTTAACATAGGAGATTTCTATAAAGCGTCGTCATTTGCATAAATATAATAGTGTAATATATATCTAATTAGAACATAAGATAATTACATGTCTCCAAGTCATCATAAACAATCTTACAATGATAGGATTTAGCTAATTAGAAATGACATGCAGCTATTCTATTTGCCATCAATAATACATAAATATCAGATCGATTTCTATGTAATGATGTAAGTATATTATTTACTCGCTGAAGTATTGTTAAAAGTAAATGTATGAAATCTTTTCTATTTACTACCTGATTATATCTATATCATATAAACATTTATATTACTTAACAATAATAAGAAAAGAATTATTAACTTGAATAGTCATATAAATAAAAAAATCAATAGTTTTCGTATTAAACTAATTCATGTTTGTGTTCTTTGAACATATTTCTATGAGCCAGTTTCTTTTATACAAAAATCATCATTTAGCTAACTTGGACTAATAACTTGAAGTAAATATTTTCAAATCAGATATGATATAGAGAACAGGTGCAATACTATTAGCTAGGTTTTAGTTCAGGGCTTTTATCACGCGTCGTAAAATGAGTTCATGATGATAATTTTCCTTAATTTTTGAATGAAAGAACATTATATGTTCTTTATTGTTGACTAGTTTTATGAAAAGTTTAAGAAAATAAAAATAAACATTCACATTGACTTTTAATTAAAGGTTTTGGAAACATAATTGGAATCATCTATTTTGAAAACAATCGATATTAGAAATCATTTTGTTATCAAATACGCACATTGATTTGGAGCAGTGGTTATTTTCTGATTATTTATACTCATTCTATTTCCTTAATGATACCGATTTAAAACAGAATGATTGCCCGATTATAAAATTTTAAAATGCTATTCAACATTTCGAAATAATTCATCTTTTTAAATTTGCATACAATGGAAAATATAGATGTCAGAGATCAATTTTAATCTTTACATCAAATTTTTCATTTAATATATTCTTCTATATTTTTTCTAAAGGAATTAAACACTTGAATGCGAATGCTCTTGACCAAAATACTAGATATCAATGTTACTTAAGTAACTTTTATGAATAAAAATTTTGTTTAATAGATAAGGAAAATGACAAGAAAATTAGAATTCTATAAATTGTTTATTGAATTCGAAGTTTTGATGGTTGTGCAATGAAGTATGCACAGAATTGTGTCCATGGTGAAAAATCAGATTTCGAAGGATCAGTAATTGGTAATCCTCTGTTGTCTTCGTTGCGAACTGGTGTGCCTAGAGCAAAGAAGTAAGAAAATTAAACATTATTACTTTTATTTTTGAATTTCATTTGTTTAATACCTCCTGGTTTATGTGACCAATAACCATTTGCATCCTACGCAAAGAGAAAGTATTCTGAAATCAAATATATTAATATATGGGTTGTCTCAAACCATTCTGATCCAATGAAAGTTTGTATCTGGCCAAATCAGGAGTGCAGCAAAGTGACCCACACTCGGTGGAATCTGTGGTAATTGTGTGCCGTTGTATATTAAGCCATCGCGAACAGATGCATTTCCCATATCTAGACATGTATTTAATGACCATTTCCTTCCACTACCACGACCTGCAGAGAAAAGAAAAGCATGTTCGATCGTTATTGTTCATTTTGTCATCTTTTAGTATGTACCTGGTTGGGGAAAAGTATTTGTAACAATGTCAGTACCTAGAGACAAACAACAAAAAAACATAATATCATATAAGTATTGTAACTTGTAAAAAATGATACTATTTATCCATATTTTTACAATTACTGTAATCTTAAAAAAACAATGTAATATTCTGTTACTTAGATATGTTACAGTTGTAACTGTAACAAGAAAGATATGATAACTGCTCTGCTCTACACTGATTTAGTCGATGATGAGTTACTATTACCATAAGCATAGCAATTGTTCTCTGATTGTTTTTTAATGAAACATCCTTGATCATCTGACTTTGGATCATAGACAGGTACAGTATCAGGACCTACAATTGGAACTTGATCACAATCAGCATGATTAGACTTCATCGGAGTGATCTCAGACATTATTTCTCCGATATGCTCTTTAACATGACCAATAACTGATTCGGAAAGGTAACGACGACCACTAAGTAGTAATAAATGTTCAACTGGAGATAAGCCATGGACAAAAACAAGTTTGTTAAACGAACAACTAACAGTGAATCCATGATAGCCCATAATTCTCTTTGTAGGCTTACTGTACAATGTATCGCTATTATTTTGGTATAAAGATCGATAGGCTATTTTCTTAATTTTAATAAGTTGTTTGATATTAATCTGCCAAGTTGGATTAGATGCACCAGAGAAGACATGAAGCGTAACAAATGGTTCATCACATTCGAATGCTTGTAATTTTGTTAAATCATCTTTATTAAATTGACAGTTTGTTATCGATAACAAATAGAAAAGAAAGCCAACTAGAAGCAAGCGTTCAAGCATCATCTGAAGATAAAAAATAAAAATCACTTGATAAGAAATTAAAATAGAGAAAGCACGATCAGATAAAAATTTTATCATACTTGTGTAGATTTCTCTATTATATCTCTTTCATTATGTGACGTGTTATTGAAAAACTTTTACGGATAAATTATACTATCTTTGAATAGTTAGTTCTTCCTATCATAGATGTCCATCGCGGATGAAAATATGCCGCTGCCGCATCGCAGAAGTTTTCAAAAGGTTGTTGCCGCGCCGCTGCCACTGCCGCACCGCAGAGGTTTCCAAAAGGTTGTTGCCGCGCCGCTGCCGCTGCCGCTGCATTAAAAATTATACAAAATCTATTTTTTCACAAAAATAGGTAATATGTATGATATAGAGCTAATAATTCCTGTTTGATGAAATACTAATGTAAAAAGAGATGAGAAATAGCAAAAATTCTTTCGAAAAACAATAGATTCATTCTTTTTATAAGGTCGAGAGATTTTCATCACGACTGAAAATCTGCCGCTACCGCCCCGCTGACGCTGTGGCGGCAGCACCGCCATGGACATCTATACTTCCTATACGCAATATATTTCTAACAATGATGCATATGTTGATTAAAACTCACCTGTACTTCATGTACACAAAATCGAGTAATCAAAGATCGAGATACTATCTGATTATTTATTAGTTTTTCAACAATCTGTCGTATTCCAATGTTATTTGCAAGATTTCTCTATGTTTTATTTAATATAACATGGCAAGAAAAAAGATTCTATTGAAACATTTACTAAATTTTAATCCTATTTAATTTGCTATTCTAGAGCGGCGAATACGTAGAGAATAGAATGAGAATTTTATGATCTGTAATTGTAACCAATATATCTTTTACATATATTACTTCAGTGTGATTTTTTTTAGAACTTACTTATATCTAGTCTATTATGTTGTTGCTTTGCAAAAAGTAAACTGAGATAAATCTTGTTTTTCAGTTTTTTTTGTCTCGTTATCTTATCGAATAAAAGTAAGAGAATAAAAATTTAGAATTGTTATCAAAATATTAATATTCGGAGTCACAAGACGTAATTTCAGCATACATAAAAAAGCACAATAGCTCTACAATTCTTTTTTTACTCAACAACGATGATTATTTTTAATATGATTCATCAGATATTTCACCGTACTATCTATTATAATGCAGAAATATAAGTTCAACGTAAAAATGAGAAATAATTCAAAGGATACAAGTATTTTTTCAGTAACGATTGATATATACAGTCTAGTCATTATCTCATGTCATCATCTTTACGATTAGATACACTACTTATCTTAAAGTAATTAATACTCTTTTTTTTAAAGGAATTCTTCTCTAAATAGTAGTAAGTTGTTAAGAAAAGAGTTAGAAAGCGAAAAAAGAATCTTTTTATCAATAACAATATAAAATTTTTTCATATAGAACATATAATAGTAGATGGACTATTTAGCATTCTTATCAGAATCCCAAAATATATCTGCACTATATAATCACTATTGACCTATATTTATTGTCATACCCTTCTAAATCAGAAAAGAATAAAAAGAATCTAGACAATCAATCTGTGCAGCCCATTCAAAAATAGTCATAGTAATGTTGAGAGTTTATATTGAAAATAAAACATTTTCAAAAAATGGTAATATATTAATTACATCGAAACGTAAAGTTATTCAAAACCTTATCGATTAAGTAGACACAAAAAAGTATTATATTCTCAAATTAATACAATTCTGTAAATACATGTTTATTCAGTTAAAATAAGCTGTTGTAAATTCGAATGTATCTTACTAACTTTGCAATTCAACTCAAAATTACTCACGACTTTAAAAAAGTTCGTTTGCTTCACAAAGAAAAGTAACTGATGACAGAAACATAAGCAATTGCTGTAACTAGTCGTGCAGTATTTCCTCATATTTTATTATAAATCGTTCGGTTTGAAAAATGACCTACTGATATATATTCTTTTTCGTATCTGAAAATTTCAATAGCTTTGTTCCTTGCGTCTCTTTTGTACTTTTTATTAGGAGCAATTGAAAATTGTTTATTACATCACGACGTTATGCTAATGAGGAAAAAGAAGGGGTGCCTTTTTACATTTTAACGCTCACATGCTAATGATAGCTGTTCCAAACTATCGAATTCAGCGTCGATGACTGCGTAAGAGTCGAGACAGCTATAAGAGTTTTCTTATGAAATTCGTTCAAATTAAGTGAAGTAGCATAAATAAAACCAGGATGTTTTCTCAACTAAAGAAAAATATATGAGTTTCATCTGTTTTTGAATATTTTCTTTTTTTTTCAACAATACTACAAGTTTTCTGCATGGTTTGAACAAAATTTCTTTGTTTCTGCGGTCCATATACATCTATTGATATTGATATTGATGTCTAAGGATGTCACTGAAAACGATAGCTTTTACATCTCGTAGAAAAGTTAGAAGACCCATCGTGAACATATTTTATTGTTTGCCACCTAAACTCTGTACTCAATAAAGCATACTCTAAAAGAAACTATTAGGTTCTGTTGAATTCAATAGCATGCGATACGCGAATATTTCAGTGGGTACCGTGTTACAATGAGTATCTAATGGAATTCAATTAAGAAAGCATTCACAAAATTTTCAACATAATATTTCCTAAAAATATTTACCTTGATAAAATGTTTATTTAACTATGTTAATCTCATATAATGATACTATTTTAATTTGCAACACAGTTTAGACAACAGATTGGATACCCATGTAAAAAAAGGGCAAATAATCAGATTATAATCGATTAATTTTTGATTATTAATCGATTCCAAATCCTTTAATAATCAGAAACAATCGATTTCAATCAGAAAAGCATTCAAACACAACAGTTAACCGATTAAAACTGGTTATATTTGATTTTAATCAATTCCTAATCGAATAATAATCGATGAAAACGTGTATGATTTAAATCGATTTAAATCAATCACAACACCTATATATATATAGCTAACTGCTAAAATCTATCTGTCTTGATTCTATATTGGTGGCTAGCTGCCGGTGTCTATTTCTAACCACCTGCACCTCAGTGGCGGATCCACCAGTTAGGCTACCCGGCCATCGCCACCCCCCCCCTGAGGATAGAACCCGGCGAAATCTTTGAAATGTTTCTATGATTCAACGCATGATATAATAGATACTGCAATATGATATTTAATCAAAAGATGTCAGCTTTGATCGTGAAAATAAGGTTCAGAATATGTAATAAAATAAAAATAAAGCTCTCTGAGGGAATGACTAATAGCAAGAAGTAGAATAACAGGATTAGTCATAAATATCATCCATTGACAATTGATCAAGTACACTTGAATATTGAAACGTAACCAGCAAAAGCTTATGTGAACAAAAAACCTCGACAAAACCTCAATTTTACTAGGATAGTCTAATTGTATAGCCAGGGGTATTGAAACTTTTACGGGAAATATTTGATTTTTTCAATATAATTTGACCGAAATATCTAAAGCATGTAGTAATGGCATGTAAATATTTGGGAATGC